CTGCATTGATATGTGCGTGTGTTTTGGTTTACAACCATCAGCAGGTGCTTACGGAAACCTTGCTGATGTGGGTTTGGATTTATTTTGTTCAAAGGGAATTGGACCAGCATCGAGATGGGTCAATGACCATTTATTTATTCAGATCCTTAGAGAACACATTGCCTCATATAACGAAAAGAGACGACAATGGCATCAGGACATTGTCAAAAGGGGTAAGCATCAGGACAAAGGAAGAATATGGTTTGGCGGACACATGTTTGATGATGGAACATTGGAAGAGTTTGATGAAGATTGCCATTTTCCCATCAGAGACTTACTAGCTTCACACCTGTTGTGCCTTCAGCACAGGAAGCAAACGGAGCGCTTCACACTCCTTTTTGGCTTCCTGGCCTGGGCTGCATCCTAGCATATGTCAATTATTTATTGACATGTGCTGCACTCAAACAGGCAACAGTGTTAAGTCGGAGCTCAAAAACCTGTGACTGGGCCACGTGAGAAAGCCATGCGAGATTCCCAAAAAGAGGTTTAAGCGAGCTAAGTGTTCTTAAGCATTCCTAAGTGCATCTAAGCGCATCTAAGTGTATCTAAGCGTATCTATGCAAAAGCCACACAAGCTGGCAAGATGATTCCCACCCATCGCATCCTACTTTATAGACAGGAGCTTCATCAAGATCATTCAAGGATGCTTTATTCTCATGCAACATGGCAGACATTGACGAGATCTCAGATAATCTTGACATTCCATGGGAAAGGCTCAAGGACAAGATTTTTGCATCCATCAACCCATACATTGGACTCATGTGGGATCTCACCAAGAACAAAGTCTTTCTGGCAGAGGACAAGAAAATCAAGTATCTATGGGCCATTGGAATCTGGTGAGAGTGTGTCACCCATGTACTCATTGACATCCAACAGCTATATGGTAAATTACTCCATGCCACACTCATTGTTCCGAAAGGATGTGCATACCTTATGTCTTTGGAGGCCATGCTATGCCTCACTGCAGTCAAACCTTTTCTCCCATGACGACCAGTTAAGAGGCTCACGGCAGATCTCAACTGGTGGGAAACCTTGCTCCAGAAGTCTTTTGTCAGATGTACCATACCAAATCCCCTCTCGCTACATGACCCAGCCACTTTTTCAGATGCCAGCTCCAGCACAGGAATTGCTATCATCATTGGAAACAGATGGAGAGCTTGGACGTTGCGCAAAGGATGGCAGACTCTCGACGGTGAAAAAGACATCAGATGGGCAGAAGCAGTTGGATTTGAGCTCCTCATTCAATACCTTATCCAAATGGGAGGATCGGAACGAAATTTCAGGGTTTATGGAGACAACCAAGGAGTCATTGAAGGCTGGAAAAACAGTCGAAGCAGGAACATGGCAGTCAATTCGGTGTTCAGACGAGTCTTTTCTCTTATCGACAATTCCTCAGAGTCTTACTCGTTTCACCCCACATATGTTGCAAGCAGACACAATCCGGCAGACAAGCTGTCCAGAGGAGTCTATAGTAGTACAGAACTCATGCTCCCAACTTTCCCCATTGCAACAGCACTCCAACCATTCCTCATTGACCCATTCATCATCTCCACAAACCCGGCAGATTGTGGTGTGGGAGGAGACTGGACAGCCATCATCGAAAGAACTTCTGTCAGCCATACAGATAGCCATTCCAGCGCAGAAACCCTCACCACTACAGACGCACTCTACCCCATTAACGAACTCCAACAGCATGATTTTGAATATTAACAAATCACACTTCAAGGCCATTCTCCCTTTGGAACTACCAGCTGTCCCTCAACCATACAAACAGGATCTAGTACCTGCATCATCCCAGTTACAGCCACATTGTTTGGCACAGGATCATTTAAAGCTCTGGTTTCCTCTACAGTCGAGATTAGCAAGCATGCCAGAGGGAGATGCACTAGTGATCACCAAAGAGGATCTGCAGAGAGTGCTGACAGTGATGAACATGTCATGGGCATTGAGCACGAGAGAATGCTATGGAGCAGGGCTGTTAGCCTTTCACGTCTTTTGTGATGAAAGAAACATACCGGAGGATCAACACTGTCCAGTTGACACATGCACGATTCTGAATTTCATATCGAGCTGCGCAGGCTCATATTTGGGGAAGACACTGGCAAATTACGTGTATGCAACAAGGCATGGCACACACTGCATGGTCAACCTTGGGAGATTTGTCAAGACAAGTTGAAGGCATCCTTAGATGGGGCATCAGAATGCACACCAGAAACATCTTAATGAAAGAAATGTGAACCCTTCTCAACAGATCTTATTCTTCAGATTCAAGCTCACCTTGATCTATCAAAACCCCTTGACACCGCTGTTTACGCATGCCTGACAACCACATTTTATGCACTATGTTGTCTAGGAGAACTCACAGTCAAAGCACTGAAAAGTTTCGAACCTGACAAGCACATCAAACAGTCCAACATTCAGATGGACATCAAAGACCGACACGATTTCATAGTCACCAAGATCTTTCTTCCTTGAACCAAGACTTCAAATGTCAGACAGAGCATATTCTGGGCACAACAAGATAACCCTACAGACCTGAAAGCCGCACTTCTCAATCACTTTGCAGTCAATAACCCAGAACCAAATTCTCACCTTTTTGCATGGAGACATATGAAAGGAATGAGACCTTTAACTCAGATGGAGTTCTGGAAAAGAGTCAGTGGGATAGTAAAACAAGCTGGACTGGGAAATTTGAAAGGACACAGATTGCAGATTGGAGGAACATTGGAATACCTGTTGCATGGCATCCCCTTCGATGTCATCAAATCTATGGGGAGATGGTCAAGCAAGGTGTTCACAGTCTATTTGCGCAAACACACATTAATTTTGGCCCCATACCTGCAAGGCTCATCAGCAAAACCCTGATTTGGGTACAGCGCCACAGCCACACAGCATATCACAGGTCACATAGATTTTGTTGTAAAGGCTCTGCAGCACCACACAAGTATTGATTCTATGTAAAAATGAGTGTGATGTAGTCATAAACATGTATATAACAAGATAGTGTGCTAATAATTATGTTTTATTGAGAAATTGTGTAGTGTGCAGCACTGTACAGCGCTGTACATGGGGGGACCTCACTGTGACACTGTGGTTGCTGTGCAGCATTGTGCAGTGCTGCACATAGGGTTAGGGTTTTGCTGATGCTCTCCCGCACTGGAACCATTCACGCACTATACCATGCCTCCAACGAATTGACAAGGTATGTCACTGCATCACCCTTCTCCTTTGAAGTGGGAGTCCATGCTGCACCTGACGCGTCGCTGGGCTCCTTCGTTTTGGGAATCACAGCTCATCATGAACTCTCCTTAGGTTAGAAATGACGTTTCGAGTCGCAAACCCTTCAGGTTTGAGCCAAAATAGCCACAGAACTCTGTTGCTACTATCTGTATCAGATATATTGAGTAGACAATAGATCTGATATCTTGACGGTTACCTTGAAAACTGAGAGCAACGCATAGAGCTCAATAAAAGTCAGAATTTCGTCAAAAAAAGCATGTGTGGTTGTATTTACACAGAGTGGCTAATTAGGCGCCGAGGCACCCTGAGCCCAACGTTCAGCCCATAATTATTGCTAGCATTGGGTCTGCGGTGACCCCTGCCAGAGTACGCGTTTACCCGTTATGCACTATTTGTTTCTCGAAGACCTACAGAAATCTCTAGCGATTACTTGAGGTATGCCATCACGTTCCTTTCGCCTGTGTTCTCCATCGTCAACGTTGCAGTGTAACCCATAGCCAGCGACCCTGCCTATCGCATCTTTGGGAATCAAAGGCCTCGCATCAACCTCGCGTGCAATATCCCTTCTATTCTCGCATAAACGCAGTTCCTCCTGTTTGGCCATGGAATAATTAACCTCGCTGAACAACTTGACGTATGTCGTTTATCTTGTTTCCGCAGTTTACCTGATGGTCTTTTGGCAGTTCCTGATGTATCGCACATGCCTCACTCTCCCTCGGCGCAGGGTTATTCAGACATGGATCCTCATGAGAACATGAGACACTGTCTAGACATGTAATCGCGATTACGCGCTCACCTTTTTTCACTCTCGACGCACACCGGCATCCAACTATCCTATCCTCTATGTTTCCTCATACCACATTCAAAGCCGACTATACCATCTATCCTCCACTGGCGAGTGTGGATTAAAGCAGATAAAGTCCTTCACTAACTCAATTCCTTCAGAAATGTGATCAATACGTTGAGCTTCTCGCGTGGTGGAGAGTACCTCTCAAATATAGCACTCTGCATCGAGTGGTAATGGTTCGGCTTTGATAATGCAACTACCTCTGACATGATGGGCTCATCAGTATACAACAGAGACGAGCGCCCCATTGCATCGCGTTCCTTGGCGCCGTCGCCTCCAGTGCATGGCATCCCACAAATGCGCTCAGTTCAGTGTGAGCCTCCCGTAACTGTCATTAGCCTATTGGAATTTGAATGGGTGAGCTTCAAAATCATCATCATTCACGTCGATGAGTTGCCATAACTATACGAGTGTTACCAAATCTATAATAAACCTGATGGGCTGTGACGACTAGCTAAGTTTCGTGGGTATCATATTTCAGAAGGTCGGGCATCAGCGTATCCTATGAAGTTGGTTTCCAATTATATTCTATAGGCGCACTGGTTCATTGTTTCCGATCATATTTCTCACAGGCAGTGTGCTAGGCTGATGTGATGGGCTCCATGACTTACCGTACATTGATTTGGTCAGGCTGCCTCGAAGCTGGCATTTCACCGTGCTCCTGCTAGCACAGTTCATGTTACAGCTCCTCTTGGTCCCTCGCGCAACACCTGGTCAAGTTGGCAGTTTCACGACGGTTCTCGGGTCCTCAGTACGTAGTCTCGATTCCGCATCATTATGAAAAGCGCTATATTTGTAGCACCCTCAGGGTTATCACTCTAGTGTCTCACATCCCGAGATCTCACACTCTACAAGTAACCGACATGATAACAGTGATCGTTGCTGTTTGGTTGTGATGAACACACTGTGGATATTATAAAATTCGTATACAACATACTGATTGAACAATTCGTCACTTCTGATTCACTTCAGAGTTCATTCATAATCAAGAAGGAACGGCTGTCTTCCTTCTATATGGTCTGACTAGGGGAGACTAGAGTTCGTTAGCCACAACGACAGTCTCTCGATTGCATGGTCTCGGCGATGGCACCTTTCTCAATATCGTCATCCAACGCATTTCATACTACCCTACACCGCGGCTCCCACAGCAACACCATAACTACACGCAGTGACGGCTCTGTGGATCATGTCAGTTACTTCATCTGTCCTTTTCCAAACAACGGGCACTAATGGTACTGTGTTTCGAACGTCTAGTCAGACCTTCATGTTGACACGTCCTTCGGTGTCATCGAGGTAAGTTTCAACGTCGTATAAGCGAACGTACATGATATTATCATAACTCCAGCTGTCAGCACCGGATTCAGATGATACCAAAGTCCAGAGTCCATCTGTGGTAACTTCACCCCAGTTTGAAGTCCCATATATGAGCTCCTACCAGCAGCCGCTTAGTGACGAGGCCAGGACCAAGAAACGAGAGGAGCTTTTTGACAGTATCATCGACGACAAGCTCGGTACCATCCCTGTTCGTCTCATCGACACAACATCGGGCAAGCTATGCAGCACGGGAGAGCTCTACGCTCATTTCAAGGAGTCTCGCAGCTATAAGGAAGTTGAAACGAAGATTCTCAGAGCCAATGAGAAGGTGATGCAGGCGACTGTTGATGCCTTCTTCGAATATGCTATGTTCTCCCATCGTTGGAGTACTACCGTCGAGGACGAGCCTACGTATGACCACATCAAGGGCGAAGAGAGCATCTACGGCCTGAAAACACCACCGGGAACCGAAAAGTTGCAGCAGTTTTGCAAGGTTACTAGGAAGAACCAGTTCCGATGGGCTTGGAGCGATACATGTTGTATCGACAAGACCAACAACGTCGAGCTCCAGGAGTCTATTATCTCCATGTTCTCATGGTATCGGTTGTCATCTGCTACCATTGTCTACCTCTCAGATGTCATCGACGAAAAGAGCTTCAGAAATAGTGTATGGTTCACTCGCGGATGGACGCTACAAGAGCTTATTGCACCTGGGCTCGTCTGGTTCTATAAGAAGGACTGGACGCCATATATTGACAGCAAGCAAAACCACAAAGAGGACCCCCGAGTCGTCAAGATCATATCTGAGGTCACATCTATTGACCGGACCATCCTCAACCAGTTTGTACCGGGGTTGCGAGATGTTGGCTCCGACGAGGTCAAGAGGATGAGCTGGCTCGCCTCTAGGAAGACAACAAAGATCGAGGATATGGCGTACTGCATGATGGGTAGGCTATCACCTTTTGGATAAAGCGATTGCCTGAAGACTTCCGATTTACAGGCATTTTTGGCGTTCATATGCCGGTCATGTACGGGGAGAGAAAGAATGCTTTTGTTCGCCTTCAAAAGGAGGTGATGAACCTTACGGATGACCTGTCGCTATTTGACTGGGTCGGAGAACCCTCGGAGCTTCATTCATACTTTGCATCGCACCCCAGCTGTTTTGCAAACCCTCCAGCTGGATCCGGGAGGAGCTTGTCGAAATTCTCTCACCCTCGGTTTTTTCAGGCCTCCAAGGCCTTTGCCAGCGCCGTTGGTTCTACCGTCGTGATGAATATCAAGAAACTTCTTCTTGACCCTCCTTATGGCCACTTCATTGCTAACGGGAAGATGAACATGCCGCTATTTGTTCATGAGGTTACGAAGCTGATTCCGGCAGACGCAACGGAGTCTCCCACTCTTAATGACGATGGCTTTGTTGACTATCTTGTCAAGGCTGAAGGTCTCGCTGAGGTGAAGATTACAACTCACCAACTTCTTCCCCCTATGATCAACGGCGAAGGTTCGCCTTGCTACCGTCTTGTTCGGATGTGGGACTCCAAGCTTATTCCATCAGAAGATGCTGTGAAGAAAGCAGATGAAGAAACAGGATCCGGATCCGGAGATGGAGATGGAGATGGAGATGGCGAGCATCATGAAAGGTTTATTCATGCCCCCCATTGGCTGGACAGGTCGGATGTATTAAGTCCTATGGCCACTGCGGTGACCGCTGCAGTGTCTCATAATGCAGTGACCATGTTCATGTCTCGTCTTCGGGAACCTTTCGTCGCACAGTTGCTGATTCAGAGAAAACAAGGAGGGCCTTACGAGAGAGTGGGAACAAGAGAGCGGTTGATAGCGGCACCTTCGTCGGGCTCCATCACCTTTCGAGGAATCAAGATTCTAAGTGTTCGTTGATTAAATCATTTCGAAATCGTACGGTATGCTACTTGTATCTGTACAGCAGTCCTGTGTGGGAGTAGCTCAGACCAGGCAATGCCATATCTCCTGTACCAATACATGAAAAATCCAAGCCCCGTGGGTGAGCAGCGTGTCCCAGAGCCAGACTCATTTTTTCATCCATTGATACATCAGCCTCCACTCATCGACATACACAGCGAGCGCGCGCTATCCAGTCGGGATCCGCTGAGTCGCCGTGTTCCGGAATACACGCTTAGTCATCCTCCCTGTTGTACCCACGACAGTTCATTAATGCTAACATCTGGTCTACCGGTCGGTGACCCTTGCCAGAATACGCCTTTACCCGTTGTGCCCTATTTGTTTCTCGAAGACCTAAGCGTTTACTTAAGGCACTGTCTAGTCATGTAATCTATTACGCGCTCACATTTGTTCACTCTCGACACACTGGCATTTCCAACTACCCTATCCTCCACGCTTCCTCACACCACACGAGTCAAAGCCCACTATGCTACCTATACTTGCGAGTGTGGATTAAGTATCAACCCCTCCACTCACTTGATTCCTTCTGAAATGTGATCAATGCCTTAAGCTTCTCGCGTGGTGGGGAGTGCCTCACTATCTCAAATATGGGACCTTACATCGAATTGTAAGGGTTCGCCTTTAAGAGCGCCCCGTTGCATCGTGTTCCTCCATTGGCGCTGTCGCCTACAGTGCATAGCATCCTAAAATGCGCTCTTGCTTAGTGTGAGCCTCCCGTGACTTTAATCAGCCTATTTCGGGGTGGGATTTGAATGGTGAGCTTTAAAATTATGATCATTCACGTCGATGAGTTACCACAGCTATACAAGTGTTATCAAATCTATAATAAGCCTGATGGGCTGTAACAACTAGCCAAGTTTGGTGAGCATCATGTTCCAGGAGGTCGGGCATCAGCGTATTCCATGAAGTTGGTCTCTAATGATATATTCTGTAGATGCCATTGTTTCCGATTATAAAATTCCTCCGTGTTGATTCGATATGATGAGCTCCAAGGCTTACCATACATTGATTTGGTCGGGCTGCCTCGAGGCCAGCACTCTACTATGTCCCTTCTATTGCAACGTCTCGGATCTACAGCTCGTTCTTTTCTTCCCTTGAGAGTGAAAAGGGAAGGTACAAGGAGATCGGTTATGCAAGGCGTTGCGGGTCGATGGCACTTCGATCAATTTGCCTCCAAAGTAGGAGAAGCCAGGCTATTCCACCCGCTCTACTGTCGACGATGAAGCAGACAATATTTAAATACAGAAGGTATGATATCGTTATTCATGCCGAACAAGACGAAAGTTTGGAATTTCTGGAGCGCCCAAAGTTGCAGGGCAATCGAAGTTCGGCTACCCAAACAAAGTGAATGAGAAGGAGGGTTTGTGCGAAGATGAATCAACTGCTGGTGTATCAGGGCGATCTGGCGCAGGCCATCGGGAGTACCAGGGTCCTGGCTGGTAGTCAGTAGCCTTGCATAGTGTTGCAGTCGGTCCTTGATAGATAGAGCTGCAGCCTTCCGTTATAAAGGTTTGACCTTGGGTTTCCCCTCGCATCCTGTGTCCGTTCCACTCTACACCTTCCTAGAGGCTGTGGTAATCTAAATTAGCAGTTAAAATTACGTTTGTAGCATGACCTTGTTATCATTGGCGCCTCGGCAAGGGCCAACACCCCATTTCATACTAGTGCTTTAAATTGATTCGCTTTACCTCGTGGGCCGCAATGTTACTCAAGATATGGTCGGCCCAATTCATGCACCGTCCTAGGACCTAGACTACATCATTTCCATCCCCAATTGGCATGGATGTTGCTGACCATTCTAACATTCCCCAGTAAAAGTTTCAACCTGTCTTGCCGCTTTGCACATCTTTTCGGTGATGTAAATTTTGTGACTCCGAGCTTGTTTGGTTCACGAACACCACCAAGGCTTGAAGATCTTGAAGAATACAAACACCCTCAATCATTCAGATCTTTCTCGGTTCCGTTGAACAACTTCAAACCCCGGGTGAGCAAACAAAGTGTGGACACCCCCACGTCATTCACAATGAGAGGACCGCTTTGAATGCTATGACTCGTGGGGGTGTTTGAGTTCATGGTAACTGTTGTCATTTGAACCTTTCTCGGTTCCTTCAAACTTTGTTTGAACTGAATGATGTGCCCTGTTAGCAGAGTTTATGGCAACCTGTTATCTTCGGACCTCTCTCGGTTTCTTCGAATGACTTCAAACCCTGAGCGAAAAAAGGCTGGACACCCTCACGTCATTCGCAATGAAAAGACCCCAGACTCTGTTCAACATCTTCGCTTCAGCTTAATGTCATAGCCGTCACCGAGCGGTATGTAACGGGTCTCAATATATCCCCGCTCCCCCGCGTGCTTCTCCCCCCGCTTTTAGCTTCAGCTTTGTCGATTTGATCTTCTCCTCGTCACATCTTCAACATGTTAACTTCTTGTGTTTTTAGTGTATTAGCGCTTTATCCGGACGCGCGCACTTGTATAAGACTATCTATAGTTGCATTCATTGATGTGCTACCGATGCTAGGATACAAATAACACAACATCTTAACGAAGTTCAACTGCCATGTCAGCAATGGAAAGCACCACGTCAAGTAACGAAGGAGAGACATTAACGAGGAAAAGACAGTAGCGGTTCAACGGGGAAGGACGGGAGCCAGCGTGTGGTTGGCAGTGGGGATACACGGTTGAAGATTGTATACTGCTCAGGTGATGGCTGCAACATTAACTTGAAGCGAAGATGTTGAGCAGAGTCTGGGGTCTTTTCATTGTGAATGATGTGAGGGTATCCGGCATTTTTTCGCTCAAGGTTCGAAGTCATTCAATAACAGGTTACCAGACACCGCCATGACTCGGAGCTCAAACACCCTTACGAGTCAGGGCATTCGAAGCTTGAAGATCCTGACGGTGGCGTCCCCCCTGCATCTTGAGATCTCGCACTCTGTTGAAGTAGATCGTTGCTGTTTGGCTGTGATTCTGCCAGTGAGTGGACTATATAAAGTTCGTACACATCATATTGATTGAACAATTCACCTCCGAGTCAGAGTTCATTAGCATTGACGACAGTCTCTCAATTACATTGTCTCGATGTCACCTTTCTCAATATCGTCGCCCAATGTCCTGAGCGATGCATTTCGTACCACCTTGCACCTCGGCTCCAACCGCAACACCGTGACTACATCCAGTGACGGGTCTGTGGATCATGTCAGTTGCTTCGTCGGTCTTTTTCCAAACAATTGGTGCTAATGATATTGGGTTTCGAACGTCTAGTCGGGCCTTCAGGTTGACTCATCCTCCGGTGTAACCGAGGCAAGTTTCAATATTGTTGTATGCGGAAAAGTTGATGATGTTATTATAACTCCAGCCGCCAGCACCAGATTCAAATGGGACCAGAGTCCAGAGCCCAGCTGCGGTGACTTTACCGCCATACACAGGCTCCTACCAGCAGCCGCTTAGCGATGAGGCCAGGATCAAGAAACAACAGGAGCTTTTCGACAGCGTCATCGACGGACAGCTCGGTACCATCCCTGTTCGCCTTATTGACACATTGTCGGGCAAGTTGTGCAGCACGGGAGAGCTCTACGCTCGGTTTAAGGAGTCTCGCAATTATAAGGAAGTTCAAACGAAGATTATTAGGGCCAATGAGAAGGAGATGAAGGTGGCTGTTGATGCCTTCTTCGAATATGCTATGCTCTCCCATCGTTGGAGTACTACCGTTGAGGACGAGCCTACGTATGACCACATTAAGGGCGAAGAGAGCATCTACGACCTGAAAACACCACCGGGAATCGAAAAGTTGCAGCAGTTTTGCAAGGTTGCCAGGGAGAACCATTTCCGATGGGCTTGGAGCGACACGTGTTGTATCGACAAGACCAACAACGTCGAGCTCCAGGAGTCTATCATCTCCATGTTCTCGTGGTATCGGTTGTCGTCTGTCACCATCACCTACCTTTCAGACGTTACCGACGAAGAGAGCTTCAGAAATAGTGTATGGTTCACTCGCGGATGGACGCTACAAGAGCTTATTGCACCTGGGCTCGTCTGGTTCTATAAGAAGGACTGGACGCCATATATTGACAGCAAGCAGAACCACAAGAATGACCCTCACGTTGTCAAGATTATATCTGAGGTCACGTCTATTGATGCGACTGACCTCAACAAGTTTGTGCCAGGGTTGCATGTTGGCTCTGACGAAGTCAAAAAGAGGATGAGCTGGCTCGCCTCTAGGAAGACGGCCAAGATTGAGGATATGGCGTACTGCATGATGGGTAGGTTGCCACCTTTTGGTTAAAGCAATCGCCTCAAGGCTTCCGATTTACAGGTATTTTTGGCGTCCACATGCCGGTTATGTACGGGGAGAGAAAGAATGCTTTTGTTCGCCTTCAAAAGGAGGTGATGAACCTTACAGATGACCTGTCGCTGTTTGACTGGGTCGGAGAGCCCTCAGAGCTTCATTCATACTTTGCATCGCACCCCAGCTGTTTTGCCAACCATCCAGCTGGACCCAGGAGGACCTTGTCGAAACTCTCTCGCCCTCAGCTGTTTCAGGCCTCCAAGGCCTTTGCCAGCGCTGTTGGTTCCACTGCCGTGATGAATATCAAGAAGCTTCTTCTTGATCCTCCTCACGGTCATTTCATTGCTAACGGGAAGATGAATATGCCACTGTTCGTTCACGAGGTTATGAAGCTGGATCCGGTGGACGCGACAGACCCTCCCACCCTTAATAACGACGGCTTTATCGATTATCTTATCAAGGCTGAAGGTCTCACTGAGGTGAAGATTACAACTCACCAACTTCTTCCCACCACGAAGAACGGAGAAGGTTTACCTTGCTATCGTCTTGTTCGGACGTGGGACTTCAACCTTATTCCATCAGAAGATGCCGTGAAGAAAGCAGACGAAGCAGTAGGATCCGGAGATGGAGATGGCGAGCGTCCTGAAGAGTTTATTCGTACCCCCCAATGGCTGGACAGATCGGACATATTAAGTCCTATGGCCACTGCGATGACCGCTGCAGTGTCTCGTAACGCAGTGATCATGTTCATGTCCCGTCTCCAGGAACCTTTCGTCGCACAGCTACTGATTCAGAGAAAACAAGGAGGGCCTTACGAGAGGGTGGGAACAAGAGAGCGGTTGATAGCGGCGCCTTCATCGGGCCCCATCACCTTTCGAGGTATCAAGATCCTCAGTGTCCGTTGATTAGATCATTTCGAAATCATACGGTACGCTACCTATATCTGTACAGTGTCCTGTGTGGGAGTGGCTCAGACCAGGCAATGCCGTATTTCCTGTACCAAGATATGAAAAATCCAAGCCCATGGGTGAGCAGCATGTCCCAGAGCGAGCGTGCGCTATCCGGTCGGGATCTGCTGAGCCGCCGTGTTCTGGAACACGCGCTTAGTCATCCTCCCCGCTGTACCCACGACAGTTCAATGTTTGACTTCACCGAGGATATTCCATCGTAGCATACGGATAAGTACGGCCAAGTTCAATCATCGAATTGGCGTGGCTGTTTGTTGCATTCCATGCAACATGCAAGCATGATGTCTGGCTATATTTTAGTATTCGCTACCAACTGAGTGCGACATGCATGGTGCCGGGCGAACTGTCGCTTCCTCGTCTGCACCTCTCCTAGCTGCAAAGTACGCTTGAACCGGGATTGCAGGTTGATCTCGTTCACTGAGTTCTACAGGACCGTGTTCTGGCGCTGGCGTGGATACCATGAGGGGAGCTTCCATGACAGAAGGGTTCAGGGTTCAGAGCGCTCAACTTTAGTCATGATCACGCACTCGAGCTATTCGCGACGTGACTGAATGACATGTTCGAATGGTAATGAGAATGTTCTTTACGATGTTTTACAGGCTGGACTTTTAGCGCTGGCACGGGCACCACGAGGGGGCCTCCCGCACCACTCAGATGTGATCAGGATTCAGAACGCTCAGCTGTGCTCACCACCACGATGTCTTCGCGACCTCAGAGATGGCAGTGCTAATTTGCCCTCCCAGTTCCAGAACATGCGATGGAACCGGCCACAGGTTTGGACACGCACCTCTTGGTATTTAGTGACAGACAACCGGATGACAAGCTCAAAATTCCTGACTTATCTTAAATGCCTCCATTGTTTTGGTCAATTGCCGATTCTCAAAATTTCAGTCTCGATGCTTCTGGTGTTGCCGGTTTCTTCGGTGGCGAGGAAGCCATCACTGCCATGGCTACTGTACACCTGTATAGGGGGCGTAGATGGCTCGGCTGGTACAACTCCCCCGGCAGCTATACTATAGCCAAGGACTTCGGCAGAATATCCAAGTCAAGATTATGGGGTGGTCTTTTTCCTGGCACCAATCATGATCCAGTTGTTGCATTCAAACTGGACGTGAAGACTGGACCGAAGTACGTTGCGTCACGCTCGGGAACTGTCATGCAGCAAACAGGGCACTTTGCGCATCTCCTGACGCAGGGGACGGATGATTTGACGCCACATCCTCTTCCTGCCACACGAACCACTGCAAATTCACACATCTTTATTGTCACTGTCCCTGAAATAGCATATGAAAACCTTCCGGTGCAAACCATGAGCATTCACCACGCCGTTCTCGCCAGTTTCCCTATCCTGATCAGCTTCAGCACATGCATCCTTTCGGCTTTATTCGCCGACTGGTACTGCTTTGCGATGATCCTCCTCGGAATCATCTCCAGCGGTGTTACATGTTTCGTCATCGGCTCCGGAGTCCTTGGTATTGAAACCGTTAAGAAACCAGCGGAGGGCTCCCCTCCAGGAGACGGGATTCTCTTGATGCAGAATGGCGTCATCATCCTGAAGGGAGAGGAAAAAGACGTGAATGCAATTACAAAGGGGAAGTTTTCGCTACAACTAAAAGGAGCACCTGAGTATACAGTTGTCGGTCTGTGCTCGCTGCTCCTCGAAGTTCAGTTTCTACTGCAGCTCCTCCTCATCCCACAGGGATCGCTGTTCGGTCAGATCATGTTCCTGACCTCAGTGGTCGCATCCTGGGCGTACAACTCCTTCCTAGCATCCCTGGACAAGGAAAAACTACAACGGAAACTGTTTTGCGACACTATCGGACTTCACCAAACAGCCATGCTCAGTTTCCAAGCTGGCACTCGAACCAGCATGGCTGCATTCGCATGCTTCGTTCTTTGCGGAGATTTACCAAGGCCTCTTAAGGGTATCGAACCCATGAAGATTCTGTTGGAGTTTGTGCCTAATGAGACGCCAGTGTGGCAGAAGTGGAGGAAGCAAGTAGTGGCTCAGGTCGAGAAAGAGGACGAAATGAGTATCTTTCAACCTGGAAATGTTGATATGTCAGGGCTCAGTAGCGGTGAGCGAAAACTTTTGACGACTCTGCTACAGGATGCGGACGATGCGTACAAAGGGTATATAGAGACCCGTAACCGTCGACAATCGTTGACAATTGCCGAAAAGCCTTGATACCTATATTTCTTTGTCGCCTATCCGATACATATGACGAACCGTGTATTTTGAATTTGCGCCAGTGTTTTGAACAGCATCATTGGCATGGGGTTTCTTCCGATATTTGTTCTCATCGGCTGTGCAGATTAGTGGCTTCAGTCGTCCTACTATCTTTTCGTCTGGTAGTTGTCGTCGAGCAATGAATGTCTTAATCTACTTAAAGACTTTTCGTACAGTCCATGACACCACCATCCTCCAAATCCTCTCGTAGAAAGCTTCAACAACGTATTTTACGAGAGCGTCATTGACAGCCCACGGCGTGCCAATGACACTCTTGAAACCAGAAAACTGAAGTCCAGCTGCGAGGTGGATGGCTTCGTCAGGTGTCTCCTCATCACCGACGGCGGTGTGACATGCTGAAAAGAACACGAATTCAGCTTGCGGAGAATTGTTCTCCATGATGTCAAGCAGTGTGAGAGGTTTGTCCCTCATGGTGAAACATGCATTGTAAGGTTGCTCGTGGTCCTGTTTGCCATGACAAGCAAGGTGTACCCAGGTGTTGCGCTGCAAAGTGTTGAGTGCGCCTGCCTATGTGGCTTTGTCTCCTAAGATATTAGTGAACTTGACGTTGGAGAAAACGAATCCATGGACAAGCTCAAGCTCGCTATCAACAGCGGGAGCAGCGTGCCCTGCACTGCACCTGATTTACTTTGTCCGATTGCCGTGAAGGATGGAGTGACACGCATCCTCATCGTCTGTCGAGACCTGATCAAAGCCGAAAGTGTGAGTTTATATATCCTCCAGGCATGCCTCTGGCCCAGAGCGATCTGCTTTCATTCGGAAATGGTTAGCTACATGAAGAGGGATGGACGTGAAGGCTGCCATCGGACACAGCCATACTCGAGACCGAGGGCGCAATTGTGGATCATGCTGGAGGACGTTGACTATGGGTAGCATGATCTCGTCCCATACCATCTGCAAGAGTACTCGCAATTTATTCCAAATTTATTCCTTGGCTTCTCTGGGCGCATAAGAACCCGCAAGACTGTGAACGACAATAAGAGCAGGAACCGCAAGGAGCCTTGAAGTTTACGTATCTCAGCTACCGCAGCTTCCCATTTCTTTGAAAGTCTCCTATACTGTATTGCAGCACGATCAGCAGCAACTCGGTCTGTGCTAATTGCAGAACCTTGAGTATCAGATAGGTGCCTGCTGAGCTCCGAGAGCCTTTAAGCTAGTTGTGGACTTGTAGACTTCAAGTCTCCCAGTGGAGTCCTGAGTCGAGAGGCCAGCGACCACTGCTGGCCACGGTCCTGCTCCACAAGTTCAACTGCTCACCGTGGATTGCCACTATGTATGGGACATGAGGCTGCATCTACAGGAAGTGATTGTGCACCGCGAAAGGCGCTTGCAGCCTCGTGCCGTGAGCTAATCGACGACCGCGTCATCACATGGCCGTCGAAAAGCTAAAAGCACATTTGATATGCTTCGAGGGCAAATTCATGATGATAGGCTTCGGCTTGGTGAGCCCAGTCAATAGACTTGCCGATATACCAAGGAAAATTTTGAGTAGGATGTCTTGATGCGAGTCTGAAGTTCTCTATAGCAAGTAACAAATCAGCAGGGTCGTGTAGAATCCGGTAACGAGACAAATATATTTCCTACAGCCGCATGTAGACGACATACCTGCCCGAGTGCAGTGAAGACAGAACCGCCAATGATTCTGGGCAGAGATTAATGACCTCCTCGATATCATTCTTCTGAGTGTGCATGAAATGAGAGCAGAGCGCTGAGCTCAAATTGAAAAGATTTACATGGCGCTTCGGGTCGCCGAGCGACGTTAGCTGGAGGGATTCGTGAGATAGATCAATGGTCTCGTTAAGATCCTCGCTAACATGCAACTTGTCATATCTGGTTTTGAGTGCAAAGGCAAGGTTGTTGAGTGTGGTGCGACGATGTGGATGCCCAGGCGGGTGCAGCGTCAGTGCATCGTGATGGAGGCTAATAGCTAGGTAATGACATCAATGTCACCATGTCTGTTGAAACAGGTGACGAGAGCGCCCCATAGGTTGCCCAATGAGAAATGTCGATATTTATGTCCAACAGGCCGCAGTATCGTTCAAGTGAGAGACCGTCTTGCTTGTTGTGAATTCGGCAAATCGTGCGTGGTCTCATCTGTGTCTCAAGCAATCTCACGGTCTACGAGGAACTACAATTGGTGTTTCATTAGCAAAAGCTAGCAAGACAGAGTCTGACGTGCCAACTCACACGAACCAATACGTCATTCTGACCGTTGCAAGCATGTACAATGGTGGCCTTCAGTGTGAGGGAAGGATGGATACCACACGCGGGTAGGAAGGATAGTTCTATGGGATGTCAGTAGATATACGTGATGAATGAGAAGCAAATCTCTCACCGAATGGTCCGTCTCCATGATCGAGTAGCTCATCCAACGATGTTTGAAGTTCTCCGGCGACTTCTCCACTGCCTAGTATTCGATGTGCCTCATAGGACACCCTAATCTCCCCTGAGAATGCAGGTGAGGCATACGACGATCTAGAAACAGGATGTCAGTTCACGAATCATGTCCAGAAGTTTACATGAACCTCACAGGGCTACAATATCGCCCCACACTACATACTTGTGGGATGATAGGACTTTGATGGCTGCTTTCCAGCGTCTCCTCGAGTCGATATTAACGGATACGCAAACGCCCGCGAGTATGCGCTGAGAAGGGACTTGGAGATTCTTTCCTGATAGAGTGTGAGAATCACGAAACGAATACGAAGGTGATATGGCCCGGGAGCGACCCACCTTCAAGTCTAATATATCGTTCTTCTGAGCTACCAGGCATGATGGTGCGATGAAGTAAAATGACGAGGATCGAGAATGGGCTGAGTGGTGAGCGATTAATAAGTGGGAGGGAAGACAGGAATATAAATATGGGACTCGGAACTGTGGATGAAGTTCGGCTAAAAGGGAGAGGAGGAGAGGTTGCAACGTTGAGGGTTAACGTCAAGCTGTATTTCGATGACATTTGTCTGCTGCAATTGGTATGGTAGACGCTGGTATGAGTATGATCATTGCAGAGGACAAGACAACACTAGGCGATGCTAAATCAAACGCGGAAGTTATATACAGGAAGACGTCGACTCCGATGAACCAAGCCTGAAGATAAAGACACACGAGCGACAGCGTACGGGAAAGAGAACGCACCCACTCCCTTACGGTAGCGCCGTCAACGCGTCAACCACTCCTGCTCTCTCATGGCCAGATCATATGCAATTTTAGCGTCTCCCAAGAGTTTTTTGAGAAGGTTTTCGTTATCTATCCCGAGATCCCTTTTCTCCTCGTTGGTAATCTCGAGTAAATTGTGGCAAGCGACTCGGTCACCATTGCGCGTTCTCATTACATCCAAGACCTTTTTTCTCCATGTGATCCATACTTGCGTATCATTCGGAATGAAGTTGCAAATGATATTTTCTGGTTTGAACCCTAGGTTCCTCCATTCCGATTCTTCATAAACACCAGGAGGCTGGAGCATCAGGCATGTGAACACCGCGGCAGTTGTTCTCGTCCCACAAATGTACGTCCGCATATGCTTCTTCTGCAGATGAAATATTTTTAGGATCGATCGTTCCTGGATATACTCGTTGTTGATGGAGGACAAGTACAAGTTGTACAGCCACGAAACTGCGAAAGAGATCAGGAACATGGTTTGACCAGTGAATGTGCCCTGGGGGATTAAGAGCAATTGGGCGAGGAGTTGTATGACGAGTAGGGACGAAAAGAATCCAATGGCAGCGTACTCGTCTCTGACGGGCTCTTCACCATGCTCTAGATCACTGGAATTACTTTGACCTTCTTCTGCATCGCTATCATAGTTCGATTCAGGCAACCTCGTTCCATCTCCAGGAATGGAACGTTCACTTTTTTCCTTCCTGCTCCTCCACCTAACCATGCTGTTGTATTCAAGAATGAACCTGCCCCTCGTGATCGTGGCGACCTCTTTCTCTCTCCCAAGCAGGAGGACGATGTTATCACCGTCCAACAGCATTCCGTCTCCCGGTGGAGCCGTAGGTGCTGTACTTACGCCTTGCAGCTGTAAACATGCCAACCCTATGATCACAGAGAACATGCCGTTTGATATAATTCCCAGGAGAATCATTGAAAAGCAGAACCAGTCACGTATCCATCCACAAATTGCACATGTGATCCAACTAGCGGCTATTGGTAGAATTGCAGCAAGCGCGTGACGCCCCTTGTGAGGTGGGACCTTATAAACCAGCTCGACATTAGACGGCCGACTTGTCGCCTGTTGTGTCCCTTGTTGCGTCGCTTCTTCCCCTTGCGGCAATGCTCCTCCCCCTCCTTGCGGCGCTTCTCCTCCTTGTAGCGGTGGTTCTTCAAAAACGGGCTGCATCTTGATAATGGTCACTTTATTCAGTTTCGTGACATCTCTAGCCCCTGGTACCAGCACTCCTAGTTCCTCCTTGCTCTTCTCCATTATCAAATTTGCAAGATGGCCAGTGTGCTCCAGGACGGATCCAGATCTAGAGGCGACATATTTCGGGCCCCGCTTGCCATCAAGCTCAAATAATTTTGCTGGTTCTTCATTGGGCCCAGGAAAGAGCCCATCCCAGAAACGGGATTTTGCGAGCTTTCCAAACTTCTTGCCGACATTCCAGCTGCCGGGGGAGTTGTACCATCCCAGGAACTTTCTGGTCTTGTAGTGATGGATGGTCTGTATGGCGGAGATGGCTTCATCACCCCCGAAGAATCCTGCGATGGCGGATACGTTGAGGGAAAAATTGCCAGGATGGATATCAGGGGGGTGGGGCATGACACGTATGTTGTGGCTTGGCGTGCTGGTTCCTGCTCTTTTAAGTAGTATACTTGACAGGAGGCATTCCGGAAGCGTAAGGGCTCCAGGCGCCATACTATCTAGGCGCCATGCTATTCGGTGCATGTTCTTCACAGGGATTGCCCTTCGTCTGTGCTTCCTCATAATTTATACTAATCTGGCAGTTACTCACTGATTTCGTCGGAGTTCATGGTACCCTGTTATCCATCGGACCTTTCTCGGTTCCATCGAACAACTTCAAACCCTGAGGCCCGAGCACACAAAGTCTGGACTTCATCACGTCATTCACAACGACAAGACCCTACATCAGGAAATCATTGAATTTCTTTATTTGCCTATGAGCTCCAACGCCGTGCTATTGTCTACTCAGGCGCTATGCTATCCGGTACACGTTGTTCCCGGGGAATTGCCCTTCGTTTGTGAAGATTCCTGCTTCCTCACAGTTAATTTGGCAGTCATTCACTGATTTCGTTGATTGGTCCCTATTTCAAAAGTAATCCATACAGGTATGCTGCTGTTAACTGTTAGCCGATTAAACTTGTGTTCTTTGCGATTGGGGCATGCATTTGCATCAAGTTCAACATAGTAATTTAACTCGTACCAGTGTGTATTGACTTCCATTACACACTTCCAGCGGAGTCCTGAGTCGAGAGGCCAGCGGCCACTGCTGGCCACGGCCCTGCTCCACAAGTTCAACTGCCCGATGTGGATTGCCACTACGTATGGGACATGAGGCTGCATATACAGGAAGTGATTGTGCACCGCGAAAGGTGCTTGCAGCCTCGTGCCGTGAGATAATCGACGACCGCGTCATCACATGGCTGTCGAAAAGCTCAAAGCACATTTGGTATGCTTCGAGGGCAGATTCATGATGATAGACTTCGGCTTGGCGAGCCCAGTCAATAGCCTCGCTGATACGCCAAGGAAATCCTTGAGTAGGATGTCTTGATGCGAGCCTGAAGTTCTCTACAGCGAGTAATAAATCAACAGGGTCGTGGAGAATCCGGTAACGAGACAAATATATTTCCTGCAGCCGCATGTAGATGAAATACCTGTCTGGGTACAGCGAAGACAGAGCCGCCAATGATTCTTGGCAGAGATTGATGATCTCCTTGATATCTTCATCCTCCTGAGTGTGCGTGAAACGAGAACAGAGCGCCGAGCTCAAATTGAAAAGATTTCCATGGCGCTCCGGGTCGTCCAGCGGTATTAACTGGAGGGATTCACGAAACAGATCAATGGCCTCGTTAAGATCTTCGCTAACATGCAACTTGTCATATCTGGTTTTGGGTGCGAGGGCAAGGTTATTAAGTGTAGTGCCATGACGTAGATGCCTAGGTAGGTGTAGGGTCAACACATCGTGATAGAGGTTAATTGCTCGGGTAATGACATCAATGTCACCACGTCTGTTGAAACAGGTGACGAGGGCGCCCCCTAGGTTGCCCAATGAGAAACGACGATATCTGTGCCCAACAGGCCGGAGGCGTAGCACTTCTTCATGCAAAGAGATCGCCTCATCGAGGCCATTAGGTTTGCCTTGGTGACTGAAGCGGTGCTCGAGTGAGATGGCCAAGTTGTTCAAGTAGGTATCGCGGTCAGGATGTCCCTCGGGGCAGAGACACAGCTTCACGACGAAATTGTATGCTCTCATCTAAATCATCAATGTTGACGCGTTGTGTAAAGCATGACCTGAGAGCTCATAAAAGTTTGTCAAGTGCATTTGGACAGTGTTATTGGCCCACAGGACAGAGCTCGAGCACGTTTCGTCGAAGGTGGATGCCTTCATTAGATGTGTCTATTGGAAGATTGTTGCATTTACCGATCACATAATCGACCGCACTGTCTACACCGACGCTACGGAGGTAGGTGCCCTTTGGACAGAGGGGTAGTAGCTTACAGCACAGCTGCGCGGATTCGTGAATGTAGGCAGCGGTAGGCTCCTTGCTGTAGTGCCAGTTCAATGCTCTGATAAGATTATAGAGGGATAACGTGTGATCTGGGTGACCCTGTGGACGCAATGCAATGGTTTTGCGGAAGAGGGAAGTGGTGGTATCAGCGTCTTGAATATCCTTTTGAATACAGCCTTCAAGGCGGGCACACGCAAGATTGGTGAGAGCTGCTGCGTGATTAAAATGGTCGACCAGACACTGGTCCAGAACTAACTGAAAATGCTGCACAGCGTCGTTCAAGTGAGAGACCGTCTTGCTTGTCATGTATTCGGCAGATTGTGCGTGGCCCGCATCTGTGTCTCGAGCACCGCCACAGCCCACAAGAGACTATAGTTGATTTTCCGTCAGCAGAAGCTACAAGGACAGTCTGATGTGCCAACTCACATGAAACAGTGCGCCGTCCTGATCGTCGCAAGCATGTACAACAGCGGCCTTCAGTGCGAGGGAAGGATGGATACCACGCACGGGTGGGAAGGACAGTTCTATGGGATGTTAGTGTGAGTAGATGTACATGATGAATGAGAAGCAAATCTCTCACCGAATGATTCATCTCCATGATCAAGTAGCTCATCCCATGATGTTTGAAGTTCCCCGATGACTTCCCCACTGCCTAGCATTCGACCGGCCTCATAGGACGCCCTGATCTCGACTGAGAATGCAGGTGAGGCATATGATGATCTAGAAACCGAAGATCAGTTCACGAATCATGTCCAGAAGTCTACATGAACTTCACAGGGTCATAATATCGCCCCACACTACATATTTGTGGGATGATACGACTTTGATGGCTGTTTTCCAGCGTCTCCTCAAGTCGATATTGATGGATATATAAATGCCTGCAGGTATGCGCTGAGAAGGGACTTGAAGATTCTTTCCGGTGACGACTGTGGATATGGCATGAGGATCACGAAGCGAATACGAAAGTGACATGAAGCGACCTACCTTCAAGTCTAATATATTGTTCTTCTAAGCTGCCAGGCATGATGGTGCGATAAAGATGACGAGGATCGAGGATCAGCGGAATGAGTGGGAGGGGAAGACGGGAATATAAACTTTATGGGAGCTGTAGATGGCTAGCTCGGCTGAGAAGGAGAGGAAGAGAGGCTACAACGTTGAGGGTTCGCGACATGCGGTATTTCCATGACAATTGTCTGCTTGGCACGACAGACACTGGTACGATCATTGCATTAAGCGCTGAGAATGGAGAGCACCAGCTAGGAAGAATTCGAGTCTGCTAAAGAAGTGAAGATAATGTCAGTCACATCAGCGAAAGTAGCACCTCAAGGTTCTTGAAGGGGACATGTGAGTGTCAGAGCGTCCTCTGATGATTGCTGCTACCGGACTTGCATCAGACAATGGTAAATGAATAGCGAAAACCACAAAATATGTTAGTAAGTACTCGTAGGCGATTGTGACGATGGCGAGTGCTTTCATGATCAGCGGTTAATCCGCAGTGTTCCCTGTGAGCTTCTTCCCACTTTCAGGCATTACTATCATTCAACGAGAAATGCACAATTTTCACTTATGGCTGATTAGCATCACAACAACGCATATTCGTATCGGAATTACTTTAGGTCTCTGTGCGTTGGGCTGATCAAATGCACATAGTTGATTAGAGTCGTATGGTGTAAGCCAATATCCACGGGTATAAGTTACTGGTGGACAGGATAAGATAAGTCGTTCCGTTATTTTAATCATTCTTCAACCACCACTGCTCTTCCGTGGCCAAATTATATGCAACTCGAGCGTCTTCCAGGAGCTGTTCGAGAAGCTTTTTGTCGCCCGACCCGAACTTCGTTTTCTCCTCGCTGCTCATCTTGAGTAAACTGTGGCAAACGTCCTGGCTACTATCGCGTTTTTTCATTACCTCCAAGACTTTTTTTCTCCATGTAACCCACACCTGCGTATCATTCGGAATAAAGTTGCGAATGATACTTTCTGGTTCGAAACCTAGGTCCTTCCATTTGTCTGCAACAACGTATTTGTGTGCAACGTCGTCAGCAGGCTGGAGCATCAGGCATGCGAATACTGCAGCAGTTGTTCTTGTGCCAAAGATGTACGTCTGCATATGCTTCTCCTCCAGATGAAGTTCCTTTAGGATCAATTGTTCCTGGATATACTCGTTGTCGATCGAGGACAAGTACAAGTTGTACGCCCATGAAGCTGCGAAGGAGGACAGGAACATGATTTGGCCAAATAATGTACCCTGGGGTATCAAGAGCAGTTGGCCGAGGAGTTGTATGACGAGCAGGAGCGAACACAATCCAATAGCAGCGTACTCGTCTATGACGGGCTCTTCACCCGGCTCTGGAGACGTAGCATACTCGTTTCTAACGGGCTCTTCACTCAACTTTGGAGACGTAGCACCCTGGTTTGTAGGCGCGGCAACTTGCTTTTGAGGCGTGGCAACCTGCTTTAGACAAGAATTATTTTGACCTCTTTCTGCATCGCTATTGCGGTCCGAATTGGACGACTTCACTCCGTCTCCAGGAACGGAACGTTTCCTCTTTTCCTTCCTGCTCCTCCACCTAACCCAGGGGTCAAATTTGAGAATGAACTTGCCCCTCGTGATCGTGGCAACGTCTCCCTCTTTCCCGAGCAGGAGGACGATATCATCACCATCCATCAGCATTCCGTCTCCGGGCGGAGCCGTAGGTGCTGAATTCACGCCTTGCAGCTTTAAACATGCCGACCCTATGACCACGGAGGATATGCCGCTTGACATAATTCCCAGAAGAATCATCGAAAAGCAGAACCAGTCGTGTGTCCATCCACAAAGTGCGCATGTGGTGAAGCTAACGGCTATCGGTAGAATTGCAACGAGCGTGTGACGCCCGCTGTGAGGTGGGATGTCGCGGACCGGCTCCTCTTTAGGCACCTTCTTAGGCAGCACCTCCTCTTTATGCGTCTCCTTGTGCGGCTCCTCTTCCTCTTTATCTTCATCTTTAGGCGCCTCTTTCGGCGTCTCCTTTCTAGCCGCCGCCGGTTCGAAAACGAGCTGCGTCTTGATAATGGTCACTTTATTCCGTTTCGTGACTCTTCCTTTCACCTGGTATCCTAGCTCCTCCTTGCTCTTCTGCATTATCAAATACGCAAGATGGCCGGTGTGCTCCAGGACGGATCCAGATCTAGAGGCGACATATTTGGGGCCCTGCTTGCCATCAAGCTCGAAGAATTTTGCGGGTTCTTCATCGGGTCCAGGGAAGAGCCCGTCCCAGAAACGGGATTTTGCGAGCTTTCCAAACTTTTTGCCTACATTCCAGCTGCCGGGAGAGTTGTACCACCCCAGGAACTTTCTGGCCTTGTAGTGATGGATGGTCTGTATAGCGGAGATGGCTTCATCGCCGCCGAAGAACCCTGCGACACCGGATACGTTGAGGGAAAAGTTGCCAGGACGGATTTCAAAGGGAGGTTTTGAGGGCATGACACGTATGTTGCGGTTGGCGTGCTGATTCCTGCTCTCTTAAGTAGCGTATCTAACGGGAAGCGCTCTGGAAGCGTAAGGACTCTAGGCGCTATGCTATCTAGGCACCATGCTACATGTTTTTCCCGGGAGAATGCCTTTCGTCTGTGAAATTTCCTGCTTCCTCATGATCATGATGTATCTATACTAGTCTAGCAGTTATCCACTGATTTCGTTGATTGGTCCCTATTTCAAAAGTAATCCATACGGGTATGTTACTGTTAGCTGTTAGCTGATTAAACTTGTGTTCTTCGCGATCGGGGCGCGCATTTGCATCAAGTTCAGCATAGTGATTTGATCTGTACCTATGTGTATTGACTTCTACTATGCGGCCTATTGCAAGTGTCTAGCTGAGGTGATTCAAACAACTTAAACAAGAGTCGCCGAGCGCCGTTACGAAAATACTTGATTCCGATCAAAGAGGAGACATCCTCTTCAACTTCTTAACTTTGACTTTCGCGGCAAATTTCAAGCGTCCCCGGGCCTTCCCCCACAGAAGTCGGCATTTTCATAAAACCCGTTCTTCTAGTTGCTTAAACATAAAATTCTTAATGTAGATATCATTCTCGAGCTCTCCAGCACATCTCAATGAACGACCACGATTGAGATGATACAGTTGAAAGTGCCAAGGTCACGCAGAAATGTCACCTGCCGATATGTGCCGTGACGGAGTTTCAATACTGCACACCTGGGTGTAGCGCTGCTCAGCGGATATTTCCATCAATTCTGCGCTAACGTTAAGGGGCCCCAGCTCTCCACGTGCATATGCAGCATGATCCATATGTGCATGGTTGCCAACTTCTGTGGGGTGCCGATTGCAACGGCAGTGCTACCACAGCCGCCATTACACTGATTGAGTCGTGTCAAACCTTCTAGGGAACTGATCAGGGTCCTCTGACTCCGGAGCGCTTTGGATGATTGATTATCACTGCGAACAAACACACGGGCACAACCCTCGACTCGTCTGAAATGCCACTCCTTCAACGCCACTAGAAATTGCAAAATCTCGACTTCAGTCTCGATGCTTTTGGCGTTACTGGGTTTTTGGCAGCGAGCAAGTTATCACTGCTATGGCCACTGTATATCTCGCAGGGGCAGAAATGGCTTGGCTGGTGCAATTATCCCGGCAGATATACTATGGCCAAGGAGTCCGTCAAGATTATGGAACAGTCTTTTCCTGAGCTTGACAATAATCCAGGTGTTGTATTCAGGCTGAACGTGAAAAATAGCCCAGAAGTATTATATCTTGACTACATCACGTCACAATCTCCTGACGCAGTGGGTGATTTACTAAACACTAGGTCTTCCTCTCGCCTGAATCACTCCGGTCACACGGATATCTATTATCGTTGCACCTGATGCCACGTTTGCTTATAACTTTTAGGTGCAAAATATGAGCATCTAGTGATTCCAGTCCCTAGAAAATGGAACGAATCCTATTTGACGAACTTCGAAGTCATGTGCAGTTATCAGGGTGCCCCGAGCCGGGGCCCGGGATGGCTGCATTTGTATGCTTCGTTCGCTGTGAAGACAACTCAAAGGCATCCGGCCAATGAAAATTCTGATAGAGTTTTTGCCCAACGCGACGTCAATCTAGTAGAAGTGGAGGAAGCAAGTGCCACGCTCAGGTCGAGAAACCAATTGATGGCGTACTTCCCAGCGATTTACATGTTACTCGACACAGATCTGATTGATACGAAAAGGTTCAACATATAAGATTGAAAGGGTAAAGCATAGTAGTTGTACATACGATACGTGCGATATTCTAAATATGAATTAACTTCATGACAATTGAAATTTATGTGAAAACGTGATAGCAAAAGCAGTTACCGAACGCACTGCAGAAAACATGAAAGCAACATGAAATGAAATGAAAATCATCGAAAAGTACGATAACGAAGAAAACTAAAAGCAGACGGTTAATAAAGCGAATTCCAAAGCAAAAGAACATAATTCGAGAGAAAAGCGTAAAAAGTCCAAGTCAGTGTTCACCGAACCTCATAAATCGACTCCATCCGGTCAGATGGTGGGCGAACCATCACCCTAGGGAGCGTTTCGTCTTTGCGAAGAATTCCGCGGACCTTGCTCGATTCTGTTCGACTAAGCGTTAGCGGCTTCAGATGCTTGTTCACAGAACTAGCACTGGGAGCAACATTCTCATCGTGCTCTTTCATCGACTTTGGCTTCTTCTTTCCAAGAACGAGCGGTCGTGTACCAGCGAACCCGTTGCTGGCGACATCGCCAGTATTATTATGGTTCGAATCACGATCTTTAAGTAGGGAAAGGGTGCGAAGAGAATTCGAGCTCGACTTCGTTGCGGGCTCTGTGGCGTCCTTGCGCTGGTTGCTAGACTTGAGTATAAGTGGTTTCACCACCCGGGAGGACCACTGTGCGAGTGTACGAGATGTCATGTCATTAGTAATATTTCGTTCGGTGGGCGGCCGAGCCTCTGGCTCCGTTGGTGCTTGGGCGTGTTCCTCGGATGACCTGATATAGACAATACTTGAGCGTTTGGAAGTCAGTTGAGAGCGAGGCATAGCGGCAGCTTGATATTTTCGTGCAAAATGGCATTCTTTTTCTTGCAGTGGCGTGCTTTGCGCAGCAGGATCAAATTCGGCCATAGGGTCAAAGAGAGTGACCGTAGATGCAGCGGATGACGGAGGAAGTATTGTTGCGGTGTCAAGGGTAACGACGGAGGTACGTGCACTTTCCATGCCATGAAGGACTTCAGCACGAAGACCAAGAGTGCGAGTAGAGATTGTGCGGCCGAGGGAGGCGCCATTCTGAACAAGCTGCTTATCAACATGCACGGGGGGATGTGCAAGAAGGTTGGAGACCGATTCGCCCCCCCAGACCGTGTTGCGCCTTCCATCGTTTACAGTGGCGTATCCACCAATCTTCGTGGCAAGCGCGCGGCTAATCTCGGATTTCAAAGCATTGGCTGTGTCCTTGCGAAGACCGAGACTGCGCAACCAACGTCAGAACATATCGACGTGGGAATCAGGGGCTAGTTCACCTAGAAAGACTGAAGTGATGTCTCTTGTGCGCAGACGCCTTCTTGGGCCTGACCTTGCCATTGGCGAGTGTCGAGTGCAGCGCGGTACTTTCCCAGTCTCCTTTGGCGAGCACACCGAAGTCACCGTTATCCTTCTGGGTGCGAGAAGCTGGCAGGCGCTTCTTCTTTGTCACAGTGCTGCTGATCGGGGGGTCGAACTCGAACTCGAAATCCTTGATCTTCACATCACTTCCAACCCTTAAACCAGGTACAAGGAGCGGCAGAACACCAGCAGTGAGCACATCGATCTCGTTTACATCGTCATTGACAACTGCGCCGAAGCTATAACCAGACGAATACGACTTCCGGTGGATGAGAGTGCGCATCGATTGTTGCTTGGCAAGACGGACATTAGGAGGTGTGGGAGGCAGAGGTTGAGACGGAGGTCGGCTAGGGCTGGGGCCGGGGCCGTAGTCTGTGCTGATCGCCTGACCAATGACTGAAGAGACAGAGCGGGAGCGGAGATGCGAAGAACCAGAGAGGACCGACTTCCTCTTCTCCATGCCAGCGCCAGTAGTTACAGTGAGCAGATCACCACCTTGCTTCTCTGGCGATGCTGTGACAACCACCGTAGTTGCAAGCGCAGAATAATGCCTCTGGGCGACCATTATTCTCGAGGCAAATTCATCGCCTGAAATTCTTGACTGAACCGACTGCTTCCTGATTCTTCCAAACTCCGCAGATTGGGGGGTGTTAGGGAACACAGAAGTATTGAATGATTCAGACTCGGTCTGCATTGGCAAGGGGGGCGTCATCTCTCCATCTTCCTTTTCACCATCAGGAGGCAGTACAGCTAGGCGCGGAACAGGGGTCATGAGACCAAGTGCCCTACTAAGCTTGCCTTTCCCGTCTACGGCGTCCCCTTGTGAGAGCCAAACATCTCCAGAGCGTCTCTCTTCGACAACTGTGACTGACCCAGACCGCTTGTACTCACGGTTGCAGTCGGTGAGAGTGACAGCCGGAGATGGTGCCCGCATGCAGACTGAGGGAGGCTCGCTATGAACTTCAAAAAGACCGGTCGGGATGGGGATGGGCGAGCGCATAATGATGTTCATGGCAAGGAGGGGCGAAGACAGGGTGACCGAGAGGGCAAGAAGAAGAGGGGTGGCAGAAGATACGAAGCCATTTCCAACGAAAGATAGGATGTATGGCAGGGAGAACGCCTGGTGACCAGATATTAAAGCCGATTTAACGTCAGACAAGGAGGACTCACCAAAGGTACCCAAATTGTCATCATCCAGCAGGCATACCGATAAATTGAGATGTCGACATCATTGCCATTATACGCCAGAGAAGCAATACCCCTTTCTGAATCACCCTGATATCCGTATCCTCCAAGAACTCGAGCACTCGACAGAGCGGGGGTCAGTGGCCGATTGCATTGGGGAAGAAGCTCAGCGTTGAGATCAATGGCGCTGACGCCACCTTGATGGCTGGTGGGATAGGACCATGCAGAGTGCGAGATTTGAGACCCAGACGGCGAAGTCAGCCATGAGCTCTGCGAGCCGAGACGTGGCCGAATCGGAGTATCACGACGGAAAGGGTCAGGATCAGAGCTTAGTGCGTCAGTGGGTGATGGAGGGTGAGATGAAGGCAATGCTGGGACTGGCGGAAATAATACGTCACCGGTCACAGGTGTAGGCGGATCAAACCAATAAGACGATTTAGGCACAAGGGAGGTTTTGGATGCCATGGCACAGTCGACGCGCAAGGAACCAGAACGGGGGTGCGTTTGATGAGTCGAGAAAGACCAGTTGGACACCGAGTCCTGATGCGTACTGCCTGCATCAGAGGTAAGCCAAGAACTACCTTCCCTGAGGACGTCAACATCCTCAGTCGCGAACGAGGGGCGGGGTTTGTCCTCGACTTCTTTAGCAGGTGGCCAGCTGTCTGCGGGATCATTGAGTGCGGCGAGATTGCGCCGGATTACCACAAGAGTGTACACGAGACTGCCAAACGATGCACTGCTCAAGACAGCAACAGTAGTGGAATATGCCAGAAGTCCAACGAAGAAGCTTGGGACACCTACCCCCGCGATAACGCCAGAGAGTACAGTGGATGTGAACCCCAGGAGCATGGTGGGCGCCCACAGCATCCAGTGCCTGTATCCGAAGGATACTGACCGCCCCATACGAATGTGGATCAACGTGAGTGCGGACACGACAAAAAGACAAGTCTGCCTGATTGTCAAGGCAAACCACAACCTTGCCGAGGATGCAGCGTCACGGGCCTCGCCATATGCTGCAGGGCCACCATAGTATTCACTAAATGCCTGCCAAATGAAGACGCATAGAGCCAGGATATCGAGGGAAGCCAACCATAGGTGACTCTTGTCAGCTGAAGAAAGAGAACGAAAATTATAATCAGGCAGTCCGAACTCGGACTAAAAAAAGATCAGTTATTTGAGGCTCATGGGAAGATTAAATACACACGGGAGCGACTCGTCTGCTTAAAGGATGAGGCGGAAGAATTGGAATTACTATGCGAAAAATAACAAAAGCTGATGATATAAACGAAACGAAAGCCAGAATAAGCGTCGGAATAAAAGGAATCATGGTGAACGTTGAGAGCGTTGAGAGCGTTGGTAAATTCTTGGATGGATCTTGGATTTGACTTTATGAGAGAGCGTCGGATGCGTGAATGCGTGAATGCGTGAACGGCGTAAGGCCTTCGTGACAAAAAGCCGCTACTGAAAAAAAGCGCCCGCCTTAAGGAAGTGCAATGAAAAGTTTAAATGTCTGAACAACTCAGAAATCGAACAAGAACCAAATAATGCTGGACCCATAATAACAAATAGTACACACTTGTCAACAACGCGTCATCACGTGATTTTTGATTTTTGGACCAGATCCTGACTGGAGGAAGAAGTGACGGCTGCCAATGGAAGAAGATTGATTTATTGATTCATCTCTAACCGTACCGATAGTCAGGACACCATGGGTCGTTGACATTGATAATCCCTTCAAGTTCATCCTCGACCAAGTAGTTTGGAATGGTGTTGTTTGCCAAAGGCTTTAGAAATCAACAGAAACAAACAATGCGCGCTCATCTTCGATTCCACCTTTCAAGCTGGATACAGGATTATGCCTACCATCACTGACCTCCCAGACGAGCTTTTGGATGAAATAGCCCATCTATTACCAAAGGGGACCCTATCCTCCCTATGTACCGTTTCAAATCGCTTTCAACCCCGCGCGACGCGATGGCTCTACCGGTGTCTGGCCCTGGCGGGTAACGGTGAAACGATAAACATCTGCAAGGTCCTCATTTCAAACAAACTCGCTGCTATCTCCGTTCGCAAAGTTCTCCTGTGGCCAGGTTTAGCATTCTCTCGCCTAAGTCTCACAGGAGGGTAAGTGCTTGCCCCTCGTTACCTGCATACGTGTAACCACGCTTGTTCAATTCAACAGACCCTTTTATCTCTACCTGTCCGCCTTTTACAAGCTGTTGTCCCGTGCCTTGGCTTGTGCGACAAATGTGGAAAATATCCGGTTAATGTTTCCCTACTGCGGAGCATCTCTGTCGTTAGATGCCTGCGCGTTCCCAAACCTTCATTCATTTGCCACCACAATGGAACCCCATACTCTTGCCTCGTTCGTCAGGAGACACCCACAGCTTCAGGAGCTGCATATATCTCCGAGTGACCTGAGATCCATTCCATTGTCAGAATTCAGTGGAATATCCCTTTCCTCGCTGAATTCGGTCTGCCTTCCCCAATCTTTGCTATTTATAATTGCTCCGGATGCACCCCTACATTCTGTTTTGTCTCCAGAGATCGACGACAACGAAGAGATCCCGAATTTTATCAAGCACCTTTCTCGGTATTGCACAACGCTCACTGAGCTTCATTTGTGCCGTCCTCACTGGAATGCCGAAGTTTTAATGCATGTCGCGACTTTGCTGCCAAAGATCAAAAACTTCAAATTTACTAAGATGATACCTGGTCTACACCACCATTCCAATGCAGCTGTAAGTTGTTGTCGCTGCGCTCCAAAAGCTCACGACGTTTATGGGTGCAGTTTCTCGAAGCATGCGAAACAGCACTTCCCTTTTTTAGTTCCCTCAGTCAATTAAGCATCGAGATTACACGCAATCGAGAACTATCGGGCTTTTCTTTTGTGTCCGACTACAGATCCGACTTCAAGATGGTTCAAATATGGGGCAACATATGCCCGACCCTTAGTATTTGTGCCTTTCCATGTACGTACACCCAACACTCAAGTATGTTAATGATAGGAAGCAACTAAACGACCCATAGCTGGAACTGCATGGCATCGTATTGAGGACAATGTATGGATGCCAGACTTGCACCACAAGGCTGCAATTCGGTGGTTCTTTGAGGCCGCCTCCACGGATCAGTTTCCGATCCATGTCATGGGGTCTTTACAGCAGTTCTGCGATTCCATAGGGAAAGTTGACACCCTCGGACTACTCAATTTTAGGTCGCCGTCAGCCATGGAATCAATTGGCCTTTACCCCCAGACAGAGGAGGACGAATCAGAGTTTTATTCGAGTGATTCGGATGAGATCGAGGAATAAGATTAAGTGATACAGGTGACGGGCAACCGAGTCTAGTACTATGCAGTTGAAGAATTCGTGTCGTTGAAAAGGGCCTGACGGTATGTGTCTTGCTGTACACTACGAATATTTATGTATTTGATATCAAGACAGCAATGTGCGATCGTGATATCATCCTTACGTGTCTACAATTGAACTGCACAAAGACTGAGAGCATGTATATTCACGGATCCATACGACAGAAAGTAGAAAACATCTGCAGCTCCAAACCAAGCCCAAACCATTATCATAACATCCTACGCGTATCTCTGAGCCGTGCCTGCCAAGCCAAACCGTCACCATAACACCCTACACGGATCTCTGAGCCGTGCCCGCCAAATCTGTGAGCAGTTTGACCTCATCCAGCATCTTCTTCGGTGTCTTACCTGCGACAGCTGCTTGTAGAGCAACGTTCGACGCGAGATAGACAGGTTGATCAGGTAAGTTCGCCTCTTGGAGGTTAGTCCTGATGCTACGGATGGTTTCTGCCACGTATTGGTCGCGCGCCCGTGCAAAGTAGCTAGCCTTGTTTCCACCTTCATCGTCACTGTTATAGCCTATATCTTTCATGAGGTTCCTGATGTGCTGATCCGCTTTAGAGCGGACGATGAAGGCGGGAATACCAAAGCGCCTAGCGTTGGAAAGGATAGCGACGTCAGTGGCAGTGAAACGATTGTTAACTACAACGATGATGCAGTCGAAGACGAACAGCCCTTGGTCATTGAAGTATTTCCAATCGGGAACCTTTAAGGTACCCGCTCCGGGAACATCGTACCAGACGAAGCGGCTGGATGGGTTTGGATCAGGGTATCTGGCCACCACAAGAGTGGTCTCGTTCACGCCAACCGCGGCAGCATCAGGATCCATATTGTGCTTGCCTCGGAACGCGTTAACCAGTGACGACTTGCCGCTACCAGCTATCCCACTGACGGCAACATGGAAAAAACCTCCGGTATGCTGTATCTTGGCCCTGAAAGCAGAATATTCTTCAGGCGTAGGCACGACCACAGGTCGGGTGCCATCTCGCAATTGTCTCTCAGCTTCCTCTCTCGCAGCTTGAGCTTGCCTGGCTTCTTCAGCAGCTCTTTGTGCGGCGCGCTCAGCTGCTTCCCTCTCGGCCTGGAGTCTTCTGTTTTCCTCTTCCCTGGCTCTCTGTTGCCGTTGCCGTTCTTGCTGGGCAGCGATGGCAGCTTTCCTAGCAGCTTCTTCAGCAGCTTGTTGTCTGCGCCTCTCTTCTTCAGCCTCTCGCGCCAGTCGTTCCGCACGTTGTCTTTCTTCGCGAGCCCGTGCTTCTGCGGCCTCGCGGGCGGCACGTGCTGCCTGCTCGGCTTGCTCTCTCTGGCGGCGCTGTCGTTCGGCCTCTTCGCGAGCAGCTTGCGCTCTCCGAGCTGCCTCCGCTTGTTCCGCCTCAAAGCGCCGTCGTGCCTCTTGCGCCTCGCGCATGAGCCGTTCGGCCTCCGCACGGCTGCCTGAGCGCACGTTCTGCTTCTTGACGAGCAGCTTCAGCTTCGGCGCGAGCACGAGCTTCGACGCGAGCACGAGCTTCGGTGCGAGCACGAGCTTCAGCCTCTTGTTGTGCACGAATTGCTCCCCAGTCTGGCTCATAGTGATGTGAGTGTCCCCCGCCCATGACTAGAATTTCGAGGTTGTAGATGAAGATCTCGTCGGTTGGTCGGTGGCACTAACAGGATGTCAACAAACGTGGATTTCGGCACAGTTCATTCAATTACCGACCTGGATCCGTTGACGATGTAGGCCTCTATGAGTGCCGTTTGAGGGTCTGGGGAGTCTGAGGTTGTCTCGGCTGACTCAAATACCACCTACGACTAGCAGCCTCGAGGGTCCATCAAGGGTTATAGTGGCAGTACCATGATTGAACAGAGTACGAACTAGTGCACAACCTTGTCATGTTACCTGAAAATGTCTGACGATGATCATGAGTAACTTCTTTCGAAGCACACAGCGTCTCCTATTAACTACCGCGAACACGGTAGTCCGGCGTGTGAGGCGCGTCTATGGATAGAAGAATGTAGCTACCAAGTAATATGATAGAGCTTTACCACAGGTTCACCACAGTTGCGCGAAGTTTCATTGCGCCGGCAAATGCCGTCATAACGAGCCTAACTAGTGTCATATCATACATGTCCTCCAAGTCAGCTTGTGTAATGTCATGATCCATCCAACAGCTTCAAGCTCATCCTAAAAAAATCAATTCCACGAGCGTAGATCATCGTCAGTAGGATATCGCAATCGACCGAGACGAGCTTCTTACGATAGTCCCCAAGCGCGTTCGTCTCAATATAGTTAAAGGACAACCACTACATTCAACGCGTCTGGCCACACGCGAACCCGCAATCGTCCTCGTTGCCAGAGCGCATGGAGTTACCATCTGAAGAAAGAAGTTTGCTCAGTCGAATGGACTTGAATGAAGAAGGGGTATTGGGCATGCATATCAATGATAGCTCGTCGGATCCTGTGAAAGGTTGTAACACGAGAAATTTTGGGTCCCCACAGCATACAAACACATTATCGGATCTCAGTCAAAATTTGCCTTCGGTATGTTGCTGGCAAAAAGTTCGGTTACGATACTTACGTTATGCCGACCAATTAAACTTAGTGTACGAAACTGCGACCAACAAGGATTTCCCTCAACTTTCCGTCTCAGACTCCCCCCGCGCAAAAGTCTAGCAGCGCTTTGTTACCATCTGCATTCGAATCTAGGGTGATTAGCCTGTTAACCACAGGTTTTGAGATGCTACGCGAACCTCTGCCGGAGTCAACAACTGCGCATAATGGTGGATTCGGGTCCGTTGTAGAGAGGTGCAGGCAACATCTAGCACCTGTTCTTCTTATGTGTGCCAAATCTCAAGATCCTTCGATGACTCTTGACATCACAGCGTGTGCAGCCATGCTTACCGACGATCGTTGCCGCGAGTTTCTGCAACAAGCTAGAGATATGAAACTTCAAATGGATGCCCTTGCCCCGCACCCACCGGACAACCCCCTAGCCGTCGCAGTTGATGCAACCATCAAAAAGAAGGACTTTAAACGCAGCGTGGATGGACATGGTGAATCCACTCGGACTGCACGTGTTTGGCTAGATTCCGGGTCACGGAAGGATAGCGAAGCTACATTGGTAGATTTGCCAATTGACTTCAAGGCTTTCTCACCCCTCGAAGATTCCAGACAGAGCTTTGTCAAGGATATCACACTCCCAGTCAAACAGATCATGGAACACGACGGGGTTCTGTCCCTGCACGACCCAAACTCGGTAAATGTTCAAACATCGACTCCTGCCTCTGTTCCACATCAGATGGCTCCATTGCCTTCGATTCCCGTGGAAGACATCGAAATGATGACATCTCTAGCACGTCACTCAGCAAACTCAGGACTGTCTCCTGCAGATCCTCAGAACGCAGCAGCATGCTCTTCTGCCGACTCCCATCCGTTGTTACTGGAAATTCCAACCTTCTCTATGCCCGGAACTTGGTTCGGGCGTCAGGGTCTTACTCGACCAGGCATACTTCACGTCGATTTTGCGGTGGGAAATGGCATTATTCCCGCAACTTCGTCAAGTAGGTGCGCAGGACTCCGCGGTTTTAACTTAGGCGCCTTCCTTACGAGAGATCCTAGCTCCCCCAATACTCCATTTACCATGCAACTTTCTTGTTTTCGCAGGGATCCTCGCCATGAGCTTCAGGAAGGTGATGGCCTGGATATTACTCTTGAAAAAATCAGGAATGCGGGAGAGCATTGGCCTACCAAAGGTACCATCGTGGTACAGTTGAACATTGAAAGTCCCAATGGGCGGTCCTGGCTTCCCTATGAATTGGTATGGAGCTATTTGTGGATGCTACCTAAATAACTTAGCGTCTGCTACAGGAAAAGGGGGCACTGAATGTGACTCCGTCTATCACGCAAGGCAATAACACGTTGCGTCTAATACAGCTCAATGATCTATCCGACTTTACCTTCGTTCTGTACGCCCTCTCGCCAGAGCTTCCAAAGAGGGCGGAGCCTTGAGGGGACGATGCTGGGCATCCAAAATTACCCAGCCAGTCTCAGATTTACCATTTGACACAACAAACACCATTCAGCAGTATGCAAACATACCAGTTATTGTATCATAATAGTTACCTTTGTACCTTCAGGTCAGCGTCAGTCTAGTCACCTCTTGCATTGTAAAGTCACGCACGACATGATATTTTGGTATCAATAGCAACTTTCCTTAATAAACATGACAATAGCATCTGAAGCGCTCGCCTTGGTATCAGAAGGTCACCGGGCATATCCTACGTCACCGCCAAGTTTATCAAAACGGCCGCCTCGAGGCGCGTTACGTTGACCTCGGCAACCGGAAGTGCCTGCCTGCCTTTCTCCACATGTTTCTTTCCCTCATCATCCTTTGTACTTTTGGAAAACAACCGTCCCTCCTTTATTCACTTCTTTACGACCTCACGACCTCACTACGGCATACTCACTCGCACTAAGCCATCTCCACCATATCATGTCCGGTGGAGACCCAACCCACGCCATATTAGAGCCTCCCGATGTCAATAGCACAGAAACTGAGCGGCAAAAAGGCAGAAGTCTCAAGAAGGATGAACGAGGGTATGCACAAGTGTACCTCGCTCGAGCACGGATTGAGGGGATTGAGAAGTGGAGAGCGGCCGTGGATGCAGCGCTGCAGGCAGCCGAAGAAGAACGTACCCGGTTTGAGGAAACGAATAGAAAACGACGAAGAATCGAAGAAGATGCGTGGGGAACTCCTGAAGAGATGCAAAACAAGGAGATCGAGGAAATTTTAGCGCAGGACGTCCCAGTTGAGGTATGCGACTAGATGTTGTCATCATCTCGTTCCTCCTAATAACCTCGTCTATAGCATACTGACGCGGTGGGAGGTACAAAGCAGAAGCGCCGCAGTAGGCGACATGAGCTCTGGAAAGGCCTCCGAAATATGTTTTTTAATATTATCTTCTAGCCAAGTCCGTCGTCTGATTTATCATCGTCGGTGTTCGTAATAGCACAATTTGGAGTTGTGGGAGGCACAGTGGGTGGATGGCGACCGGTTGAATGAAGATGGCAGCCAGCAATCACGAGGCAGAAATTGCCATCGCGGCCGCCCTTGACTGAGCTGGACTGATGCTCATTCCACCAAAGGACGCGCCCAATCCATCGTCATCCGACTCTCCCCGTTTCGAGACAGTGATTGGTATGCACGAGCTGCCTTGTCCATACTCCCAGTCATCAACTGCTGGGCTCTCTTCTATCAGGTCATCTTCATCTTCATATCCGTCCTCTTCTTCATCTTCATCGCCAATAGCCACCGTTGCCCACTCTCGATATACGCCTTGTATGTACTCGCCTGAGCGGGGTAGTTTGAAGGGATCAAAAGGAAAAAAAGTATGCAACTCCTGTGGGCCAGCGCTACCGGGTGCTACACCGGCAAATACAGGGTACGGTGCTCGTTTGTTCGCCTCCAGAATGGAGAAGCAGTATGTGAAATCAGTTGCTTGCGCAATGCGAGCAAATTGGTGCACAACATTCTGAGAGCAGACCTATTTTACAGCAGTTAGCCAAAGAAACTTTGCAATGATGACGGTTGGCAAACCTTGAGAGGATTGAGATCAGATGTGATGACCCTCTGCACGACTCCTAGCTCGCTTATCCATATCTTCCGCTCCACCTCTTGTTCGTCCGGTTCCTCCTGTAAATCACGCCAACGGAAGCAAAACACCAGAAATACAGACTGGACAACCGCATAAAAAACGCTGTGATTATTGCTAGCGGCATTACCAGCCTCGACAGCATCTAAGTGTGCTCCAAGAAACGCGCATAGGACCTTAACGGCTCTCTGTGCGCCCTCACGGTCAATAAACTGTGCGCGCGAGACAAAACTTCCGATGTAACTGCTTGCTGCCGCACGTTCCACGCCACTCGCGCTTGCGCTTCCAAAGAGGGCTTTGTCGACAAGTAGTCCAAGGAACAGGTCTGAGAACTCGGGATGAAGGGAAGCGTACCAGAAAAGGAGGAATTGGGTGTATCGGGACTTGAAAGTGCGGAGGATAGATCTGTCGAAGATGGCTAGGAGAGTGTGAAATTGGATTGCAAGTAGGGTATGTGGCTCGTGCAATTGTGGGTCACGATCGTGCGTAGTTGTTGGATGAAGGGAGGGAGAAGAAGGTACGAGGACGGTAGGCATGGATGAATGCAATTTGTAGAAGTGGTCAAATACGAGCCTGAGAATAGCGTCAAGTTTCGAGACCATATCATGAATGTGCCTGGTGTCTGTGGGGGTATCTTCAGCACCATTGTCTGACGATGCATCAGACGATAGGTCGCTCAGATCATCATCAACATCTTCATCATCAGAAGAGTCACCCTCTTGCCCTACTATGGTATCAAACGGATCAAATTCGAAGAGTTCGCTGTCCGTAGGTTCGGCGTCTTCAAGCTCTTCCAGCTCTACTTGAATCTCCACCTACATGCAAATAATATTAATTGGGATCCAACCACCCGGAAAAAGAGTGCCCGCTCACATCGACCATCAAAGCTCGATCCACGATAAGGCCCAGGACCCTTTCTGAAAGTTCGCCACAATACTCAGTTACACGGAGCAAATTTCGAATATAAGCTACATGTGCAGCTTGTGGCTGTCGTTTGTGGGGGAAGTTTCGTACGAGGAGAGGAGCCAGAGATGATGGGAGAGTTGGTACGAGGTTTAAGAGATGTTCGAGAAGAGCATGTTGTCGATCATAGATCACACGTCTCGTTAAGGGGGTGGAGCTCTCTAAGTTGGAGGCGACGGCGAGAAGGCCAGATTCTGCAAGCGACGCGTTAAAACTACTTGAATATTGTTTTCATGGTGGTATTAACTCACGATATGTGAAACCCATCGCTATTCTGTTAAGAACAAGCAATAGGTATTCTGGACGCGCACTTATGAGCATGCCAATGAATACGATATATGATTTAACGAAGACAGCATCCATGGTAGACCATGGTAGACGAACGATTGCCTCTACCAGTGGTGCGTGACGCCTCTCGAGGCGAGAAAGGACATGTGAAAGTGCAGAAAGCCAGATACGGAGCTGCAGAGATGACACGGTAGGCGCGAGCGTAGATTTATTCGGACTAAACTGGTCAACAAGGTCATCAAAATCTTTGCTATGCCCCTGCGCACGAGGATCAGCACGCGATCGAGTGGTGTGCCGCCACATACTCACATTGAGCTTCTCGCGTATGGCCTTATTCACATATGCAAGGAACATGTCCTTTTTGAATTGTTCATCCTGCTTCACCCGTGAATTTGTCGCGATAGGGCGAGAGGTGAACAGTGGCGAGTCCGATGGCATCGATGATGAGGAGGCTTTGGTATACTTATCTAGGGTGACTTTTTGGGTTGGCTCGAATCGCACGGAGGGTGAGAATGGTCCAGTTTTTGGTGCTCTTTGATTGAACTGGGAGAGTCTTGAATGCGGGTCCATCGTGACCGTTTATGACTGCTTCGCATCAGGCACTGTGCAGGAAAAAACATCTTATTATTATAAATGAATTGTTAATATTTTAGCTTATCATAATACTTGTTTATTCCAGTTAAGTCTCCCAGTCCTCATCACCAACCACAATGTCTACCTCATTCTCGTCGGCTCACAGGCTCTATGTCAAGTCACTCTACCGCCGTATGCTGAAAAATGAACTGGACTGGGTTGTTCGCAGAGACATCTGGCGTGGTCGTGCAATGATGATTAGAGCCGAGTTCGAGAGAAACCGGTCAGTAAGATATGAATTTGATTGTCACTCTGGTCTAACTGGCAGATGATGTTTTCATGCATCAGTGACGTGACCGAGCCGAGAGCCCTTGCCCAGATTCTTGAGAAAGCAGAGACGCGTCTCGCAAGCAAGTTGCATCCCGACCCTTACATCCGTGAGTCTCCGCGTCTCCGTCATATCACCTTCTCTAAAAAAGTTTATTTTCGCAGCTCCTTCCATGCCAGGAGGAACAAAGTGGTATGTGGTGAACCTTTATTCTCGTATTCGTCCTTTGTTGAGTTCGAAACTCATGCAGGGAACGCAATATACCTGTATGTTACATCTTTCGCCTTTGTGCCATTATCCCGACATTTCCTTCTACAGCCTACCATCGCTCCTTTATACGACCACACAGCTGCCGTACATCATTAAATATTGTATACCTGCTTCGACATCCAATGCACTCCGTTGTGTTGAACACCGGTCATCTTGCTGTGACTGCTGTACTGTCGTCATCTGATCCCTTTCTGAAACATCGGCATTTTCAGTAGTACGAGGTCCAAGGTACTATCAGTATGACCTGCACCAGATGTACATCAAATGCGATGCTGGCGTTGAACTTGTCACTGTTACTGCACGACTTGACGATACGTCCACTGCTTACAGCTCCGAATACATTTAGACCACAAATGTAAGTTCCACTAATAACGACAACCCATCGATCGTCCTTTGATACCGCCGCATATATATCCTACTCGCAACCATTCGGCGTCTCTTTTTTTTTTTACTTGCAATGGACATCTCATCCCAGAGCAATCTCATCCTCAGATCCGCTGATTATTGGCTCGCCATCCGGAAAGTAGGGTATTGAAGACGCTCCCTTATCTTCCAAGGGCATAACCAGTGTCAGAATCATATTGATCCCTGCGGCGACGGACTTCGCAGATATGAAATCCATGATCTATGTCCCTACCAGCAAAATTCTCGAGTAGTCAAGTGCGGACGAGGCTCAGCGAGACTTCTTGTGCTGTCATCAGGCTGACGTTGATGGTGGTTCGAAAGGTAGCCAACTCGCTCGGGAGCGTTTTGTCTGCTGGGGTCGGTCGTCAGTCCGTCCACGTTGGATGTTACGAAGGAGTTAACAAGGAAGAGGAGCGAATGGTTGAACGTGCCCGACCCCTTTGAATGCCGTCAACTGTCGTCTTTGTCCAGTTATTCTTAGAACGTTCGAACCCGTGATATCGTGATCTTTAAACCATCCTTGGATTCGAAAGGTGGAAGATGGCGGCAGGAGATACATATTATTACAAGAGTGGCTACCTCGCCCGAGATGTAATGGGCTAGGTTTCATCACCTCTTCGACAACAGGAAGCTCTATCGGACAAGCCGAAGGATGCAGAGGACCCCATCTCTAGTCATACCCACTGGAAGCGAGTCGATCGCGGAAGGACAGTTTCATTGGCTGAGGATCCCAGGGAAAGCGAGGTTGGTAGGAAATATTTTATAGCCGAGTAAACACCAGCAGTTTGAGCTGGGAGAACGCCCGGGAACTTAATCTGTTAAGACATAGGGATTTCACGGTGGGGTAATGGAGTTTTGCAAGGTATCAAATGACGACAGAGCAGAACCTCTGCCATCTGTTATACTTTGCAGAAACACCACAAATATGGAACTAAAACAGTAGGTACTTGTCCTGGGTCCTCGATAAACGAGGTAGAATTGATCTGTGCCTGGATTTAGCCGTGCCATTCAACCCGTAGGACAAGCCGTTGTAAGTGCATTCTGACTGGGCAAAATGACCTGCTTCGATATGCTTTCAACAGTGTGTCGAGCCTTGACGAACGTGAAAGTCAAGTGGTCCCCCATATGTGATGGTTGAATGTTGAACAATCAAAGTCAGTCAAATCCGTTTATCCGGTGGCGCATCTCAGTTCAGTAGATCATAGTCACGCTGTATGAACAGACCAGGGGCACAAGGAACCCTTGTGACTTGCTTCTAGAAAGGAAGGGAACTCGGCGAAGCCACAAACGACATTTTTTATCAATAACCTGAAAGGGGTCTGGCTCGATGGGGGTTGAATAGGCCACCCTACAATTGCCCTGAAAGATGTTTGACGAATCATCAAATGGAACGATATCGACTGTCTTCTTTTCTGTCTGACACCTGTCCGACCCGACTCATATGGTGCACGTCACTTAGTCACCGCTACTTTTGTGCAACGTTTTTAGCACCTCGAAATTTCACCCGATTTTTTATCCCTCTGGCAAAAATGCTTGTTTTTGCCTATAAGGAACAAAACCTCCAGACGGATTTTGATAATACTCAAATTTGAGGGTGTTTTTTTTTCTTCCAAGGTCAATTTGGCGCATCCCTACAAAATGTGGCTATACATGATCAAAGACCCTCGCTACTGTTTCAGGAACTCGTTTATGTGATTTATAGCGTGTAGAGCTAAACTGTTTGACCTGTAACTGAGCATCTCGGGTGGTAAGTCCTGACCTGTACGCCTCCATCCACCGAAACATTCGATGCTATGTGTCAAACGTGTAATCACAATTGTCGCGAAGATACTTCTTAACCTGACCCCAGAAAAACTCGATCGGGTTCAGCTCGCAATGGAATTTTGGGAGGAAGATGCCCAACTGGTTCTCCGCATCGTCGTCATCGTGGACCGCTGGTTGAGCATCGTTGGGTTCTGCTGGGTGGTGTTTCTTGTGGCGAAAAGCTCGAGCATGTGCAACTGAAGTTTTTTTTGGCTTTTCTGGCCATTATGGATGGTCCTTGTAACGAGGAATAGCTGATATATTATTTACATTTACGATCACTAGGTACTCCGTGCAATGCATAGCTGTAACTTGACCGCAGCTACACTAATATCGAAGCTGCTCCTCCCACCCCAGCCTAATTTGGACTAGGGGTTAGGGTTGCGATTTTCTGGCCTCAATTTGGCGCCTGCACAAAAGTAGCGGCGACTAAGTGACGTGCACCATAGATGGATAATTGATAAGAAGCTATCAATTATCCGATTTATTAATCTCCCGCCACTACGACGGGCGCCCACGAGCGCCCATAGGGATCATTGTTCAACCGACTCGGATTTGAACAAAAAACCGAAGTTTTGGCAGGTAAGATATTGCCAACTCAGCTCAGTAACTCAACCATCTAACCGAAACAGACAAGCAGTGAGTACCAGTACACCCTGTCTCCTCTTCCTCAACCGATAGTGATGATTTTCAGTGTGTACGATGTTTTACACACCACATACCTGTGGGTGTCAGAAGGACTCAAAGTTTGTCCAATGCGAGGCACGCCAAGGTACAAACGTCCGTTGTTCCCCGTACGCCAGGGAACAGCTGGGACAGGCAGGAAACTATTGCGAGAATCATCTAGTGAAAGACACTGCACTTCTACAGATGCGTCTGTCACGGTGAAGGTGCCTAGTTCTCTGACATTCCTTTCATGGAGCTACTAACACGAAGGCTGCAGAACCGGCAGAGCCAGCCAGTAGTACCAAAGTAATACCAGTACAACCTGCTATAAGTTACTCTATGATACGTGTATGGTGAGATTATATTAGAGTTACAGCAAAGTTGACTCGAGTGCTATCACGGGTGCTTAGAGCAATAACGAGACGAGTGTACTAAATAAATGGAATACAGCAACATGAACTCGGAATATCGTCCTGCAAGCCCAACAGCTTATCCTGACCTCAAGGCCTCACCGGCGGAGTCTGTGAATATTCGGAATACTTAGGCAGCCAAACTATTAATAAGATAATCGAGCGACGCGTGCACTATTTAGCATCATGCATTGTGGCGCCATGAATCGACAAATAATCTAACATTCTCTTCATGTTAACTTCCTCTACAGTATTGATGTATCGTTCTTTGTCTTATGTTGAGTGTACGTGATGATCACAGTCACATATAGAGTGCAAGAGTGATTGGTTCTACCGCAGAAAATAATGAATTGGTACAATTGGGGTAGGTGACAGAGCCAATCATGGAACGATGACGGAATATTCATCAAAATTGCTAAAAACTCAAGGATATCGGCTGAACATCTCTCAAAGTGAACATGCATACGCACTGGAACTTCCACCCACCATCCTGGTGAGCGTTTAAGCTTATCCTCTAAGGAACGCACTTGACTTGGCGCGGGACAGGTAGCCTCGGGTTCTGTATCCCTCCACAATACTAACAACAACACCTCTCCTGACGAGACACTCCGAAGGGATATTCTTCAAGTCTCCAACCACCTTTCCATGTGCTATAGTGCAAACACGAAGACAGAGAGATAGCTCGAGGAAGGTAAGGGAATTCATGGCAAGGAAGGGGTGGTTGTCTGGTAAAGTTTTGTCTGGTTGAATGTGGTGGAAAGCAATAGTACCCAGCTGCCAAAGTTCCTTTTTGATAATAGGAAACCCAAACAGCTGACGATTGGCGCATGGAACCCGGGGAGGCCTCACGAGAATGTACTGAGATACATCTGAGCTATATTTAGAGGGCACCCATTGCACCGTGGTAGACATTTCTTGTGAGTCAGAGATCTTTGGACAAAATAAGTGGTAGTATACGTCAGATAGATGAAGGCTGACGAGGGACCCACCTGGAGTCTTCTTAGACTTCGTTCTAGTTGGCTTGCAGTGGAGGGCATTTTCGAGAAGTGTTTTATCAATGAATGAAGCAAACATGCACGCGATAAGTAATACTTTGGCAGACGCCCACGCCACTGGTCCACTGATGTGGACACCAATTAAGTAGTGTTAATTTTGACTAGTGAAATTTTGACCAAGTGGCTCTAAGTTTGCATCGGAGGGTTTGCCTGATGGAGCAAAAGCAGATTGGTCAAGATCCATCAAAATCATGTGTTGCAGGGAATTCAATGAACTTGGGAGATTATTGAGCTAACTGCGACCACGAGAACCTCCGCCACTACCACTCGTCGTGCCAGCCTGCTGGAGTGGGTAAACACGCTCCAAGCGCCATCGTGGAGGCATCCTCAGCCTGCCATGAGACCAGCATGAGTAGTAGCAGAGGAATGCCTTGCACCAATGCACATCTGGAAGGGAGTCGAGATCGGACGACTCGGACGGTGGGTCATTCGCTGCCACGGCCGACGAAGCGGCAAGCTGCTGTCTAGATCGATGTCGAGTATCATCGACTTTTTTGTATTCTGGTAGCCTAGCGGCTGCAAGCCGCTGAAGAGCATCAATCAGCGTCGAGGTAAGAAGAAGTAAGAAAATCTACGTTACAGTAAACTTGCGTCCGGCTGCGACTTCAATTTCCGGTGGTTCGTGGTTGGGCCTTGACCGCAAAGGGATGTGCTGCCGCAGGAACTGCGTAAGGCCGCTCGCGTGGCGGGGAGGAGGACTTGTTTCTAACTGGACATGCACTCAGTCATGGACTGCTAATTAACTAAAAGTGAGGACTGACATTTGTTGCCTGAGCCAAGAGAGAGTGGTTGGGAGGTAGGGCAGATGTAGCAGGGAACTGGACGACAATCTTCGAGTCAACTGCGGCGGGACAAAGATCAAAAGACATACGTCTAGGGGGTCACGGGGCTGATCGTTCGAAACCGCATTCGCGCGAGGAGGCAATCGAAGGAGCTTTCGGAGGCGGCGGACGAAAATGGATTGTTGCGGGTCTACTGCGGGCGGAGGTCTTTGCCTTGGGGGGTACGAAATGACAGGGGATGTCACTGGGTTGCGGCGCACAGCACCAGGACGGCGGGTTGCATCAGACTGAAATGGTGGCGGTGGCGATATAAATGGGTGATATAATGAGCAGAAGGATGAGATCTATGTATTACACATACCTTTAGTAGATCAGCGAGGTTTGACTTTTTTTGTGCGCTGGTCTGTAAAGACGTATTAGCGCATGTACAATCGAGATAAGTAAACGTACACTGGCCTGTGCATCCGGCGCAGGACCGATGCTGGCCAGGATCTCGGCCGGAGTGTTGTGAATATAAATGTCACTACCACTTGCATAAGCTAGTTGACGCGAGTCGGGTGAAAGGGCTAAGGAGTGAATAGGCAGAACGTCGAATGAAGCAAGGAGATGGCGGGACTCGAAGGCCCAGAGCTTAATAGTTTCGTAGCAGGCGGAAACGAGGAGAGTATCATCAGATGAAAGCGCCAGGCCTGCGAGCACCATGGTGTGTCCTTTGAAGGGAACTCCAACAGTCTTTAGGGTGGATGCATCGAATTCATAGATCGTCTTGGCGGGGTCACCCGTGAAGCTGAATGCCGCAATGATGGTTGAGTTCTTTGTCCAGAACATTGATGCATATATCATGGGGTCGTAACCAAACTTTCCTGCTCTGACGTCCATTTTCTGTTTGTGTACGTCCCACACCTCAAGGCACTTCCCTACATCCGACATTACTGCAAGCTTCTTTGAATCTTGCGAGAATCGAACTGCGCCCAGACCCTGAACACTCGTGAATGGTCCAACTACCAGTTTGCCAGTCCCCAAGTTCCATATCCGAGCCAACCGACCGAGTGTCCCGCTCGCCAGCAACGTGCTGTCCGCAGAGATATCGATGCAATAAGTTTCTTCTGAGTGGCCTTCAAACGTCTTGACGACGCCCGTCTGAACATCACACGCTTTAAGCTCCCCGCGACCAGAATGTGAACCACCAGTAACAACCCAACGACCATCCCTTGAAACTGCCACTGCACGGACTTGCCGCCGACAATCATCCCGCGACTTCGGAATCTCCTTACCTGCCTTCATATTCCATTGCCGAGTGGTAAGATCATCAGATCCACTGATCATTCGCTCGCCGCCCGGAAAGTAGGATATAGAGCGAATATAGTCTTCATGACCCCGCAAGGTCATTGTCGGCGTCAGAACCATCGTGGTGTTTGTAGTGGTGGACTGCATTGATGTAGACGCCATGACCTGTGTCTTTGCAAGCGAGAGACAAATAGCCAGGTACGTCTAGTAATTAGAGATTCCTTGAACACGTTTAAAAGAGGCTACCGTGCTACAGGCCCGTTTTTGACAATGATTCCGGCCCCCTCGAGCAGTGTACCTGCTGGAGACAACCATGAGTTCCATGGTACTGCATCTTCAGATGAGATTTGATCTTACCAAGAGGTTAGCAAGCAAAGTGACTGAACTTAGGCGCCGCTGTTGCCTATGTATATCTCTTGCCACGCCCTTTATGCATGGCACTGGTAGCTGTGCATTGCAATGCCCTGGGCGCTTATGTACCTCAAATAGTTCTCCACTGCCAAGGTTATGACACGCGGAATCAATGTGAAGAAGTCGAACGAACTGAACCACCAGCTCTCATATAATGCTTTGCCTGCTGCTATCCTTATCCCTTTGCAGTAATTTGCCTTGGCCGACGTAAGCAAAACTGACAAGCGGTCAAGTACAGGTAAGGTATCTTTTGGATGCATCTGAAGCGGCACGAGCTATCCTTCCTCTAATAAAATAGCGGAGACTGAGCGGACGAATGAAAGGATACAAGTCATCACGTGGCACCTTAAATCGACAAATAGTCTTACAATGCCTCCGTGTCCGTCCACAATATTGATTTATCGTTGTCTCTTATTGAGTATATGTATCACAGATAAAATGCAAGAGTAATTGGTTCAACCGCGGAGATGAATGAAATTGTTACAGGTGGGGTAAACGACACAACCAGTCATGGAATGATGATGGAATACTCATCAAAATGGCTGAAATTCGAGGGTGTCAGCTGAACGGCTCTCAAAATGAACATGCATACACACCGGGACTTCCACCCACCATCCCGGTGGGCGTTTAAGCTTCATCTCCAGGGAATGCACTTGACTTGGCGTGGGACAGGTAGCCTCGGATTCCGTATCCCTCCACAGTACTAACAACAGCACCTCTCCCGACGACACACACTCTGATGGGATATTCTTCGAGTCTCCAACCACCTTTCCACATGCCATAGTGCAAATGCGAAGACGGAGATGCACTTTGAGAAAGGTAAGGGAATTCATGACGAGGAAGCCGTGGTTGTCCGGTAAAGTTTTGCCTGGTTGAATATGATGGAAAGCAATGGTCCCCATGTTCCAAAGTTCCTTCTTGACTATAGGAAACCCAAAAAGCTGACGATTGCCGCATGGAGCCCGGGGAGGCCTTACAAGAACGTACTGAGATACGTCTGAGCTGTGTTTAGAGGGCACCCATTGTACCGCGGTAGACGTTTCTTGTGAGTCAGATATCTTTGGACAAAATGAGTGACAATACGTGCCAAGTTAACGTTGAAGAGACGCACCTGAAATCTTTTTATATTTTGTTCCAGTTGGCTTGCAGTGGAGGACATTTTCGAGAGGCAATGTTAGCGAGAACGAACTTGGCTGTAATATGTAGTATGTAATACGCCAACCAGCTGATGTGGATGCAGATGATGCATGTTATTTGTTTTGAATTTGCGGTTACACTCGATGAGGCGAGCGAGCGTGGGTTCAGCCATATAGAAGGAAGACCAAAGGAAGACAGTCGTTTCTTCTTTACGTATGTATTATCATGATGGGCGCTGCGCAGTGTGCACCATCGAGCCGCTGTGACCAGCGTGACCATGCCGCGTTCAACTCTAAACCACACGGCGATCTACGGTGCTCCTAGTACTCCGGCAGATGTTTCGAGGATGGTGATCGCGATTTAAGACACGAGAAAACAAGTGAGTGCCATGTTTTTGAGCCAATTTGGCTGTTCAAATAATTTGATTTGTAGTATGTACGTAGTACGATCTGGCACAGTGCGCAAGTACCGCCTTCGCAGACTGCAGGGATTCCCGGAACTCTTAATACTCGACATTTCCGTCTCACCTTTCGTCACTTCTCGTTTGGAATCCCCCACGAATTCTCACAATTTCAGGTCAAGGACCTGGCTGCCAATTTTGCAACCCTCTTGGCAGGTTCTCCGAATCGCTCACCAAAATCTCAAATCCTGAATCGTTTCGTAGGTACCCACCATCCGCCTTATCTACTGAGCAATTTGAGCACGACTGCCGACCATGCGGAATACAATACCATCCTGTGACAGCCTTCCAGCTATATAGCGATCCGAGCTGATACTGCTGACTTTCAAATGGAGTTTCCACTCCCCTATTCTCCCGTGTGAGGTACTCATTCAACTGGTCTTCCATCAAGGTTACGGAGCAGCGCAAAACTTGCAGAAGACGTCGCTTTGTCGACCTCTTTCGATACCTCCCCAGAGGATGAAAACGGCCACTCTTTTATCGGCGGGTTTCTGATTCAATATAAAACTAGCAATAATACCCCCTCCAATGAGTATGCATCGTTCTCATACACCGGCCAAATAAAGCTACAGGTGTTCCGCCCTGCTAGTTATCCCAATTTACTAGGAACGAAGGCAGCCATGTTGTAACCATGCAAGCTGTTTCCGTACCTATTTGGGTGTCCACTGCGTGACTTGCTTAAAATCACTTCACTTCGCCCCAAGATCAAGCAGCTAAGCAGTGATTTTAATTTTCTTTCTATCATTATTGTTATGGTGACGCATTGACAACATTTCAGTGAGCGATCTGAGCTACTGCCCACTTTCACATGGTGTTTGTGGTCCACGCACTTATGGGACTTTTCTACACGCTGGACATTGAGAATTCGGCGGCGTTATAGCCTAGTCCATCATGAAAAGGTTGGCTGTTTTGTATTCGAATCATATGTCTGTACTATTTCCTCGTCTTCCAACTGTCGACTGATTTATCAACCATTTGATCCTCACCGGAAGAGCATCATAACATTCTTCTTACAAGCAAGAACACAGTCGTTTGCTCGCCGTTAACGTGTTTGACTGGGTCCGAGAAACGGCATTGCTACAGCAGCTCTTGCCTCAACTCTTAGGCACCCCAGCACGGAAAGGAATATTGGCCTTGCTGTGTATACTCCCTTTCGTATTATCTTGCTCCTCGGACCTCTGTAGCGATTCACACTGCGCATTTACAGTTTGCCTCTGCATGCATTCTCTACCATACACCTAGGGCTTAGTCCCAATTGCAACGGACATTAAACAACGTTTGTCCCCACTCGCCGAGGTGTATTTATTCTTGTATGTAGCTCGTACCTAGACTCTACATGTACAGAAGTCCTCGTGTCTGTATCGAATGTACTATTATCACAGCAATATACATGCTTAATCTACTGTCATTGATTCTATCCAAATCAACGTTCAATGCACCTCAGCACCTTGCCAAATTACACTACCAAGGTCCCATCGCCCACATTACAAAAATGGCACATTCTTCATCTCCCCCGTAGCAAGAAAATCCTCATCAAACGCCTCCTCAGCAGCCTCCTCCTCATTCTCTCCACCCTCCGCCTCCCCATCATATTCATACCCCTCCTCCTCCTCCTCCCTATCATCCACCCCAAACTGCCCATCATCCAACGACCCAGGCATACTCGTCATACTCGTGCTCCTCGGACGCCGTTTCTGCATACTTCCTTCCTCAACGTCTGCATCCTCATCATCAGAATCTAGGAACGTAGACGATGACGAACGCGAGTCGACGCCGCTAGATGAAGATGACTGTGTGAGCGCTGCCAGTCTACCGCTGAGACGTTCGAGAGAGGACATCTGCCGCAAATGGGTGCTGCGCAGGCCCATCGTTCGACTCGGTGTACCCTCACGCGCTATCGCAGGCGGTGGAAGTGAAAACTGCGTCATGTCCCGCGATTGTCTCCGTCCTACGAGGCTGAAGTTGCGTAACCGTGCAAGTGTACTCTGATTAGACGTATCTGATCGAGCGCTCAGGGCCGGGGATGGAGGTGTAAGGTCAGGAAGTGCGAATTCCTGGACTGGCATCTTCCAATAATTAAAATCCGTGAACTCCGCTGCCCATTTCCGATGTATCGGAGGGAACATCTGATCCACGATGTCGGTCATATGTATATACCTAACAATAAGTAAATGAGTACACCGAATACAAGAGCACAACAAATTACGCACGATGATTTATACCCTGCGAGCTCAAGGAGCTCCATCTTGACCTCACCAGAGGAATCTATAGTAAATATTCTCGCACTTGGAACATTCACGCTGCGATACGACAACGCATCCGTTATCCGGTTCCCAAACCCGGCATAGAACGGTGTGCGCGAGCTCTCACCGAAAAGACGCTGGATATCCCTCAAGCATGCCATCTTAAATACTTCGGGCTTCCGCATGATCACCTCGCTGGTGCACACACATCAGTAGCTTCCCTCCCAAGATTATATAAGCATCATACCGGTGCAGCGACGCCATCAGCCGGTCGGGGCTCATGATGACAGGGCCTTCAGGAAGTTGATAGTCATCTTGCTTGATACCCTTGAGGTAGTCGCGCGTAGAATCTGCCTGCCCGATAGCTCGTGAGGTGAGGTACATGATCTTGTACCCGTTACGCCTGATATCAGTGTACAGTTTAGCAACGCCGGAATGCGTCCAGTCACGACCAATCATAGCAAAGACATGGCCAAGCCCATCAGACCTAGGGAAATGTCAGGTAAGATGCATGCATGGACAATGAGAAAAACCTACTTGGTGATTGTACCATCTATATCAGACACGACGACAAGATCGGTCGAGTCCCATACAAATATCCGCGCTGTACATGCGGGCACAGTAGAATTAGACAAAGAGAACGTGATAGTATTAGCACCGGGCTTAAGGTTGAGGGATTTCTGGAGAAAACATCATATGTTTGAAAGCTGCATGGAATGTTGGAGACTTACCAGTTGATCAGAGGTCAACCGCAGCGTCTTGGCATACCTCTTCTGTGTCCTCGCAATCTTTGCCTCCAACACCTTACTCAAGGGTCCCATGATGTCTGGAGCGGGTGTGGCAGGAGGGGCTGATGCAGACTGAGGAAATGTCGTATGATGGGGCGTATGAGGAGCATGTTTCGGTAGTGTCTAGAAAAGCGTCATGAAACACTATCCTTCTGAACCTCACGAAACTCACAGATTCCATTGGAGATGTATTCGACACCCTCAAAGGAGGCCGATCAGCCTCTGTTATATCCCGACTCCGGTTCCACCACCTAACCCAACTACTTGACGTTGGTTTCCGGTGCAAGTCTGGTGGTTCAGAATCCGCACGCTTCATCTCTTGTTCGTCCCCACTCGATACCGGTTCTCGCTCATCGGCACTCCTTACCTCCATCTGATCCACATCTGGGTCTCGTTCCTCTGTAATGGCCAACGGAGGTTCCGACATCGCCCTCGATGGTTCCTTCGGCGCATTCTCAACCCACAACCTCAAAGCATCCATCAATGGGCTCCCATCTTCCCTCGTGATATACTGCCCGCCCGCCCACCTAATCACCAACCCCTCGTCCTCCACCACTCTCGTCCTCACCTCCCCGATCACCACCTCCTCAGAGACAAGCTGCATATAGTCGATTCTCCCCGCCTCAAATAGATGAACGACTTCCACTTCATCGCTCCCATGGAACATCCCGCGCTTTGATGTAGGTACAAGCGAGAGAGCAAATGACAGCGCTTGGCCTTCGATGTGAACAAGGAACGTACGTGAGTCAGATGGGTGCGTGGTAAGAATACCACCCGAACCGAATCCGTGCTCAGGAAGTGGAAGCGGAGGATGATCATGTCCGATTTCGTGTTCCTGTTCATCTTCAGGAGTATGTGCTTCGTCTTGAGGTGGTAGAGATGAACGGATAGTATGCGGACTGCCTTCGAGCTCAGGCGGGACACTTCTACTACGCGTCAAAAACTCTTCAGCGTCGAAATTGGATGGCGCGTGTTCATCCACAGCGGGTACTTTGCCCATGCGCAATAGGTGGGTAGATGGGAAATGTGTCGTCATAGGTGAGGGCTGGGGAAACGCGCCCCATTCCCAGGAGTACTGAGGAAGCGGGATATCTTGTTGGGATTCTGAAACAACGTGGCGGGCAGGAAACGTGGTTGTGGAAAGTGATGGGGAGTGTTTGCTCAGAGGAGAAGCAACTGGAGGAGTAGTTGATGGAAAGGGGATCGCAGTTGGGGTTGGAGATTGTGAATCTGTAGCTCATTAGCCCGGCGTATAAACGAGTTATATAACACTGACGGGATACACGTAAGGAAGACGCGTCGCGTGCTTGAGCAGAATGATACCCAGCCATATCCAGCGCGACATCTGCAAAGCCTTGAGAATCATATCAAATATTGTGCAGAATGCACACACCAGCCTTGTATTGGACTTCTGGACCGGGCACATCGGTTGGTTGTACTAAAGGTTCCTCTGGTGGAGGGGTAGGAGGAACGCTCCTCGAGCCAAGCTTCGGTTTCGCGCCTGCATGCATTGGAATGGGATGTTTCAACCCAGACAGAGCGTTCAAGTCGAGAAACTCGGGCTCCTGCATCTGTAAACTCAGATCTGACTGTTTCCGTTCCCCACCCGGCTTAGCTCCAGACCTTCCACGTTCAAAGTCACCCTGAAGTTCGCCTGATTCTGGGGTTGGGGAGAGCAGAGGACTTGTAACGAGGTCTTCTGGGATATCTTCTTCCGTCTCGAACACGAAGAATGCTTCTCCTGCGTCTCCGATTTTCATGCTGAACGGGATGGGCGAGCCATTTACTGATACGTTAACCTACTCCCAGCCATTTGACTCATTGAACACCTTGACGAAACAAGCCGACACTGCGCACCTTCTTTTCAGCAGGCCTGAGTACTTGGAGCTTACCGAAACGGACATGGAAAGGAGAGCAGGCATACACGTCACTGTCTTGTGAACCGGAACTAGCAGATAAAGTGGGCGATGGTGAGCGACGAATAACGATGACATCGATGGCCCCAGTCAGGGTCGATGGGTTGATATCTTTATAGTACTGGTATGGGGCACTGATTGCGCTCACAGCGCCACGAATGTAGTTCATCGCAGTTGTGATGTCGGTGTCGGTGTCGACGTTGCAAGTAGTTCGCGTTCGTTGCCGAGGTCGACGTCACGGATAGAAGATTATTAGGATATTGGGGAGATCGCAGGATGGACTATGTGAAAGCTAATAGTACGTGGCTCATGATATGATCATGCGCGGTGAAACAAGCTTGTAGATCAATTGAAGCCCCGTTGAACAAAAGCAGAAGGTATGTAATTATCAACGTTCTAACGTCAAGCTTCAGGTGCTGATCGTAAAATCACAGGCCAGCTAGACAAATATGACATCCTCTGACCATCACGCCGACAAACGTTTTATCAAGTATTTTTGGTCGTGACCGAATTCCGTAGTACTTGTGCGTAATAGAGACTCATAAATCTGGGTATCATACTAAAATACGCGATTGACGTCAAAACTAGTCATATACCGTCAATCACATCATCAGAATCAAACGAGGGCTGGCTAATTTGATAGCTTTCTTCATCACTGATTGTGGACGGGGGCCTTATCTGACCTGGTAGGCCAGCTGCACCCCATGCGGCAAAACCGCCCACTATATCAGTCGCATTGAGCAACCCAAGCTCGTGGAGGGATGCCGCAGCCAAAGAGCTGGTATACCCCTCCTGACAGTATATGATTATCTTTAAATCATAGCGATCTGCAATTGCGAGTCGTGCTTCGCAACGAGGGTCAAAGCGCCATTCCAGAACGTTTCGCTCGATGATGAGGGATCCGTGGATCCCGCCTTCACGAGCACGTTGGGAAGCTGGGCGAATATCCACAAGAAAAACCGGCATTGGAAATGTGGGGTCGTGAAGGGCATCATAGGCTTGTCGGGGCGTCATTCGCTCGAGCTTTGATCGAGCATCAGATAGAAGTTGATCAATGCTGCGAGATCCGGGTGGAGGAAGAAGAGGATCAATGGGAGCGCGTACAGACTTGGACAACACGTCCCATAAGGCAGCGTCATCATAAGATGAGCCAATATGCCTTACAGAGGCAGCAAGGAGAGTACCCGTGTTTTGAACTGCATCGACGCGTCCCAAAAATTTGGAAGATGCGAGGAGTACAGCACGCTGCACATCATCCTCATCTGACCCACAAATGACCAGTGCGTTTGAAATGCGAGCGCCACCCCGAGTACCACGACTTGTTGGGGATGCACCGGTAGTTGCTATAGCAAAGAGATATCGAGACGAAGGTAGTCGCGCACGGATATGGGAAGTGACAAGTCGAAGAAAGCGACCATCGTCTTTCTTCGAGAAAGTGAAGTGAACACCTATGCGCACACCATCGACGGTGCGTGCTTTAGTGATCATACGGAATGCGAGGCTCTGGGCAACCTCTTCACGCACATCTGCAAGTGTGCGTGGGTTTGTCGGGAAAGTCGTAGTTACAGTAGCAGAAGATTGAATGAGTGTGCGCTCGACAACGATATCGGTGGATGGTTCAGACGATGGCATCAGGACATCTAGTCGTTGTTAGATGATCTGCTCAAAACTATTGGTCAGTACTGTGCAATGGTCTGCATGTGTGCTGGCGCTGAAAGCAAAACTGCAAAGGAACAACTTGCCAGCAGCCAACGGGCCGAACTGATCCGGATGCACACTTTTCACATCGTGTCCTTCATCCACTTCATCCCATCAGCATCCCCATAACTGTGAACCAAGCAGCGAGGAGAAACAAACAATAGAAGCAAGGGTGCAATATAGACAGCTGTCATGTGGGCACTGGCAGGACCGTCAAAATAGCCACGCCCAAGTTCTCTTCTTTACTACGTAACATCGAAAATCTGACGATTAGCTTCATCAGGCAAGTGCTCTCGAGCACAAATCACTATCGACATCAGGACTTGACTAGCCTTGAACCTACTGCTGCCTCGAGCCCGTCTTAATTTCTTGCCGGTTTTGCTCCCGAAGACGTAGGCCATGACGTCCATGTCGACGCAGTCCGTCAATTCGGTAACCGAGATGACTGACACCAGTGATGTTTACGAGCAAGAAGTACATGCGGTGGCGGTATCAAGGGACGTTCGATGTGTTATCACTCCCGGAGAATATTTTAATTCCGGGGAACGAAAAGCTTGTGAGGTTGAGACGGATATCGTGGAAAATTGAAGGCCACTCGAGCTCCGAAATGATTACTTGCGGCATCGGTATTTCCGCTGACAGCAAGCTCTGCTGGCGAGCGGGTTATTGTTAATAATCCGCAACTCCATGTCCACACTGTGAAATTCAATAAGTTATTGAATTTCATGAATCACAGTGCCGATATGGAGTTTGGACGATAGGCGGCAAGCCCATGGCTAATCCATTCAGAAGTGCTAATGTTATAGGTACAGTTCGATCTTTGTCGGACTCGAAGAAGCTCATAGTAAATTCGTGGAAGGGGAAGTGTTTTGAGGTGTGGGATGTTCAATCACAGACACTGAATATCAGAATAGGCAAACCATTTCCTGGCCGCCCACAATTGACTGTTTCGACGTATACGCCAGCAAACAAAAATACAACCATATTGGATGCATAGAGTCTGACGACCCCATAACGAACTATGAGTTCGATGCGTCAACACTGGAGACTGTCGGATCTCCCTTTGAAAGTTATTCGCGGTCTAGCGCTATCATTTAACGGCGTTCTCCTTGCCAACGCTTCACGCGACGACACCATCAAGCTTTGGGTATCTGATGCTCGCCTCGTTTCCCGGCCTCGTTGCCTTATCACCCAATTCGCACCAACTAGTCCATACGTCATATGACGAGATCTGTACATGCAACATTCCGCCTGGCGTCCTGACTAGCGTCTGGCCTGCAACGGAAGTACAGTGAAATGTATGCATTTACCTGTATTCACTTCTATTCACTAACATTCTCCCAAAGTGTGCATTACGCTCTTTTTCATCATCTTTCTGATTCACATGAATCCAACACGCATTCTGATGCAACCCGTCGTCCTGTTACCGGGCGCTGTAAACCACCACACCTTTTGTCCCTATGCCGCTAAGATCTCCGCCTACAATAGATCCGCAAGACGCCCCTCTCCTTTGCCCATCTTCGTGGACTCCTTCGCTTCTCTTCTCGTAAGAACGCAATTGAACCGTCCTGTTCGGAACGATCAGCCTTGCAATCACCTAGACGTGCGTCTACGTCTCTTTTCTAGCTCCTTCGCTGTAAAAATAGGTGCGAGGTCTGTACTCTAGTGACAGTAATATCATGCATGGGTACCTCAGTATTAGATGGAGCCGGATGTGTAACGAAAAAGGAACAGGGGACTTTGGTTGTTATTCCATAATTACGGCCCGTAAATTTGTGGTGGAGATGAAGTCCAAGGTTTTAAATTGAATCACCATGGAGGCTCAAGTGCAGTGGCCTTGCCTCGTTTGCATAAGCAAGAACGACGAAGTACTTCAGTTGGTCACAATGACAGGACGTCCTAGTGTAATACATGGCCTGGCAGTCCAACATTTCTGCCCTACGGAGCGCTTGCCGGGAGTTATGGTGGTCTATAACATCACATTTCAGGATACCGGGATGGTGGCAAGAAATCATCTCCATGAGATTCATACAAGAGGTATCGCGGTATACCGTATACATGGTCGAACAGGAGCTGAGACAGAGGCATTAGACTAAAATCAAAAGCACGAGACTCAGAACAGAGGTGATGGTACAAGATACGGGTAAAGAGAACCGGAGACTAGAATATAATCATTCACATTCAGTTTCATAAATTACGCAGTTAAATCCACTCGATAGGTGTTAATTCATCGCACAGCTAATGCAATTTCTGGTGGTCGGAATATCCATCATAGGCAGCCTGGGCGTCCCCTAAGAGGGTCTTCAGAAGTGTGCTCTCACTCCCGTTGAAATTTCCATCGTCCCATTCGGCCGATTGAAAATGCATTTTCTCGCCAGCCTGTAGCCTTGACAGAATAATCGATTTCCACCTCCTCCACACTTTGGTATCATTTGGGAGAAGATCATCAAGTACCTTTGCCGGGTCTGACGGATTCAACGCCAGCAAAACGAAGACTGCCATGGTAGTGCGCGTGCCCAACATATATTTCGTCATCAACGGCCGCTTGAGGACCACATCCAGTAGCAACCTCCTCTGGATCTCTGCCTTATCCAACGAGGACAACCACGAGTTGTATGCCCAGGAGACTGCGAGCGAGGCTACGAACATGATCTGCCCGAAGAGCCCGGCCTGGGGTATGAGCAACAGCTGTGCGATGAATTGCGTCGTGAGGATCAACGAGCATATGCCGATGTTTCTGTATTCTGGTTCACTACCGAAGTTCAGAGAGAATCTCCCACGGGTAATGGAATTGACAGCGCCCTCTTCGCCATGTAGGACGATGACATTGTTATCCGTGAGGAGCAATCCATCACCTCGTGGCGCTCCCGGGGCTGGGACGGGATGAGAGAAAGTGAATTGTCCGGATCCGATGACAAGACATGATATTCCGCTTGCAACTATTCCGAGCAGGATCATACTGAAGGAGTACCAGTCTCCGAAGAGAGCGCACGCGATGCAGGTGCCGAAGGATACTGACATAGGGATGAAAGCGAAAGCGCTGGTGTACTTCGTGAGTTGCTTTGGTGTCATTGTTGCATCAGGGACGTAGTGGAGGTCAACGATCGTGACTCCAACCGGTTGGGTTTTTCTCCCTGGCACATCTATGCCCTGCTTGATCTGGCATTCTTTTACCATCAAAGAAGCGAGGTGACCAGTTTCGGGGATATTCGACCCAGACTCTACACCCTTGAACTTTGGGCCCTTCCAACCATCCAGCTCGAACAGCGTGGCAGGGTCGGTGTTGACGCCCGGGAATAAACCGTCCCAGAAACGCGAGTTGGCCAGTTGGCCATACCTCTTGGCGATAAGGTATGATCCTGGTGAATTGTACCATCCCAACCATTTTCTCCCTTGATACACATGTACGGTTGCCATCGCAGAAACAGCTTCGTCACCACCGAAAAAACCTGCTACTCCAGAGGCATCGAGAGTGAACTTGGAATTTGAAAGAGGTATACCACGCATTGTTGGCTGGACGAGACTTCTGGATAAGTGCATGTCAGTATGAGATGATGTTATGGTTTGCTGACGGTCACAATCGAGTAGTTATATGAACACGCACAAGACACACGTTCAATGAGGGTTGTAACTTGGAACAGCCTTGTGAGCGACGGGCGCCTGATCCTGGGATTTAAAAGTGTTAGACGGTAACTTACGGTCTATCAGCTGTACACCTTGTCAAATACGCCAGAGTACTTCGAAAGATTCTTATAGTAAGATCAACGTCAAAGACCAATATATATACCTAGCGGCCTACAGGTAGAAGCTATACTAAGTGGCAGGGTGTTATTGAGATGCATTCTCTATCCAGGGTGATGTTGCTGCACCCGAGGAGCATGTTCATTCTTACTAGGCACTTCCTAGGACAAGGCTGTGAAGGGATTATGAACCGTTGCCGATTGATCAAGCCATCTCAGATTCGAGCATACAGCAAAGCGAATTGAGTTTTACTGAATGTTCGAATGCGCATCACAGCGCTAGTACTTGCTGTTGCCATTCGCATGCATGAAAAAACCCAGTTGGCCGTCAAAAAGTTTGTGGGTCTTTGAGCTTTATTTCCTTAACGAGTTGTCGGTTGTGTTTGTCATGACATCGTGTAAATGTTCTTCTGCATAAACCTCATCTTTCAGCTGCCCACCTGCATATTACACTCAACCCGCAACATTACCGAGCCAGCCCTATCCAACAATCGCGGTCTTGTTCTCCCCTCACTGCATGGACAAAGACTCGGATATGTGAGCATCGTTGTTTTGAATCTTTGCGTCCTGTGATTTCAATTGTCATCAAGGTATTTTTGCTCAAAGGTCCTTGCATGGCCTCCACAGCAAGAATGACCTGTGTATCTATCAGGTGATGTTGAAATCCATGCAGTTACTGCCTGAGTGTCCATCACTGCCACTACATTTGTCAATGACCGCAAGGCGCAAGCGCAAAGCTATCGATGAAGCTGAGCTGCCGGAGAAGGTAGTCTGGCAAGCAAGAAACTAGTCTCCATGGATGATGTAGCCAATGAGGACGATGACGCTGACGATGACTTGTACAGAGGTACGGAAGACACAATGCATCATGATGGACATTAACACTTGAAGATTGATCAACAGACGGATGCCAAACCTTCCAGTGAGCACATTTCAAACATCGTCAAAAAAGGCTTATCGCCTTATGATTCCTTTTAGACTCTTAAGTTTTGGTGATATTTTTACGCTCGATCATCCATCGTCACTTCGATGTTCGAAGTTCTCGGCATTGTGATTCATTCTCACTACACTACATTTTAAGTAGTCTGAATTCCTGCCAACTTAATGTAGTGGGTATTCAGCTTTCGAACTCGTCCTCACTGACTCTGTTCTTCACTCCCCAGATCTGTTTTATGCTGGACGTACTGTGTTCATCATAACCTTGTGTACAGCTCCAAACGAGGTGCCATTCAGTATTCAATGCGTGGAATTACACTATCACCTACAATAAATACATCTTCTGTGATTGGCTTCATGAGTTCGAGGATGTGGCAGAAGTATACATTAGGTCCTGACGCATGCACCATGGTGCTTGGTAGGTCTACGTCCCTTCAGCATAAGTCACATGCACAATTCAGGTAAAACCCCATGTCACTGAGACGCATTCTCTATCTAGGGTGGTGGCTGCTGCACCCAAGAAGCATGTTCATTCTTAGGCGCTTCCTAGTACAAGGATGATAAAATGTTGCTGATTAGTCAATCTATCTCAGATTCCCGAGCGGATTGAGTTTCAAATGTTCGAATGTGCGTCACTGCGCACTGCGCCTGCAAACGCTAGTACTCTTGCCATTCGCCATGGCAGAACCTGGCAGTTGGCAATATCACATACCGCGCGAGGTGAGTGTATTACCCGACTCCATTATGATCCACCTGTGCACTGCTAAGTACTTACTGTATCCGCTTTGACATGAGTACACGTGGAGGAGTCAGCTTCTTCACTTGACTAGGACCGGAAAGGAGGCCGGAGGCAACAAAATGAACGAAAACGAGGACGAAGAGAAAGCACCTACAGCCACGAGTAAGTTCATGCATGCAGGCTCAAACAAAAAGATGATCCAGCGATTAACACAGCCAAACTGTTGCAATGGGACGAACACAGTAAGAGAATGCAAGAACGACCATGAAAAACACTCACACTCTTATCCAGTTCCAACATACAACGGAAAGCAACCGTCCTGTCTCGAAAATTACTGGAAACTGCCAAAGGTCGACGACGAAATCGAAAACGGAACGCCAGTCCTCGTATTCTTCACAACGAGCACCTATGAGTATAAAGACAAGGCGCACAACAAGCAGCTGCGCAAAAGCGCGTCGATGGATGCTAGGGCCATTGTACTCTTGGAAAATTCGCCTGACAGCTACCAGCATGGCGTGGAATTGCCCGTCACCAAGTACACCAACAAGGATCTCGGAATCATGGCAATGAAAGAGGAAAAGGTGGCAGGAACGAGCAGTAAAATGATCTGAGATGGTGGGTGAAGAGATGAAGTTCCGCATAACGTTGAGCGATCGTATCACGCAAGATGTCTCTCCTCTTTACTTAGAAGGAAATATGGGAGGTATAGGTGCCCTAGCCAGACCACACTGACACAGCGTGAAACGAGAGCAGAGCGCCGAGCTCAAATTGAAAAGATCACCTGATATTGTACAAGGTACAGTCATGTTGCCTTAGCAAAAGGGATTCGCGATACCGATTCATGACCTCATCAAGATCCTCGCCAACCGGCAAATTGGCATACCTGATTTTGAGCGCGGTGGTAAGGTTTTTAAGCGTGGTGCCATGACTTGGATGCCCGGGTGGATGTAATGTCAGTGCCTCGCGACGGAGGCTGACAGCTCGTGTGATGTCATCAATGTCACCGCGTTTGTAGAAACGAGTGATGAGGGCATTGCCTAGGTTGTCCAATGAGACACCACGAGATGTGTGCCCGACAGGGCACAGGTGCAGCAGTTTTTCGTGCAGAGAGATGATATCATCGAGGTCATTGGGCTTGCCTTGGTGACCGAAGCGGGACTCGAGTGATGACACCAAGTCGTTCAGATAGCTAGCACGGCCAGCATGTCCCTCGGGGCACAGAGACACAACTTCACGACCAAGTTGTATGCTCGTGTCAAGATCATCGATGCTGCCGCGTTGGTTGAAGCGTGCTTTAACTGCTTGTGCAAGATTGTTGAAGGCACTGCAACGAAGTGGATGGCCCAGAGGACCGAGCTCGAGGACGACTCTTCGAAGGTGGATGCCTTCATCGGATGCGTCTATTGGAAGATCATTGCATTCACTGATCACATAATCGACATCATTTGGTCCTGCTGCGATGCTACGAAGGTAGGTGCCTTCTGGACAGAGAGGTAGTAACTCATGATAGAGTTGGGCGGCTTCGCAGATGTCGGCAGCAGTACCTTTCTTCCTGTGGCGCCAAGTCAGCGCTGAAGTGAGATTATATAGAGATATGGGATAATCCGGATGGCGCTGAGGACGCAATGCAAGGGCGTCACGGAAGAGAGAAATGGTGGCAGCAATGTCTTGAAGATGGTTGTCGATATATCCTTGAAGGCGGGCCCACGCGAGGTTGGTGAGAGCCATTGCGTGATCTGGGTGGCTGACCGGACACTGGTCCAGGACCAACTGAAAATGCTCTACAGCATAGTTCAGGTGAGCGACTGTTTTTCTCGTTACATATTTGGCATATCGTGCGTGGCCCGCATCTGTGTCTCGAGCTATTTCGCAGTCTACGAGGCACTATAGTTGGTGTTCTGTCAGCAAAAACTAGCAAGACAGAGGCCAGCGGCACTCACATCAGACAGTGCGCCGTTGTGATTGTCGCAAGCATGTACAACGGCAACCTTCAGTATAAGGGAAGGGTGGACACCACGCACAGGTGGGAAGGATAGAACTATGAGATATCGGTATATGGCATGAATGAGGAGCAATTCACTGTGTCACATACCAAATGGCTCATCTCCATGATCGAGTAGCTCATCCCACCACATTTGAAGTTTCCCAAGGACTTCTCCACTGCCTAGCATTCGATCAGCCTCATATGACGCCCTGATCTCCACTGAGAATGCACGTGATGCCTTCGATGATCTATAAACCGAAGATCAGTTCTCGAATCGCGCCGGAAGTTACAAAGAATTTTACAGGGTCACAGTATCGCCCCATACTACTGATTCTTCAGATGATAGGGCTTGGACGGACGACCTCCATTGTCTCTTCGAGTCGATATTGATGGATATGTAAACGCCTGCAGGTATGCGCTGAGAAGGGACTTGAAGATTCTTTCCGCCGATGACTGTAAATAGAGTGCGAAGATAACAAAACAAATGCAAAGGTAGTATAGAGTGACCTACTTTCAAGTTTAATAATATGTCGTTCTTCTAGGCTACTACGCGTGATTGTGGGACGAAACAAACGACGAACGACGCGCAGCATCGGAAATTGAGAGGGATTCAAAGTGAATGGGATCGTGGATGCAGTTCAGCTGAGGGGGAGAGGAGAAGAGGTTGTCGAGGGTTGTTCGGCATAATAGACGCCGTACGGTATGATTGCATCTAGCGCTGTCAGTGGGAATCGAGGTCACTGGCAACCAGGATCAGCGGAAGAATCTGTGTCAAAAAAGTAGACAATGTCATGATCAGCCTTCAGCGAAAGTTACCCGCCAAGGTTGAAGGAGACATATAAGACTCAGAATGTCTTGTCTTGATTAATATGCTGCTCCTGGACTTGTTTCTCGTCGATTTCTCATACGCATAAGTCGTCGGGATTCAGGAACTATGCATTATCGACACTTGATGTTTTGTGACATATCGTGACAAGGGTGTGACTGAGCTTCGACGAGCTAATACTCCGGGTTGTGTCAGTCATTTAACAAGTTGTTGCTACCAATTGAACTTGCTTGGCATTTGTACTTATGTTTCACACCCGCAACATTACCGAACCAGCCCTGTCCAATAATCATGAATTCATGATCTTATCTTTCTCTCACTGTGTGGATAAAGATATGCAAGCATCGTTGTTTTGAATCTCTGCATACTGTGATTCTAATTATCATCAGGATATTTTTACTCAAAAGTCCTTGCACGGCTTCCACAGCAAGAATGGCCTGTGTATCTATCAGGCGATGTTGAAATCCATGCAGTTACTGCCTAATGCGTCCATCACTGCCGCTACATTCGTCAACGACCCCAAGGCAAGTGCAAAGCTATCGATGGAGCTGGGCCGCTGGAGAAGGTGGTCCAAACAAGAAACTAGTCTCCATGGATGCAGCTAATGAGGGCGATGATGATGACGATAACTTGTACGGAAGTACGGAAGACGCGATGGATCATGATTCATGGACATTGAAGCCTGAAGATTGACCAATAGACGGATGTCAGACCTTCCAGTGAGTACATGGTGACAATATGATTTCTATGCTTGATTTTTCTTTTCCATCTATATGTACCCCATCACCACTAATACTTCGATGTTCGAAGTTATCGGCTTTATGATTCATTCTCACTACACTACACTTTGAATAGTCTGGATTCCTGCTAGCTCCATGTAGTGGGTATTCAGCTTTCGAACTTGTTCTCATTGACTCTGCTCTTCACTCCCCAGATCTGTTTTATGTTGAATGTAGTGTGTTCAACATAACCTAAATAAATATGCATAATGCACTATGATTTGTGTACAGCTCCAAATGAGGTGCTATTCATTATTCAACGCGTGGAATTCCACAATCTATCATCACATCTTCTGTGATTGGCTTCACGAGTTCGCGGATGGGGCAGAACATGCACCATGGTGCTTAGTACGTCTTCCTTTCAGCATAAGTCACATGCACAATTCAGGTGAAACCTTCGTCACATCGTGTGATGTTACTAGACGCTGAGATAAGGGTTGCATTCCTCAAAATAATGGGTGTGATCTCGCGTTGTCTCTTGGCCATCATGTGGCCGTGGATGATCAAATGGAACTCACATCCAATAGCCTTCTGCGTCAGTTTATGATTGTCCGAGGACGATGGTCATAAGTTTGGCGACCAGCAAAATACCCATTATGAAACTTCCTCGGCCTTCACTGGAGCAGGCAATGTCGAATATTGTAGCCAATACCATCAGCTCAGTGTTGCAGAGTCTACATGCACGAAATCGTTGTATTTGCTAGTTAGTTTGATCAATCACTGCAATCAATGACAATTGTTCAAGTTGTACTTCATCGGCGGTGAAAAAATCTTCGTCTATTCGGTGCACCTAAAAGTGTCATGGCTTTGTTAGATAGGGCCCCCGCATGGTCTATCACACGCACGATTATTGTTATGTCGAAGTCGATACACCGCCCGGACGAGTTAAATAACCACGTACAGCAGCGGAATTGGGGACTGGCGCCGTTACGATATACTTATAGCTCAACTTACCCGTGGCCGTGGCCCGTAGCAGCGCCTGGGTATGTCCCGGGTCCCGGGTCGACCCATGTCAGGCCCTACCAGTGTATTGACCTCGCGGGAACGCGGCAGACGGTAAGGCATTAGCCAGGATTCCACTGCAAGGGCGGAGGGACACGATGGATTCGAACGACCTCGGTACATATCGTACAATGCTATAGGGTAGGTGTGCAAATTGAATGCCAGCTAGTGGGACGAGAAATTTCAGTGAGAAGAAGCCTTCAATGAAGAAAAAATGTGACCTATAATATTGGTCACAGCACGGCACGTGTAACACCCAAGGGATTTCAAAATGAAATAGAACTTACCGTAACCTTATACACGTTCAATCGCACATCAACGTTTCATCTCACTGTGCCCCTACTGGTACACGCATGGATCCCGGATACCTCGCAGAAATATCATTTTTATATGCCGTAGTCCATGAAACCCGCCCAAAAATATGCCGCTCAGTTCACGAAGGACGCTCAAAAGAGCTCCCACTGTGTGATAGGCCAGAGCGACGAACGTGTTTCCCATTCAATCCCATTCTAGGTTTGACACTCGCCACCAACCCGACTGCAGCTGTGCACACTGCTCCCTATTAATAATTCGTACCACTACAGTTCGATGGCCCAGTATCTAATCATTTCCCCGAGAAATCATGAGGACGAGAAGTCTGATTTTTACCTTGGGACTATGCTGCATTACGAGCCTCGCGTCCCCTACTCAGATTGTACTGGGCTCATCACTGGTTGAACTTCGTACGTGCTTTGTGGTCATTTCAATCACACTTTTGGTCACTCAAATGATTGAAAGAACCTGTCCCCAGGAAGCTTCACGGTCGGTTTCTGCACATCACAGACATCCACCCCGATCCGTTTTATGAACCTGGTGCATCCCGAGCCTCTGCATGCCATCGATCCAATCTCAAGGACAAACGTCCGGCAGGTTACTACGGAGCACCATATGGGTGTGTTGATTATCTTTGTTTCTGATCCGTTGGCTAACGTTCACTTCTGTCCAGCTCGTGCGACTCACCATTCCGCCTCACGAATTTCACGCTTGACTTTTTGGATGAACACTGGACCTCTGAAATCGATTTTGTAATTTGTAAGTGCCTAACTTGGTCCATCTGTGTTATTTGATTCTCACTCATTTGCCGCTTATAGGGACTGGTGATAATGCAAGGTATGATATTGGTCGGGCCTCTTGAGATGCAATTTGATCAAGAGCATCTAGACACGATAACGATCACGACATACCACGACCACTCGACGAAATTTATGACTTGAATCGCGCTGTAGCTAAGAAGATGGAGCATGTATTTTTAAGGAAAGGCATCCCAGTCGTGCCAAGTTTAGGTATGTCCTATGCGCCTCTTCGCAGAGACTTCCTGAACAGTGCATCTTCTATTAGGAAACAATGACATATGGCGTAAGCGCTTCTGACATTCCTGAGCACGCGACGAGTATGTTGACTGTCGCCTTATATAGCTCATGTGAGAACAGCGTATCACATGGGCTCTTTCTGCTAACCCCATTTACCTTTCTATCAGAATAGATTATCTGCAGGTATGATTGTTGCTTTCCTTCTGCCCAGCGTTAATCCGTAGCAAACAGGACCTAATAAGATATTCGAGGAGTTCTCTTCGTATGTCTATCGCAGATTTTAGTCACTTCCAAGATCTTATAAAACAATCAGAATATGGAGTGCATTTATACCCCCAACATCATCAGCATCATTCCACCAAGGAGCATACTTCTCAACAGAGGTCATACCTGATGCAGTGGCTGCTATTAGCATTAATACCTTGTACTTTTATCATAAGAATCACGGCAAGTGACACGTAATTCTCTGGTTAGCCTGTTCATTGATGTACACTATCAGGTGTAGGAGGATGTCGTTATGCCGATCCAAAGGACCCTGGAAACATCCACCTTGATTGGCTTGAAGAACAGCTGGAAGCATTTCGATCTCGACAGATGCAGGTGAGAATTCTCGAATATCTTTCAAAAATTCTTTTTGATGTCGTCGGGTAGGTGTGGATTACAGGTACGCTATAGATCGCTTCCTTGAACACTAACAACTTTTCATATCTTCGTCAATACAGGACATGTACCTCCATCTGAAAAGATGTACTTTCCCGAATGCGTGAGTACTCTACGTGGATGTGGCATTAATCATCTCAACCTTGCTAGTACTACCGTTTCGCAGAGTTGAACCTACGATTCCAAGACACGATTTTGGGTAATTTGTATGGGGTGAGATTTGATATTCATTCCAGGTGGCCGAAGTTAATTCTACTGTTTCAGCACTTAAACGTTGACCACGTATGCGCGGTTACTTCAAAGCCACCCTTAGTTTACTAACTCAATGCAGTTCTCTTTCCTGGACGCTGATGAAATCGACATGTCTATGAAGACTTCGTCAAGCAGAACACTCTTTCAGACGCTCATCTCTGAGTTTTCGGAGATACCGGAACCCCTTGAGGACACTCACTACGACAACTATGCAGTGGTGAACACTAACGCTGCCGTTGTACCAAATCCTTACATTCCATCCTTCCGAATTTTTACGTATAACACCACTGGACTGTCAGGATTCGTGAAGGATATCGGCTCTGGTCCATATCTTCAAACGATGAAGGCCACTCAGCGGCGACGTGCCTCGAACCATGGGCAAGTTCGCACATCCAAGAAACCGAAGTGTGAACGCAAGAAGTCCCGTAACACGTGGAGGTGCCACTTTGACAAACCCTGGCACTCTGATAGCGAGTCGCCATCAAGACACAACTCGTTGTGGTCGCCTCTAGGGTTCGCACAGGTGCGATCGTACCCCATGAATAGTTCCCTGAAATAACACATGTTATTTACAGTTTTACATGCCAAGGTTGGCAGAGTTCGATCAGACCCATGATCCAGAGTTCGAACTCGAGTACATGACCTTCCCTCTTTCAAAATTGCATCCCGACGAGGAAGCACATAATATCACGAATCATCAATATGTTATTCCTCTTCAGCTTCTGCCAGAAGAACTTCGCCAACCTGGTGCTGTGGAGTCAGAGTACACGCCTTATGAGTTGAATGACTTGACCATCCCATCGTGGTTGGATTTTGCCACGAGGCTTACGAAGAACAAGGAACTTCGATCAAGGTTCAAGAAGTTCATGTATATGGGTGGGGTGGAGGAATGATTGTTAGGGGTATCTGTTTCGGAAACAGACAAGAGATTCGGGCTATGTATTATAGATGTGCTGGCTGTAGAGTGCGTTATAATTTTGTTATATGTGTGTTATACTACGCCTACATAGAGTACCTTGTTTATAGCGGTCCAGCTGTATTCTTGAACCGGAATATTCAACTAACACTGCATCAGCTGAGAGTTCGTCCATTGGCAGTGTTGGATCTTCATCTTGAATACATTTCATATTGGTGCATGCACGTACAGCTTGTGGATGCAGTATGGTTTTCCAGGCGGTGGTGATAGGTGGCGGCGATCAAGAGCGGTGAGTCCTCGCTCAATTTAACTTGCCTCACAGCGCTCTCTTATCGATGAACTCAATTGAGTGCATGATCGTCGTTGAACGATTTAGTAAGCCATTCACAACTTTTTGACTGCAGTCTGGTGCTGGTTCTGTGAAGATTAAACTTGCGGTCTACGAAGATCCACTTGAGCACCCAGAATGGAAAGACACGCACATAACGTCCGCCATTCCTCGAATTCTAGATCGTTACTTTGTTGCCTCCAGGTTACACTTTCACTCAATCCTATGGATATGGAACACCCCATAGCCCTGGATCAGCGCTTGGCTGTATTCAGTTGTTCTTTTGGTCTGCACGCGGTACAATATAAAACGCCTCAGGGTAGACATTATATTCTACAATTTAAGATCGGTTCTTCGTTCTTGTCCTAAAATCTACGGGACTTACTCTGAGCATCGCTATTTCTTCTCAAAGCATACGCATACCAGTAAGTTTTCTCAGACCGAGAGATGGAAACATCATACGACGTGACCATTAACAGGTCCACGCATCACCTTTCTTGAGCACACTCAGAGATGGGAGGTCTGTTCAGTCGGAGTCGGCCAGAAGCGCCCAGTCCATCCCTCGCCGATATAAAAGCGCGCCAGGACGCAGAGGCAGCTGCTGCACAAGCCCGCAAGGATGCTGAGGCTGCTAGAGCACAGATAGCCGAGCTCATCAAGTCGAATCAAGACTCTCAGCAGAAGGCTATGGCGGCTCAGCAGGCCGCCTTGCAAGCCGCAGCAGCTTCACAGGATCAGGCTCATAAGGAAATGATGGCGATGGTCCAGGCCGAACGTGCCGCCAACGAAGCTCGCTTAACGGCGGAAGCCGCTGCTCGTACTTCCAGCGAAGAAGCAAAACAGAGAGCAGCGGAAGCAGAGGAGGCGCGTAAGCGAACCGCAGCTGTCCAAGAACAAGCCGTGAAGGACGCCCAGGCCGCCCAGGAGCAGGCCAGGAAACTACAGGAGGCTGCCAATGAGGAGAAGAGGAAGGCGACTGCCGCCCAGGAGGCGGCCAACGCGTCGAAGAAAGTAGCAGAGGAGGAAGTAAGGGTGGCTAATGCCGCCAAGAAGGAGGCTGAACGCAAGTTGAAAGAAGGTATTCAACCTGTGGTGACTCCCACACCTGAAGAAGTTAGCGCTGCCAAGCGGAAAGTTCAATATCGCGAGGACCTTTTCCACTTCGCAGTAGCTGGAGTGGCAGGAGGAGGGAAATCATCTCTCATCAATGCCTTCCGCGGCTTGCGCAATAAAGATATCGGATCTGCCGCGACTGGCGTCACCGAGACAACGCTGGCCATGGCCAGATACGCCAGCCCCAATGCGGAATACCCATATGTCTGGTATGACATTCCGGGCGCAGGCACGCTCAAAATCCCAGATTGGCAGTACTTCAACGCCCAAGGACTTTACGTCTTTGACTGCATCATCGTCCTGTTCGACAATCGCTTCACCATGACCGACATCGCCATCCTCACCAACTGCAGGCGTTTCAATATCCCCACATATATCGTGCGTTCTAAGGCGGATCAGCACATCCGCAACATCATGAAGGATATGGGATACGACAGCGATGACGATGAGAGCGAGGACCAGAAGAAGAAGCTTTACCAGGCTGCACGGCAGCAATTCATTCAGCAGACCCGCCAGAGCGTGAAAGACAACCTGGAGAGTGCCAATATGCCTGACCGAAAGGTTTACATCGTTTCTAATGAACCTATGCTCGGGGTCGTGAAGGAAAAGCGACCGAAGAAGGTGATCGACGAGATAGAGTTGTTGAACGACTTGATCGGAGAAGCCCAGACCAGGCGAGCGCGCCGTGATGCTGAAGGGGCGACCACGAAGGAGAAGTAGTCGGTGACGATACAGTTCTTCCTATATTTCTTCCTTCGGGCTCTTGTTGATACTTCTCCATTTCTCGACATGATCATATTGCTTGTAACCGATCTTGGCTACCGACTCGTAGTCGGTGATAATTCTTCTTGTATTTCTTTCTCCTGGCTGGTGTTGTCAGCATCTTCATTTTTGACATATTCATACTGTGTTCACAAGTACCACTTGTGAACGACTTTCTTCGCTGACTCCGACCCCCATGCGATGTACCCGTCTCCTCTTCAATCGTGTTTTTGTTGATAGCAAGACAAACAACGTGTCAGCGTGCGGCGGCGTGGCGGTTTGGCGGCATCACAAGGCTTACACAAGTGCGTTGTTGTGAATTAGTAATGGGCGCGTCTGTGTTTGCAGCTTTGAGTCGTCGCCGTCAAGTCGTCGTTCCACGTTGGACAATGCAGAACGCTGGTCGAGTACTGCAGGTGTCCTCGGGGGTCACCTCTATGAGTAGCGCAGCAGTTTCAACCACTCGTGTAATTGCAAGATTTCGAAGGTCGCAATCGAATATAGACTTCAATATTGCATGTTTCGGCAAGGTAATGTTGAATTTTGTCAAAAAAAAATATGGCAAGATTGGCGCATGAGAAGCACTTGAGTATGCACGAGATCTCCGATGAAAGGCTTGAAATCGTGTCACAATTTCATGGATAGGTATGTGCATTTCTTTGTATACAGGCACTAATAACGCATTCGAAGACAGCGGCCATGTATCATAGACGTTAAAACGTTAACCTGTATAGGTCGTCGAGGATGTTTTGCCGAATTTCGAATAGAGTCAAGACTGTGATACTGTGACACTTCGGTCTTTGGTCCTGCCCCGCTCGACAAACTTGAGGGGCACTCCCAGGGGGTTGACTAGATTGTATTTAGTCCTGCATAGAGTAATACTCTCCATAGGACACAAGTCGAAATCCAAAAAAAACAAAATCGAAACAGGTCGTCTAGGATACATTTGATGATCATGTCTTTGCTCTCGGCTGCGCATTTCTGAGAATTTGAAGACAGTGATGAAAAGACTTGACATACCACGTTCGCAGTACGTGATAAATGCACCAAGACGCACGAGACGGATATCGTGTTCTTCTTTCCCCTTATCAGCATCTCTGTTCTTCTCGGAATTTACTGAAGACCATCCCTCCCCATTATCTTTTGCACATTTAGTGCCTGCAATACGTTCGTCGTCGATATTGAATATAGCATCCATGGCCTCTAGCGTCTCATGTACATTCGCCTTGACTACGTTGACTCCTAGTTCTGGGATCCACCATTATCAGATCAGCAGGTCACAGTCTCCTGATGTCTCACCAAATGAATACATGAACACCACGCTATCAAGCATCCGTTTGTCAGAAATACAACAGACGAGAGCTTCAGTAGTCGATCTTTTGAAAGGAAGCAATTCCAAGGCAAAACCAGGCTGTGATAAACGCTCCTCGGCGGTGGCTGTATACCACTGCAACCCTTCAGGCCATTGCTGGACATTCATCCAAAAATGTGCTTTAGGTCGGTAGTTTGGACGAAAAAGAACTGACTCGTGGATCTTTTGTCCGGGCATGATGATACGTCCTTGTCCAAGGTGCGGTCTGCAAGTGATCAATGTATAACCAAATCGATGAACATGACCACTTACAGCGCTTTAAGCGTGTTGGAGTTAAAGCAAAGATGTCCAACAGGCAACATCTCAAGCAGCCACCATGCAAGGTTTGAAGAGTCGGTAACTCCGGGTTCCAGAAATGATTCACCTTCATATCTAAAAGCTGCCTGGAGGGGATTGAACAGAAGCCCCGCCTCGCGAGCTTCTTCACGCATCCACAGTAGGGGATATTCCGGAAGTCATGAGGATAGCTCTTCTTCTTCCAACATGCACCCCCGCTAAAACAAGTTATTGAAAGATTGCCCTCCAATGAAGGGGACACGTACACATCCGAATGACTACCCGCAAACCAAACCTCCTTAATACGACCTTCGTCTGTGGGAGGTGCCGTCGACACTTGGTATTTAAGCCAGTTTGATCGATTGCTTATACCCCCGTAGACATACTCAGGTAGAAATTTCACCCGGCGCTCATCTAGCGCAAGTGCCTGGCGGAAGTAGCAAACGTGATCGCATGTATCAGTGGATGGAAAATTCTTCGTCTTCCTGACACCAACAGATGAAACGGTGTCCCTAGAAGGTTCGTCGGGAATGATGGTATGATCACGCTCAGGTATAACCCTCACCATACACCAACGAAATGTATGACTACGCTTCTGGAGAATTGCATTTTGAACTCCTTCGCACCATTAATATCCTTGGACTTCCCGCTATTAATGGCGCAGTAATGCTGGAAGGCACTTGGAAAATCGGCCGATTAATCAAGAGCAATCACTGGATGTACTCACCTTGATATCTGCCCTTCGTTTCCAGGTGTGATAAGGCCCACCTATCAAAATAATAATAAACGACAAGGATAATTGCTTGTGTAAAACTGATAGATACTTCGTGGATCATTCCTGCCAAAGCACGGACTTGATATGCACCCCTTGAAAATCCTGACCCCATCTTTTAGTGTAGCCGAGTACTTTATGCAACATCCAGGAGACATACCGAATAAAAAGATCTTATCACCATCATGGTATCTGTCTGAGAGCCATTCGTAGGCTTTTAATATGTTTCGCCTGATACTACTTCATTGATACTGTTACCGCGAGCCGTGAAGCATCGAATATATTGCACTCACTGAGCAATGGCCAGGTCCAAGTTCTTCAAAACCTGCTCCACGAGCACAAAACCTTCGGACCTGGTATAGGTTCCCACACCACTGGCGTAGTATGCTATCTGTTTTTCATCATCATCCTTGACAATATTGTCGTATAGTTCGAAGACATGAGTGGTCTGGGTGCAGATATCTTGATATCACTAATCATCGCAAAGGCATGCGCAACCTACGTCGTCCTTGGTGTTTGATGTTCCATCTACAGAGTTGAATAATTGTCACCTGAAACAGCTTAAACCACGCACCAATACAAATAACCAGGTTTTTCCCTGATTTTTTGTTACATGAACATTTACATGATGTCTGCAGTCAAATGTCAGGAAATACTGAGTTCCGACGGTACCTTGTGTCGTACCTTGGTCAAACTGGCTAAATTGTGTGAAGAGGAATTGGATGGGCAGCACCCCAACATTAGCGCGGGAGTGGACGAGATTCAATTCCTTGCATTGGCAGGGTATTATAGCGCTTTGAACAGAGTTACTGCCCGTGAACACGATGAGGCTATCATTCTGCGAGCGAGCCGTGCATGAACTGTGTGTCGCTGTGCTCCGATAATACAGGAGGATACAGCACCTCTGAAATAGTTACAAATACACTGAAGAAGATCTACAGCATATTGATATGAATATCGGTGTGCGATTTTGTGCAGCAGCCCGCCGCTATGCGGCATACCTTTTATCATTGCTCGACAGCCAAGCAGATGAGGCAGACTATAAGGCAAGTGTGCGCGAGGCCCTATCTGCAACGTCAGAAGCATAATTACGCGCCTTGTTCCATTTCCATTAATATGATGAATATATCACATGCCGGGCCAGTGAGTGTAAGTTGCAAGGGTTCCGAGTCAATTACAAGAACGGAACACGCATTACGGACAGAAGTTGCTGCAAGGCAACTAAAAATCTGGGATGAAGTGTTGTTTATATTGTTCATACTGCCACGATGAACGGTCACGGTGACCTGGTATGTATTCAAATCCATCAGAGCGTGTGGTAAAAGTAGTTTGAACGTTTACGTACTTTTTACATAACTTTGATCACAGTCTCGGTGAATCAACTTATAAATCTTACACTCACAGAGGAGCTTCATTCAAACGTCTATCTCATAATTTGCCTACTTCAAAACTTTCTCTTGACGGTAGTCGGTATTGAAACTTGTTGCACATATGATCGTCGTTCGATGTGATCTGGTAACTCCCAACTTTTATGGCTGTAGTGCGACTTGAACGTTTATATTGTAGGGTTAATTCTGGAGACAAATCTTTTGGGCTCACACGAAGATCGAAAGAACGTGCACATATATGCATGTGATGTCCACATCTTTGTAATGTTGTTTTTATATCACGACATCTAGGAGGAGAGGCTCCGGTGAGACCTTCTCCGAGCCGTCTGAAAACGCTTTCTAATGATCGAATCCAATCAACTCAATTGAGTGCATTGCATTTGCACGGTGTTGATATGGTAAATCATCTTCGTAGCTGCAGCCCAGTGCTTATGAGAACGAATTGCGGTCCACGAAGATCTATGTGAACGCAAAGAATGGAAGGACATGCACAGAACGTCTGCCATTCCTAGAATTCTAGATCGTCACTTCGTTGCCTCCAGGTCACACTTCACGCAATCCTATGAATGTGGACCAGCCCATAGCCCTAGGTGACTTATGATCAGCGCTTGGCCACATTTAGACATTCACTTGGTCTGCACGCGGCACAATATAAAACTCCTCGAGGGAGTTATTATATTCTATGGTTTAAGATCGGTTCTTCGTTCTTATCCTGAAATCCGCAAGACTTACTCTGAGCAGCGCTGTTAGCTGATTTTTCTTCCCAAAGCATACGCATACCAGTAGGTTTTTTCAACCCGAGAGATGGAAACATCACGTGACGTGACCATTGACAGGTCTACCTTTCTTGAGCAAACTCAAAGATGGGAGGTCTGTTCAGTCGGAGTCGGCCAGAAGCGCCCAGTCCATCCCTCGCCGATATAAAAGCATGCCAGGCCGCAGAGGCAGCTGCTGCACAAGCCCGCAAAGATGCTGAGAATGGCAGGGCACAGATCGCCGAGCTCATCAGGTCGAATCAAGAATGGCAGCAAAAAGCTACGGCGGCTCAACAGGCCGCCTTGCAAGCTGCAGCAGCCTCGCAGGAGCAGGTTGAAAAGGAAACCACAGCGATGGCACAGGCTGCAAAGGCTGCCAATGATGCCCGCTTACTGGCAGAAGCTGCTGCCCATACTGCTAATGCAGAAGCAAAACAGAGAGCAGCGGAAGCAGAGGAGGCGCGTAAGCGAACCGCAGCTGTCCAAGAACAAGCCAGAAAAGACGCCCAGGCCGCCCAGGAGCAGGCCAGGAAACTACAGGAGGCTGCCAATGAGGAGAAGAGGAAGGCGACTGCCGCCCAGGAGGCGGCCAACGCATCGAAGAAAGCAGCAGAGGAGGAAGTAAGGGTGGCTAATGCTGCCAAGAAGGAGGCTGAACGCAAGTTGAAAGAAGGTATTCAACCTGTGGTGACTCCCACACCTGAAGAAGTTAGCGCTGCCAAGCGGAAAGTTCAATATCGCGAGGACCTTTTCCACTTTGCAGTAGCTGGAGTGGCAGGAGGAGGGAAATCATCTCTCATCAATGCCTTCCGCGGCTTGCGTAATAACGACGTCAATATCGGAGCTGCCGCCACTGGCGTCACCGAGACAACGCTGGCCATGGCCAGATACCCCGACCCCAATGCGGAATACCCATATGTCTGGTATGACATTCCGGGCGCAGGCACGCTCAGAATCCCGGACTGGCAGTACTTCAACGTCCAAGGACTTTACGTCTTTGACTGCATCATCGTCCTGTTCGACAATCGCTTCACCATGACCGATATCGCCATCCTCACCAACTGCAGGCGTTTCAATATCCCCACATATATCGTGCGTTCTAAGGCAGACCAGCACATCCGTAACATCATGAAGGATATTGGGTACGACAGCGATGACGATGAGAGCGGGGACAAGAAGAAGAAACTTTACCAGGCTGCACGGCAGCAGTTCATTCAGCAGACCCGCCAGAGCGTGAAAGACAATTTGGAGAATGCCAATATGCCTGACCAAAGGGTTTACGTCATTTCTAATGAACCTATGCTCGGGGTCGTGAAGGACAAACGGTCGAAGAAGGTGATCGACGAGATTGAGTTGTTGAACGACTTGATCGGAGAAGCCCAGATCAGGCGGGCACGCCGTGATGCTGAAGTGCGGCTATTATGAAGGAGAAGTAGTCGGTGATGATATAGTTCTTCCTTCGGTCTCTTACTGATACTTCTCCATTATCGACATGATCATACTGCTCGTGACAGATCTTGACCGCCGACTCGCTGTCGGTGATGATACAGTTTTTCCTATGTTTCTTCCTTTGGGCTGACGTTGTTATTTCTCCACATGTTCTTACCGCTTGCGAACGACTGACTTCCATCCCACTGAATATATACACATTTACAATTACAAAGGGCTTGCAATTGAGATTTCTGGTACGAACTTGAATCCACAGGACGAAAGGTGTCGTACAGTGTAACGCAATCCTACGCCTCCCACATCCAACTTCCTCGAGGGCAGTCGTGAAATGAATTTGTGGGTGTTTGACCTCGTGCAGACCAAGGGTTCCAGTGTTTGCGTCGAGCGTCCATTTTTGGGATAGGGGTTGAAAAACCCCTCAAGACATTCTATTCTACTTCTGTTCTTCGTTGTGATCCGGTGTGAATCTACAGCACTCATTCTAAACCAACGTCGTTAGATTAAATTTCCGGTGCATACACATTTCAGTAAGCTTCCTCAGCTCGAAAGATAGAAGCCATCATGCGACATGATAATTCACAGGTCCACGCATAACCATTCTGTATCACATCGAGAATGGGAATCTGGTTCAACCGACTTTGGCCAGAGGTGCTCAATCCATCGCTTGTTGAAATAGAAGCGGTGGTTGAGCAGGCTCGCAGGGATGTCGAAATTGCCCAGGCTGAGTTGATAAAGTTCATGCAAGAGAATCAAGAATCGCAGAAAAATGCTATGGAAGTTCAGCAAGCTGCACAGGCGCAAGAACATAAGGAAATGATGGCGAAGTTCCAGGCTGAACGGGCTGCTAGCGAAGCCGCGCAGGCGCAGGTTCATAAGGAGATGATGGCGATGGTCCAAGCCGAACGCGTTGCCAACGAGGCCCGCTTGATGGCGGAAACCGCTGCCCATGCCGCCAATGAAGAAGCGAAGCAGAGAGCAGCAGAGGCAGGGGAGGAGCGGAAGCGAATCGCCGCCATCCAGGAACATATCCAGAAAGACGCTCGGGCTTCCCACGAACATACCAAGAAACTGGAAGAGGCCGCCAATGCGGCCAAGAAAGCGGCAGTAGAGGAACTTGAGAAGGCGAACGCTGCCAGAGAAGAGGCTGAACGCAAGCTGGCTGAAGGCATTCAGCCTGTGGTGACCCCCACACCTGATGAAGTTCGCACCGTCAAGCAAATTGCTCAATATCGTGAAGACCTGTTTCATATCGCAGTAGCCGGGGCAGCAGCAGGAGGCAAATCCTCCCTCATCAATGCCTTCCGTGGCTTGCGCAATATGGATATCAATATCGGAGCTGCTGCCACTGGCGTGGTCGAGACAACGACGGTCATGGCCCGATGCCCCGACCCCAACACGGAGTATCCGTATGTCTGGTACGATGTTCCGGGCGCAGGCACGATGACAACTCCAGACTGGCAGTACTTCAATGACCAGGGACTTTACATTTATGATTGCATCATCGTCCTGTTCGACAGTCGATTCACCATGACCGACATCGCCATCCTCATCCACTTCAGGCGATTCAAGATCCCCACGTATATCGTGCGCTCTAAGGCGGATCAACATATCAGAAACCTCATGAAGGATAAGGGGTATGACAGCGACCATGACGAGGATAGGAAGCTGCACTATCACAATGCACGGCAGCAGTTCATTCAGGAAACACGCCAGAGTGTGAAAGACAACCTGGAGAATGCAAACATACCCGATGCTCGGTGTCGTGAAGGAAAACCAGGCGAAGAAGGTCATTGACGAGATTGAGCTATTGAGCGACTTGATTTGGGAAGCTCAGGCCAGGCGCTTAGGGCGCCATGAATCTTGTGCGACTGTTGTGAAGGACATGCTGCAGTCTATAACGGGCAATTGAGCCAACGGTGAAATCCGATTGAAGGCCTCGTGCATCACACAATTTCCAAATCTGTCTCAACGATTTGAAGGAATCTATGTTTTCTGTGCTTATTAGTCACCACCGTAAACAAAACGAATAATAATTGCAGAGTTTTACATTCGAGATTGCTGGGCTGATCCTAGAGACGAAAGGAATCGCAAGACTTGCGTTGTAACACGATCCTGCGCCTCCAACATCACCCAATGACCAACATCCTCGAGGCAACGGTATTGAGTCGTGAAATGAATTTGTGGGCATTTTGAACCGCCGACGGAGGACACGTAGCATCCTTGGTTCCATACATGAAGAGAACGGGAAGATTCGGCAGTAGATGTGCAGGTAGCTGAGCCTCTGGCTTGAGGTGAGAAAAAGAGTAAGACAGTCATCGAGTCGCATCTACCTTTCTCCTCTTCGAATCGCATTTTCGTGGTTCGGTAATAAGACAAAGGCCCTCGCATGCCGCGCTGAAAACGAAAAACATAAAATTGTAATTCCTGTTATGTAAATGATTATCAGCGTGAACGTTATCACGAACGATCCATCATTACATGCTCATTGAGGAGGCAATCGTTGGTAAAATTTATTTGCTTATTGGTGATCAGTTCGTCCAACTTTGACCACGACAATGCCTTCTCAGGTGTTCTGAACACTATACCGAGAAAGGGGACGAGCTTCGCCGACCTGAGTCAAATGCGTGAAATGAAAAAGAAGATGCTTACGTTTTCCTCGACCTCGGATGTTGATGATTCGGACGCAAAGTACATTTGATATCCATAGGATGGATATTTTCTGGCCATTTCCTCGACAGACATATGCTGTTCCTTCGGAGGAACATATGGAATAGATAACCTAGGGACATCTCGTCGATGGTGGATCTAGGGCTGAATGGATACGCACATGACTAGCGCTACCAACCTGATCCGGATGCCACAAAGCAAATCTTCCAGCAGTGTATGACCCCCAATCATGACCAATTACCACCTGAGTCATCAGGATAGTGAGAAAATAGGTTCAACAGATAGGACAAACGAACGGCTTTGGGTATCGCTAAGAAATCAAGAAGTGCAGAAATATCATTGCAAATATTTTTCGTAGAATACGCTGAAGAATTCTGGGGCATGTCGGTTTCGCCGTAGCCTAACATATCTGGAACAATCACACGGAAGCCTTGTCGACACCATGGACCAATTTGGTGCCGCCATCCGAACCTAATCGACGGATTGAAGTTTGTGACAAGTTGATTATCGAAAATTACCAAGAATCAGGAAAGCCATGTAAACAAATTAGTGGTGGGCGAGTTGGATCGTAATCCTTCGGGATCTGGTCGATAAAATGATAAAGGCGACCAGTAGAAATTTGAGCCGTGCGATGATCAAAAGTTTGAGGATCTATTGGATTCATGATGATGGAGTCAATGGCAGGGATATGGCAGTGTTATGCGGGACCGCAGCTGGGAACTAAATCCGGCAAGTTCCACTTGTCGCCTTTGTGAAATACTCCCAACACGCCTTTGCCTGAACTACGCATCTCGTCGTCTTCCAACAACGTTATCCTCTCTTTCAGCTTCCCCGCAATTACCGATCCCTTAAATAACAGCCTTTTTCCCGATTTTTCACCGTTTTTTTTTCTACTGTGAGATCCGCAAATCCCAAACCTCATTCATATCACACAAACTACAAGTAAGTCTTCACACTTCCTTACGGTTTTGTCTTCATGAATGCCACTCATGCTCTTTCACCAGTTCTTAATATGCCGGCTATCGTATCTTCTACTGTACCCCGTGCAGATGTTTCCGCAAAGTCGAGGTCTTCTTCACGGCCTCGCAAGACTCGCATGGTCAAGCCCAGGGGAAGGGGTAGAAACAATTTTGAGAGTGACGAAGAGTTTGAAAGAGAGGTCGCAACTGACTCCGAGTCCGATGATGATCGTTCCTCAGTTGCCACCGAAACTGACTCCGACACTGAACCTGCCTCAGAAGACATTGTTTCCAACGGCCATTCACACATTTTAACGCCCAATACAACTCAGAGCTCTGAGGATGTCCCATCGCTCAAGCACCAGGCAGTCAAAGACATTGATGGTGACTCTACTCCTTTTTTCAGTGCCGCTGGCAACTGGTCGGAGATGGTCGCTGAGGAAACCGCCAATGGCCCTGCGGAGCTCCCAGTTATAGAGTTCGCAGATTTCAATAGCCCTTCTATTCCCCAGCGCACTCTGTCAGGACCGCCTCCGCGTAAAACAGGTAAAGCGCCGAAACGTCCCCAGCCCAAGCGCACAGTCTCAGCGCCTTCGTCTGACCGTGGTGCGGCGCCTCTGCTCCCACCTGTTCAAACTGAGGAAGACGCTTCAGAGCCTGCAGATGATCAGCCCCAGGCATCGACATCTCGACAACAGTCCCGAAATTTATTCCCCAGGCCCCCTTCTGGGCACAATGCTCGTCAAGCTTATCAGCAGAGGCTGGAGGCGGACCCGTCGTATGTTCCCACTGTTGGTGAGTTTTGGGGCCACGATGATCGGCTGCTGGATAAGGACCTTAGGAGCTTGAGTGGGTGGTGGAGAGGCCGCTGGCAGGGTAGGGGTCGTGGAAGAGGTGGGTTTGGTTTCGTGCGCGGTAGGGGCAGAGGAGCATTTTCTGGTCCAGAGTCTAGTCGTTCTGCACCAGAAACATCTGGATATCAAGATACAGAGAAACCTCCAGTTGAGCAACCCCTTATTGACCAACCGTGGACCCACGACGGTTTCGAGGAGATGAAGAAGCGAGATGAAAAGAGGCATGCGGCTACACCACATCAACAACAGCAAGCAGCAAGGTCTACACGAGGTTTCTTGCCACTTCGTGGTAGAGGTGGATTTATCGCCGGCCGTGGACGTGGTGGTTTTGCACGTGGCGGTTTCACGCCTTCACCGACTGGAGCACACTTCATTCCTCCTGCTGCCGCTGCCGCTGCATCAGGCAGGACGTGGTACGCAATGAAGCCCGAACGTGTCTGGACAAAGCAACACGAGGGTTTCCTGTATTTCGACCCTGCCTTGAAACCTCGTCCCGGTCAAGGTCCAGGCTATCGGGTCAAGCTCTCTGGCAATGAAGGGAAGGTCATCAGAAACTCTGCTCGAACCACTCAAGCAGCAGAGCCTTCGCCATCTGTGGCTGCACCTTCAGAGGCGAGTGAGAAGACATTTATCGTGCGTCTACCCAAGAGGGCAGGAAAGGAGAAAGCACCAGAGCCAACTCCTGGGGTTGTTGAGTCTGTTACTACCGCCGCAGATCCTCCTATCGAAGATGTCTTCACAGTTCGACCAGAGCTCGTACCCCCAAGGCAGCCAATTTCAACTTCGCAATCAGCTTTGCCTCCGGCCAATGGACATGTGCCTTCTACGTCAGTATCTGCTGTGCCTTCCAAATCTGCCGCACCGGCTCCTCCATCACCTGATGCCTCGAAAGAGAATATCACATCACCTCTTCTACAGCAAATGATGCGTGCGGCTGCAGATCAGCAGGCCAAGGAGACTGCAGATGTGCCAAATGGCATATTGCAGGAGCAGTATGACCAGGATGTGCCTGCTCTCCTTCAGGTCGAACAACCCACAGTGGACCCAGATACTTCTGATGCCGTCCATTCATCAATACCTCCATCTCTGCAGACTGTGTTCTCGCCGCCATCGCAGCCCTCGCCTCCGTACGGATCGCCATATGGGTATGGCTCTACTCTACCTCCCGGAGTGGCCATCGGCCACCACGGTATGCCATATGAGATTGCCACGGGCCGAGCGGTGTATCTGCAACACCCGACGATGTACACTCCGCGCCCGTTAGCCCATGGCATGATGACACCTCCAGGACTCCCATATGCTCCTATGCACCATCATTCCGCCAGCTCTCCAGATTTCCTTGCTCCATCTCACACACCTCCTGTTAATGGTTACATTGACCCATCGACCGGCAATTCGCTCTTCGCGTTCCCTCGCCAGAGTTCTCGCATCGAGATCCGATCGCCAACCTCTCATTCGGATCTCAGCCAGTTGAAGAGTAATCGCCGGCCTTCCAGTTTGAGGACGAGCGCAGCCTCATTTGAGCCTTCGCGTCCTGCAAGCCCCAATACCGAGTCACAGACATACCAGTCATCTGAAGATCCTTCTGCGCAGGATGATGCAAGTTCAAGTCAAACCAATGACCAAACGATGCCAGAGCAGGCAATGGAGCCCACCATGTACGGGTACTCGCCATATCATCAGCAGTACTACTATCCTGAGCACTACGGGTACTCCCAGTACTACGACATGTCTCACGTTCCACAATACGAGATGTATCCCACCGACCCACATGCTTCTCAGGTCTATTACTAGTACTAATACTCATGTTATATCTTCTGATGCTGTTGTTTTTCTTCTGTTCTTGCTTTGGGATACATACGTACACCGCTATCCATGACCGTTTCAATGCTCACGATCTTGACGTTCTCAGGCCTCAGCAGTTACCCTCACAGACTTCCTGTTGCTCCAATGCGTTCCTTACTTTACTCATGCTGTTTTACTTGTGTTTCTCTTACTGCAATGCTTCCCGGGTCTTGAATATGGTATTGGCTTGTTGACATTGTTGTTGTTGAACATTTTACCCATGTAGTTACTTGCAATGCTCAATCTCTTCCAAGTTCCCCACTCATTTGTACCTGACTCGAGAACTCCTGTGGTAATAAGGAACCAGCTATGGAAATGTACATTAGTCATGCAAATATTGGTCATCCAAGCCTGTTTTCTGCGTGGCACAGCAAGTAGCTAGTAGTACAGCTTCCTGTCCTAGACTACCACCATCACTCACCACGGGCTTTGGTCAGGCTCGTCAGATTGAAGGTTGTGGACTGTATTTCTCAATTCAGCGGTATGTAGCAGCGAGCTGATGTTCAATTTTGTGAAAAAGCTATATTACTCCCACAATTAGATACGTTTCAGAAAGAAACACATTCATTGTATTCAACGCGGCTCAGACCGCACTATTCAGTCTCGCAGAAACCGCACACGGGATCCTGCAGCCAGTTATTAGGATGGCATTCGTTCAACCTTTCCCACTCGCAGCAGCGGCCCAAAAAACACAACAACCTGGCGTTCGGCCCCGACTTAGCCGTGCGTCTTATTTGCCCAGAGTGCAGAGATCCAAATCCGAATATTGTCGAAGAGTTTGGGAGCGGGGATCTTGTGTGCGGGAGCTGTGGACTGGTCCTGGGTGATCGTATTGTTGATACGAGAAGTGAATGGAGGGTGAGTCCCTATTGTCTCCTTTAGTGTTGCAAAATAACTCTGCACCTATCATTGTATGTGTAGACATTCGCAAACGACGAAGGCGATGATCCTTCTCGTGTTGGTGCTGCGTCGGACCCTCTATTAGAGGGCATAGAGCAACTGGATACGCTCATCAGTTTCCGTGATGGCGGTACGGGAATTGCACGCGAGCTTCAACGTGCGGCTTCTCGCTCCCAGAGCTCGCGCTCGGAGCGGAATCTTCTTACCGCGTTCCGCGATATTGGCAGCTGGTGTGACCAGTTCTCGCTTCCCAAAACCATCAGCGATATTGCCAAACAGCTATACAAGCGCTCAGACGAGGAGAAACTTCTTCGTGGAAAACCCCTCGAGGCTGTTATCGCCGCGTGCATATTCATCGCGTGCCGCCAAGCTCACGTCCCTCGTACATTCCGTGAGATTTGTAACTTGACCCATGTGTCGAAGAAGACGCTCGGACAGTGCTACAAGGCACTTGAGCAAGCTTTCAATCTTTCGCCTGGAGCTACTGCGCAGGTCAATGCGAATGGGAGCAACCCGTCCACTGGCCCCGAAAACTTGCTTGTTCGTTACTGCAATCACCTTGATCTTCCCGCTCATGTTCAGTCTATTTGCGGTGATATCATCGTTGCAGCACGCCAGCATGGCGTTGCGGACGGTCGTAGTCCAGTTTCTATCGCTGGCGGGGCGATTTATTTTACTTGTCACCTACTAGGGAAGCCCAAATCTTCTCGAGATATCAGTGTGGTTGCTGGTGTTAGTGAGGGCACTATCAAGTTGGTGTATCGGCTGTACTACTTGGAGAGGGAGAAATTGGTGAAGGAGGAATGGATCAAAGAAGGGAGAGCTGACTTGGACAGGCTTCCTAATGAGCGGTAAAAGGATGTAATATCTCTGTGTACCAATTTGTTACGGATAATGACAGTGGTACTTATAATGATCTGTATGATCACTTGACATGACAATCTACCGGTGTAACATAACGTACTATGTGATACTTTTAGCAGCTAGCGTTTACCACCTCGTTTGCCCTTTGCTCCTTTTCTGTTGGCTTCACGAGCAAGAGCAACACCACCTTTGCCCTTGCTTACATTCCGTATTGCCTTCCGTACGTTGAGAATACCATCGCCTGCGCCTTTCTCCTTTCTTGCTCTTTTTACATCGCCAGTCCAACTTCGATAGTACGGCAAGTGATGCCTGTTTTTCTTGCTCGACAGATGTTTCTGTAGCCTCAAACTGCAGACAGTGAGTCGCATGCAGCGATTAGCTGTTCTGTTCCAACTTACCTTGCGCTTGACGCCTCTCAATTTCTTCTCTCCCTCAAGCTTCTTGTCGAATCTGCCCATGCTTGCAGTACTCATTCGAGTGGTAGCCAGTGTCCTTTCAATATCCTTTTTACGTTCCTCCCGGTCACCAGCAGCGCTTTGTGCACGAGCATTATTTTGGAGTCGCTGTCGCTCATTTTTGGCGACCCTTGATGTCCGTGCATCACGGGCAGCTTTGGCAGGATCATGATCCACGGCTTAAGTGATAATTAGACGAGCTTTATTGCCAACAAACACAATACGCACGAGCATCAGCCTTGACTTCATGAATCCACTGTTCTTCTTTCTCCTTATTTTTACCATCCTTGCCCCAGCGGTTGATCCACTCTTGTCGCTCTTCATCCCACACCTTCTTGTCACGCACACGCTTCTGGATACCCTTCGCGGCAGCGAAACGTTCCCATTTTGTCGGTGGTTTGGGCTTGGGAAGGGGTTTGGTACGAGGTAGTTGTGTTATTGGTGCAGGAAGTTGGGCGAGTGGGCCGTCTGGTGACGGTTGGGTGGGCAGGCCGTAGAGTGCTGCGACTAATGCTTGGATGCCATCTCGAGCAGTCATCTGTAGGTACTCTTCAAGATTTGATCTGAAATAAATGTGTTGATTATAGTTCCATGTAGTTATACAAACAATCGGTCGTACTTGTAACTATCCTCGTCGATTGGGGTGAGGTCTGTGACAGTCAGGAAGCCAGTGTCTACGTCGAGAGGTGTCTCTTTCTCAACCGTGACAGATTGACTGCGTAAAGTCGTGAGTAATGATTGAGGGAACAAAATGAATCGTACAATTTTGCAGCATGTGATGCTAGGATATTTGAGACGTCCATTGCAGGACTTCGCTGCGTGAATATAGACACGAAAATACTGAGTGATCTGTGTTATACGCTTGTTTGGCAAAAGCTTTAGATTTCAACAGAGCCAAATAACACAACACATCCTGCATGCCTTCCCGCCGTGCCATTTACATTTATGACACTTGTCGAACAAGCTTCCCTTTGCACATCTTGTAGAGTTTAACGTCAATTCTGTATCAGCAGGCAGGCCATGAAGACCGAAAGCGAGGCTCCAAAGACCCCGACGCCCACGCAAACTCACGCTCAGACGCCGTATACTACACAATGGGGTACAACACGTATGTGGCACTGTCCAAATGTCCCTGCAGTAATTAGAACTGAACTCACGTAATCTAGATATACCAATTGATCCTGCGCTTCAACAGCAATCCCAACATGCCACGTCAAGCTGTCTCTTTGTTCCTCTCCGTTTCGGATACTCAATATATCCATCTTATCCAGAACAACTCCGTATTCCTACCAGTACACTCACCACTATCCTCAAGCCGCTTATTCGCACTACTCATATGTATCACAGCAACCCCAAGTCCAGAGGCCGCAGACCTCAACAGTTCCTGCAACAGCAGCAACTACTCAGCCCGCAAATGCGAATAGTGGGATGGATACATCTGACGTAGCAACGTTGAATGATGCTCTTGGGAGCGCAGGTGTTGATCTTCGGGTGCGTTGGTACTGGCAAGGTATTGATTTCGGTAGTAACTATTCCGTAGGCGGAGGAGGAGAGCCTGCAGAGGTCCCATGACTCACATCAGTCATATCGAACCTTCGAAGACAGATCACGTAAACAACCAGCTACTCCTTCCTTCGATACACGCTTCCTAGGTGTCACCATGCGTACCATTGGCACAGAACACAAGGTGACAAAAATCCCCGAAGACTCGGTGAATTACCTAGCGATCGCTCTTCGTGCCCGCCTACAAGACCTCGTTACTGTGATGGTTGCTGCAGCGAACCACCGCATGGACACCCAGTTTGACCGCCCGGCATGTCCGTACGATAACGGCACGCCGATGTGGAGCATAGTGGTGCAGAGCGATGTTGCTAAGCAACTAGCTGCATTGGAAAAGATTGAGCGAGAGGAAGAGATGAAAGTTCGAAGAGAACGCAAAGAGCGCGCTGATATGGCCGCTGCACATGCTGCTAACCTCGCCGCGCAGGCTTCGGGCGGCAATGCCATGGTCGTGGACGGAGATGAGGAGGGAGGTGCGAAGAAAAAGAAGAAGAAAGAGGGACCTGGTGTAACGGCGAGGAATATGTCTGAAGATGTGCGTAAAAAGATGTCAAACGCTGTCGCAAGTCAGGCTGCCGGACTTGGTGGAAAGTACTCGTGGATGAATGCTGCAAATGCCCCTGCGGCCGCTGCCAAACCGAAGCCTGCAGCATCCTCTACCGCTACACCAAGTACAGCCACTACCACAACCCCTGCGACTACCACAGCTCCTGCAGCGTCAACGGCTTCAGCAACTACATGGGCGCGGCCATATATGGGGGGAAAGAAAGGTAGTCCGACATCCCCACAAACGGGAGAGGACGATGATCGGATGTTAATCACAATGCGTGATGCAATGTTCGCCATCGAGAAGGAAAGGGGTCATGGAGGAGGTCGTGGATCCGCTCGTGGATGGTCATAGCCATTTATACTTGCTCGTGTTGTTTAGATCGTTTGTGTCGCTGGTCGTTTGTTTTCTTTGAGCAGTTTCGTATCTGCACTTGACTTCATTGTCACCTCAAGCATTGTTTACACTACAGCAATTGAAGACGGTGCTGGCTAGTCAAACCAAAAGAGATGGAAGACTGCAGTTGTTCCTTCTATATTATGAGCGCTGGCGAAATCGAGACGATAAAGGCATATTGCTTGCAACTTCGGAACATCAAATGAGCTCTACATTTACGTATACGATACTGTTTACAGCTTGCTGCTTCATCCCATACTGGCACATACACTTGGCTCTAATACACTGGTGGGTCCATGAGACGGAAATGATTGATGGATGTTCTTGAACACAACTGGAAATTTTAGCCATGGCTATGGACACTGGACAGAGGAGTACATAGCTTGACGAATAGACACAACGGCTAGTGCCATACACTGTGGGATAACAGGAAAAATAAACGCCCACATTTATCAGGTGAGTTCTCGCTCTCTTCTTCCCTGCCGGCCTCGAAGGTAACATCAAAAGCTCATCTGAAGTTCCAGCGTGGCCGAACTGACGGTTAACTTCAACAGGAAAAGTGCTCTCGAGCGAGTCGTGCCCGCCTTTCATCACTACTACTATCAAATTAGATCAGACCTACCGTGACAGCACAAACTTTGTAATGTCAAAATCCCATTTGAACTTCCAGCGCGGATGGCTGACGATCGGCCCAGGGGGTGAAGTCCTCTCGAACGAACTCATCATCCATTCCAATATCAGCTCTCTCCCGTGAAGTCATATACTGCATATTCATAATATATCTCGTCGCTTGCAGACACAGGCCATGACTTCTACATCAATACAATCCCGAGCTGTAGCCACTAGGATGAGGCTGAGACCGGTAATGACCTTGAAGGGTGCCTTGCCCATCACATCCATATCTTATTTTCCAGACGGCAAGCAAATGATCAGCGGGTCTTTGGACGAGACTGTTCGGAAATGGGATCTGCAGGAGGGTAAGGAAATCGAGGCAGCGCGAATTATATATGAAGAAGACGTAAACGCGGTGGCGGTATCAAGGGATGGTGGATGGGTTATAACTGGTGGTGGAGAGTCTGGTCGCGCGGAGCTAAAAGCATTCAAGGTCGATACGGGAATCGTGACAGGATTTGAAGGTCACTCCGGGCCGATCACCTGCGTCGATAGCTCACTGGACAGCACACTACTGGTGAGCGGGTCATGGGATGTTACAGCGCTGATATGGAACTTGAAAACCGGAAAACTCGTGGCCGGCCCCTTCAGGAGTGTTGATTGGGTGGGCGCTGTGCGATTGTCGACAGACTCGAAGAGGCTCGCAGTGAAGTCGTGGACGGGGAAGTGGCTCGAGGTTTGGGATGTCAAAACAGAGACACTGGCCGTCAGAGTAGGAAAATATGATGGGCCTGCAAGCACAGCCACTCCCGTGTTCTGGACAAACAAAAACAAAAACATCCTGACTACAGTCATAAACTCAGACGTCACAAGAATCAGTGAGTTCGACGCATCAACGCTTGAGACTGTCGGAGCGTCCTTTGCAGGGCACACCGAGGCTGTCACCGATCTAGCGCTTTCTTTTGACGGCGTTTTCCTCGCTAGTTCTTCAAGGCGCGACAATACTATCAAGCTCTGGGCTTTTGAGTCCCGCCAGCTCCTCGCCTCATTTGATGTCCAACAACCAACCTGCATAATCTTCTCACCCAAATCGCGTCAAATAGCTTACACGACATCGTCCAAAGGTGATTATAAGATATATATATGCAACCCTGCATCCGACGTCCTTGCTAGGATGGGGCCCGTGCCGGAAGCCCGGCACGCCTTCTCCAAAGTATGCATCGACGTTTGTCATATATCTTCTTTATTGTGCTAATTCACATGAATTATCGCAGTCTGACACAACCCGTCGTCGCCACAACCCAGCGACATTACCTGCCATATCTTTCCCCCCTAGATTACGAGAATCTCTGCCTGCAACAGAGTCGCAGCAACCCACCTTCCTTCACCATCTCCGTAGATTCCTCCGATTTTCTTCCACCATGAATGCAGTACAGCATGGTCAGCCTCGCGATCCATTAGATGTATGTATCTTCATCTCGATTCTTCCATAGTTTTGACTTGATGATCGCCCTGCAGTTCCCTGCTACATTGCCTCTACCACGTACCCGCTCTCTATCAGCACGGGCCACAACTCATCCTGATAATGTCAGTCTTCGCTTGAATAAACTTGCAATGCATGACTGAGTACTTGTCCAGTTCGAAATGAGTTCCCAGCCACGCACTTCGAACGGGGTTACGCAGTTCCTGCGGCATATTTCCTCTCGTATTTCAAGACCCAACCATGGGCCACCAGTCTTGGAAGTTGCGGCTGGGCGGAAGGTCACTGTAACGTGATTTTTCTTACGTCTTGCGGCCTTTTTTCTGATCCGTGCCCTCCAGCGGCTTGCTGCTGCCAATTTCCCAGAATACAGGAAAGTGGACGATACCCGATATCCATCTCGGCAACCCGAGGCGCCACAGGATACCGAGTCGTCCGACATTGATTCGCTTCCAGATGTGCACTGGTGCAAGGCATTCCTCTGCTACTATTCGTGCTGGTCTCATGGCAGGCTGAGGATGCCTCCTCGATGGCGCTTGGAGCGTGTCGATATACCCCGACAGGATAGCACGACGACTACAAATCGTGCTACGGCTCAGGTTGGCGGTTAGCTCAACATGCAGTTGTCTACTTTCGTTGGATTCCCCCAATTGATGGTTTAAAACTTCCATACGTATGCCGATGCATACCGATTTTGCTTGTAGAGTGGCTATGTTACATTCACCGGATATTTCAGTGTCGCCCTCCGGATGCGTTGTCTCATGAATATTGTGAATATGGGGTGCAGTTTATGATGTAAGTAGTACTTATCTAAGTTATCCTTGGACAGTCAGACTACTTCTCGTCAAGCTAGCCACAAGTATATCTTCCGTTATACAATCTTCATTGGTAATACATTGGTGTTCAGTAATTTTGATTCCGAGATCCAGAGGATTACTACATTTCAACGAGGTGTTTGTTTGTCGCCGTGTGGTACTGAGGCCATCGGGAGGAACAAACAAGAACAAACAAATCTAAGTTGACTGGCCAGTGGCCGACAACTCGATTTGACTGCAGTGGCCTCAGAGATTAAAATAGCTGGAGAACCATTACGGTTGACCATGATTAATATATATGTTACTTTGTTTCACTGTACTTGCTTGTCTCTGACTATTCTTTCGTGCAGGACAAATCCGAGTTACCAGCCACGTTTCTCCCTCTCTAGCAGACTTGAGCTGCGTCCCCAGATTTGACTGTGCAAAATTGCATCAAGCTGGCCGATATGAACAGCCTACAAGGATTGGCAGGCCACACTGGTGGATGGCGTTGTGCTGCAAGGTGAGAACCGAGTTGATGGTATGTCCACCGAGTATTCCATCAGCGTACTGCTCTGTCTTAGTCGTAGGTCAGGTTTCGCAGCAGCGGCCCTTGCCTGAGAGCAGATCTTAGGTGACGATCGCTATATGATAACATTCGCGTTGCTCAACCTCCACACTCTTTCAAGTACCTGTCTGTTAGACATTTATCACAATGCCACAAGACGTTTAACACTTTACCGAGAAAATTTCCTCCGAGCAACTATGTTCGCTCACAAGGTGAAATGGGTAGAGCACATGATCTAGAAAGTATGCCCTGCTGGGCGGTCCACAATTTCAACCATCTATTCACCTGTGTGATCGGCAGCACATTCTCCTCTTTGCAGTGATATCATGAAGTCAGGCATTTCACTTGCCTCCTGGAGTCACCCAAGTTTCACTATGCTGATCCTCAGTTGTATGCAGTGCATTCTTGTCCCTCAGACATGCGTCATTTAGAAAAGTTGCTCTGCGCTTGGGTATCGATGAGGGTTGAGTTCGCGATTCATCATGGTCCAGATTACACTCACATCTTTAGTCTCGGCCTACATCAATAACACCGCCCGTCTGGTACATCCCCCCTCCTTCTACCACCCTCACAGCCTGCCTACACCACATAATATGATGACCATTTCGTGCGGGCTGTGCACCGTCTATTGTTGATACCTTCGCATCGGGCAAACAGGTGCGGCAAATTTTTTATTGCTGTCATCGAGTTCTCATGCATCCGCAGTGGGTCGCTGCAGCGGATGCTCCTATTAATAATTATCGCCGGATACGTGATAAAGTCTCCGATCTTCCTTTGCCTTATTTCAACGCGCACAGATCAAGACCGAGGAGGAGGATGGGCCCAGGGGCCAGTAGTGTTGATTATTGTCGTTTGTCGCATTCTTATCCATGAATGTGGGTCACTGATATGCTGCTACTCCTCCTTGATGGCATCTTGATTCTGCGGTCTATCGACGACGTCGTTCGTAATTGTGTGATCAGATCTTCTGGATCGAATGTTAAAATTACTCTTGAACAAGCTTCCAGACGTCCGGCCTTAGCGCGATTCACAAGGTTTTATAATGCCGTCGGCCGAACCCCTGCAGATGCGTCTGTTTCTTTGATTTCGCTGTGCCACCCCTCTCTGACTCTCAGCCGTAGCTATGTTCGTTCTTCCATGTTCGAGGGCTCATCCTCAAAGTGCTAGATTTCTGAAATACACAGCACCCTATACAGCTTGACCTCATGGATGGTTCTATGCACAGGAAGGTGGGAAATGGAAAGTGTCTTTCCATAGAGAAACTTTGGCTATGGCTGTGTGCCGATAAACAAGGAGAAGTAATAATGATTAGCAATGCGCAGCTGTCCCCACATCCAAGAATTAATGGCTCTTCCTCCCCGAGCCAGCCCTTGGTAACATGAAAATTTCTCAGCTTGCAGTGCCGATGAACTGACGATGAGCTTCAGCAGGAAAAGTGACCGCTCATCTTCAAAATCGCCATCGACTTTAGGCTTATCGTGCATTAGGAAGCTCGGCGCTATTCCTTCGAACGCATTCACATAAATCGAAACCCATCCTTAGCTAGTTGCCATTGTCACAGCCGATGACGCATGCCGTGGTTTCAACATCGATACAGCCCGCCGCTGCAGCAAACAATATTGTTCTGAATCCGATAATGACCCTGGAAGGGCATGACAAATATATTCGGTCGATATCCTACTTTCCTGACGGCCGGCGAATGATTAGCGGTTCTTGGGACAAGACTGCTTGGCAATGGGATCTACAGGCAGGTAAGGAGATTGAGGAAGCACGCAACGTTTGTGAACGGGGAATATGGGTGGTGGTGGTATCCAAGGATGGACGTTGGGCTATCACAGGGGGCGGAGGTCTCGGTCATGGGGAGCTCAAAGTCATTGAGGTTGAGACGGGAATCGTAAAAAAATTCGAAGGTCACTCACGAGGGATCAGCTCCATAGATATCTCCGCGGACAGCAAGTTCCTGGCGAGCGGATCGTGGGATGGCACAACGCGGATATGGAGCTTGGGCACTGGCGAACTCGTGGCTGGTCCGTTCGAGAGCATTGATTGGGTGGGCGCGGTTCGTTTTTCATCAGACTCAAAGAAGCTCGCAGTGAAGTCAGAGGCCGGGAAGTGCCTTGAGGTGTGGGATGTCCACACAGAGACTTTGGACGTTAGAGTTGGGGAATTCGGTGAAATGTCCTTCACCTCTGCGCCGGTGTTTTGGACACACACAAACAAAACCATCGTAGCTGCATTCACCTTCACATCCGATGACGCGACGACGATCTATGAATTTGATGCGTTGACACTGAAGATTGTCGGAACCCCCTTCGAAGCGCATACCAAAATTGTTCGTGGTCTAGCATTTTCATTTGATAGTACTCTCCTCGCCAGTGCTGCGGACGATAACACCATTAAAGTCTGGGCCTTCGAGTCTCGCCAGCTCCTCGCATCCTTCAACGCTCGGACTCCCGTGACCCTCACTCTTTCGCCCGACTCCAGCCAACTAGCTTACACGACAGGTCGCAAGATCCATATCTGTAACATTCCACTCGTTATCCTGGCCAGCGTCGGACGTGCGCTTGAAGCACGAGACGATGTACGCATTAGCCTCATATATTGTCATCTGTGCGCTAACGTTTCCTTGCAGGCCAGTTCAAATAAAACTCTAAGGCTCAATCGCCTGCTGAATGTTCGCATTTCATGTTTTTTTTTTTCGTTTACACAGCTCATACATCACCATTATTTCAGTCTCACGCAACCCGTCGTCCTGCAGTCCGCTGTCACCAAGCGACATTGCCGGTCATATCGTTCTCCCACAGGCCGCACAGACCTCCGCCTGAAATACACCCGGAACAGCCCGTTTTGCTACGTTACCTGCGCAAAATCCTCCGCTTCTCCTCTGGTGCAATCACTGTTCCTCCTGTTGGGCAAGATCAGACTCGTGATCCACTAGATGTACGTCTCTTTACCTTGAATCATTCACTGTTAGCTCAACGATCTAACCATGTTCTCTTGGGGCAGGCTATAACTCACTTTGATGATGTCAGTCCTCACTTTTGATGAACACGCAATCCATTATTAACTACGCGTCCAGACCGAAGCAATTTCTCCGCCCAACCACTCTGTGTATGGTGGCTCACAGTACTCCACACGGCACTCCTGTGCTGACCACCCCCTCAAACGTGACCCATTTCGCAGGCAGTCGCAGCAAGCACATCCAAAGGAGGAAAGTTTGCGCCGCTCGAACGGAGCCATGCAGTTCCTGCAGCAGCACCTTTCCTTCCGTAAGTCAACACCCGTTCACGGGCCACTGGCTGCTGAAGTCGCAGCTGGACGCAAGTTTACTGTAATGTTGATCTTCTTACCTCTCCTTCCTTGTTTGCTGATTGGTGCCCTACAGCGACTTGCTGTTGTGAAGGTCCCGGAATACACCAAAGTCGACGACACCCGACGTCCATTGAGAGAGCAGTTTGAGGACATGGCACAAGGCCATCCATCGTCCGAGTCCTCGGACACTGATTCGCTCCCAGATGTGCATTGGTGCAGTGCGTTCTTCTGCTACTACTCGTGCTGGTCTCGTGGCAGACTGAGGACGCCTCCGCGATGGCGCTTGGAGAAGGTAGACCCACCTCACTAGGATGGCACGACGAGAGCCGGTCGTGGGGGCTCACTGTCACAGCTAGTCTAGTCATGTTCGTCGAACGTCTTTTGAATTTTAGAGATGGAAATTGTCTTTGTAGATCTTAGAGTGCTACAGCATTTAAAGGTCGAAACATGACCATCGTGAATTGAAAGGTGATGCTCGTGATAATTTGATCTTCAAGTCGCTTCCAACGATTCGAGTGAGCTACAAGGAGCGAAAGAACTCCAACTCTAATATAAGTGCAAACCTTGCCTCGGTTGAACCGTTTTTCACGATGCGATTCGCGATTATTGTTTCTGTTGAGCGAGCTCTGGCATCTCCAGATCAATGTCAGCCCCTCCTACCACACCGGAGAACTGTAGTCAAGCCCTTGCCAATGAGGAAGGCGTTGAAAGCAAAGATTTGTAGAGGCATGATTGGTTTATTCTCAGGCGTGTTGAGTTTACTGGAACGGTGATAGGAGAGCAAAAGTGAAGGGGAATTTGGCATTGAAAAAAGCGAATATCAGTGATGATAGTTTTGACTGCAGCTTCAGAACCGCGTCGATTATAGGGTTGAATATATTCATCACAGATGTTGCTTTATCGCTGCCGTTGGCAAAACCGATGACTCCACCATCGTCATTTGGAAGGAATGGAGCTGGCGTATGGAACTGGTCCTGTGTGATATATGTCTAATACTCCGGCATCAGTCATCATGCATTATAACGTTATATATCAAACATTTCAGCATACTTACTTGCTCAACGTAAGGAACTGGCTGGTGAGAAATGGAAGTTGACGCTCCAACACGGGAACTTCGGCAATTGCTGTGAGCCGCAAGTGAACCGCAAGGAAAAGGAAAGTTGAATTACGAATAGACGAGATCCACAGCTAGCACTGCCATGCAGAAACGTGTTAGGATATATGCAAGGAGGACTGTTGTGTTCGCATTCAAGAATTCCTCGTACTTTATCTTTGCAACCCTGTAAGCTCATCTGAACTGCCAGCGCGGGTGAATTGACCATCGGTTCAGCAGGGAAAGGGCTGTCATCATCAAAATCAACATATTTCGCGGAGACATAACTATGGTTCATACGTGGGCGGAGCTGTTCCGTAAAGAAATGATCCTGGCACCGGTAGAGACATCGGACGAACACTACCAGCCTGAAAATTTTACATCCATAGCCTACTTTCCCGACGGCAAGCGAATATTCAGTGGATCTTCGGACAAGATCGCTCGGCGATGGGACTTGCGGTCGGGCAAGGAGATTGAGGAAGCGCGGGATATTTGCAAGGAGGGAATATGGGTAGTGGCGGTGTCAAGGGATGGTCGATGGGTTGTCACTGGTGGCGGAGCTTACAAACGTCCGGAACTGAAAGCCTGTGAGGTTGAGACGGGAATCGTGAAAAGATTTGAAGGCCAAGGCTCACGGATCACCTGCACCGATATCTCTGTCGACAGCACACTGCTTGCGGGTGGGTCAGACTCGACAGCACGGATATGGAACTTAGAAACTGGCAAACTCATGGCTGGTCCATTCAAGACCGTTGATCGCGTGGGCGCAGTTCAATTCTCCCCAGACTCAAAGAAACTCGCAGTCAAGTCAAGCGTGGGGAAATGTCTTGATGTCTGGGATGTCCAGTCACAGAAATTGGATGTGAGGATAGGGCAATCTAGTGAAGAAGGATCCACAGATGCTCCAGTGTTCTGGACGAACAAAAACAAAAACATCTTAACGGCGTTCAGCTTCGACGCGGATGGCCAAGCCAGCACGATCTATGAATTCGACGCGTCGACGCTGAAGACTGTCGGAACTGCCTTAGAGCACACTTATCCTGTCAATAGTCTAGCACTTCTATTTGACGACGCCCTCGTCATCAGTGCTTACAACGACGCAACCATAAAGCTTTGGGCCTTTGAGTCCCGTCAGCTCCTTGCCTCCTACGGCGTCGGCGGCACCGTTGTTCACACCCTTATGCCTTCACCCGACTCACTTCAATTAGCCTACACGACCTACGGTGATCCTGATACCTATATATTCAACGTTACCCCCGCTCTGCTTTCCATACAGTCCACCCTCCGCAAAGTACGCATTCACCCGCATGAAACCATCTTCTCTAGACTAACCTTCTCTCGAAGACCGATACCAATTTACTTAATGTATGTATCACACTATCATTGTCACCATTGTACCGATTCACACCAATCATTGCAGTCTGACGCAACCTGTCGTCCCACCGTCGTGCGCAGAACCCCAGCAAAACGGCCTGTCATATCTTCTCCCCCCAGGCCTCGAATCCATTCGCCTACAATAGACCATCAACAACCTATTTTCCTTCGTCGTGTCCGCAAACTCTTTCAATTTTCTTCTCGTACGAATTCAGTTCCTCCTGTGCAGCCTCGCGATCCATGGGATGTTCGTCTTTTTATCTCGTCTCTCTTAGAGCTGACCGGACCGTTTCCCACAGTTCCCTGCTACATTGCCCTTGCCTCCCAACCATTCGGCCTCGCCACAGGTCGCAACTCAGTTTGATCATGTCGGTCTTCAGTTTTAACAAACTCACAATGCATGACTGAGTCCATATCCAGTTCGAAATAAGCTCTCCGCCCCGCCGCTCGAATAGAATCACGCAGTTCTTGCGCCAGGGCCTTCCCTTTCGTAGATCTGGATCCCAATCCGAACCACCTGTCGTTGAAGTTGCACCCGGGCGGAAATTCACTGTAACATAAATGTTCTTATTTCTCGTTGCCTTGTTGTTGATGTGCGTCCCACAGCGTCTTGCTGCTGCTAAATTCCCAGAATACAGGAAAGTCGATGATACCCGGCACCCCTCTAGACAGCAGACTACCGCACAGGCGCAGGGTGACCCCACGTCTGATTCATCTGACATCGATTCTCTCCCAGATGTTCATTGGGTCAAGGCTCTCCTCTGCTATTACTCGTGCTGGTCTCATGGCAGACTGAGGAAGCCTCCTCGATGGCGCTTGGAACGCGTGGATATACCCCGCCAGGATGGCACAACGAGTAGCAGCTGATGCGTTGCATAGTCACAGTTAGCTCAAGGTACCCTCATCTGAGTTCATTAGATTCCCCGCAACTGATATTGTCGAGCTTCTATAGTGAATACCAATGCGGACAGTGTCGACGGGAAAGTAGGAAAGAGAGTGTACTCGAGTACGGTTGAGATGATGGCATTCGGAGGAAATGTGCTCTCCGTGCAATGTTCAAAACTACTTCTTGACGTCGAAAGCAAAGCTGCAACGAAAAGCCTGCAACAAAGAAGGTTGATTGCTTCGAATACTACACCATATCAACGCCATCCAGGGTCATAAACAGGGTATTTCATCCACATCCTATTTTCCGGACAGCAAACGGATATTAGTGGATCTTGGGGCAGGACCACTTGAAGATGCGATCTGCAGGCGTCGGGTAAGGACATTGAGAATGTGTGGAATGTCTGTGATCGGGGAGCTGAAAAGCCTGTGAGGTTGAGACGGGGATAGTGAAAATTTTCAATGACACTCGCAGAGTATCACCGGTATCTATATCTCTGCGGACAGCACGCTCATTGTGAGCGGGTCAGATGATGCTCCAGTTCAAATATGGGACTTGGGTACTGGTAAACTCGTAACAGGTCCATTTTAAAGTGGTATCAAGTTCAATGTAGGTCATGCTCGTCGAATATCAACTGCACGACGTTAATACGTTCGCGAGTCCTACAATTGCACTGTACCCGCAAGGTCTGGGATGGGTCGCCCGTACACTATCAATATTTGAGGCTTCAGATCAGAGCACAAGGGCAAGTAGCTTGCGTGTTCTTATTACCGTCAGTACACATTCATATGAACATTAAGACAAGAGAAGTCCGAGTCACTCAGTCGTAGGTTTCATCATTGACTCATGTTTCACTTACTTAAAGACATCAATGCATACGGTCATGGTTGCTATATGAAGTGCATGTCGTGCTCAGCGACGTCGTTTTCCTTTTCCTCCCAACACACCCTTGACTACTTTTTCGAAAATTCCTTCTAAATCCTCTGCCGTCTCCCAGCCTTCTCCACCCGCAGTCCGTGCTCGCCTCCCGCTAGCACTGTAACAATAGAATTTCCCACCAAGCACAAGCATAGCCACGAATTCATCATGGGGATCCTTCGAAGTCAAAGCCTCAATATAATAATACAACTGGGAGCCTGCAGACTTATGTGACTCCCCTTCCTTTTTCACTTCGATGCACACGAGTGGAATATCTCGGGCATCATCCACAAGGACGATAACGAAGTCCAGTTCGAAGTAGGAGGTAGGGAGCACTGGAGTGCCCATGGAGTCTGTGGATAAACCTTCTTCTTCAACCAGCAGTTCACCATCTGCATCACCAGGAGGGGCACTGGGCCTGATTTTCGGCTGCGGCTTGACCATAAAGCAATCTGCTGCGAAAACTTGATTGGCAAGTTTATCGATTGGCCCATACCATGACGCCTCATAATGAGGGGGATTGAGATGCAACTGGTGCAAACGCTGCTTCCAAGCAGGAATTTTGGGCATAGTGGCTGACAGTATTTTGTGTTCATGGCTGTAACTCAGAACGAAGGATACTCCGACTCACCAGGAAGGGGGGGAAGGGGAGTTACGATGTGTTGGATGGCGTTCCATAAGTACGAATAACATGTCTTTTTAAATACTCAACTAGGAACTACCATTCAGAGTGCGCAACAAGCGAACTGCAATAAGCAGTTGTGATCACGCCATCAGGAGCTATGATCAAGAGAAGTGCATCTGTGATATGAATAACTGGAGAAAAAAACATACCACGATGGTCATTGGCCGCCACTTGGCAAAATGGTAGAGTTTCGAACGGCTCGGCTCGAGGAACAATGCCAAGCGACTGCAAAACTACCACAATTATCCACACACTGATGCGATAAACGGATCAGAGCCCGAGGGCCGATGGTGCTCGAAAGACAATGCTATACCTATTGACAACTCGGCTAGAAAAAAACGGAAGCCGCCCACCTTCTGATGTGGCCAAACAGGTAGTGCGACATTCGGATCAGGGTTCCCAAGGGACGGAGGAAGACTGTTTGAAGAACAATGCCTTCTCGCTAAAAATTCGAAGATCGTCATGAAGATCGTGGATCAGAATACACACCTTCAATGACGGTGGCAAGCACGTGACCTTTATGGTTTGGTTTAATAGGTCACCGCGTTTACAGGTGCCACCTACTAACTTCTAAACTCAAAGTCCCCCAACTCGCTCTTGTATTTCCTTTCCAGCAAGCAGTACGCTCATACGATTCTTTGTTGTCGCATGCCAAGGCTTACATCGTTTCCCCCTTCCATCAGCTAGGATGGTGTTCAAAATAGCTGGCTGGGTGTTTAGCTTCGAACAAGTGCGCGCATGGTTAGAGAAGCAAGGACAACAACACCAGCACTTGCCGGACGAGTTCCTTGCTACTGATCTTAATTACTGGTTCAAAGAGAGAGACATTGATTATCTGTGGGCCGTCGGCACTGACTATCCTCGAGGGAGCTTGCAACCAGTCATCGTATTGGTTCGAAGGCGCAGAGAAGATCCCAAGTCGACCGTGTTCCGCTTTTATCATGTCAGGGAGGTGGATGCGGACCGTGAAGTGAAGAAGCAGGTGTTGGAAGAGAGTGGGCTGAAAGATGAGGATTTGCCTTGGGTCACTGTTGCGGACCCGTTTTTCCGATGCTGATGTTGTCATCGCAACGTAAACTAAATCGAAGTGGGCTCAGGTAAACTGCCAGCATCGCTGCTGCTGCATCGCTAACTCATCATTGCCGCACCAGCACCAAATGATATCTGCCCCTTGCAGCTTCTTGTCCCACGCACGGATCGATCTTCTTTCTCGAGAACTTCATTGAATCATGTCCTTATTCCCTGTTATTGTTTCTTAGTACATTTTGGACTGATATAACGCTAACAAGCACGATGGAGCATACGTGATTTGTTCTGCGAAACGCAAGGGTGCTACATAATGGGCTTGTTTCGTTTAATCATGGTCCTTTATATAAGGATACCGACGGCGCTTTATCGTAGTGTCAGGGGCTTCGGCTACAAACCATCTTGGGATAAAATTGAAGTTTGGCTTGCGCTTCTCGATGGCAGTTAAGTTGTTTGTAATTGTGTGGTAAAAGCTTCTAGATCAAACAAAAACAAACAAATTCCTGTTCTAACTTGAAGGCAGACAAGACTCGAGAGCTCGTCCCCAGACCAACTGTGCGACATTATATCTGCGCGTTCCTCGCAACTTCGAAATATTACAAACCCATATGGAAAGTTCACACCGGAGCAGTTGAGGTAGGCTCAGTCACGCTCGCGGATGGCGTTAAGCTGCAAGTCGACGAGGTAGAGAGGGAGTTCACGCTTGCAATTAGTGCTCGGTTTGGGATTGATGAATTCCAGTCGTTTGTTCTCCTTCGATCGTTCCTATACAATGAAGGTCTCTTGAGCAATGGAGGCTCGACTGACAAAGGTGTTGTGAACGAGTTCATCCCAGCAATCATTCCGTTCTACTTCTCCTAACACCTCTTCGTATTACGCGTCCACATCCCACTGTTTCGTGCCCACGAGAACACTGGCGACTCAATACATGCCGTTGCCACGAAGTGTATTCCCAACATCCTACAAGACAGCCATCAATTCGCACTCGACCTCATAACAGAATATCTTCGCAAAACGGAGGTGGACATCCTGGAGGTTCTGCGTGCTGATGCATGCATTGCCTCTTGTTGGGCTAAGCAGGACATGAAGGAGCAACTGGCGATGCTAGAGGTCCTCTTTTGGACAGTCTGGGGATATGTTCCTTGCGATGAACCTTTGGCTTCGTCATGTTCACAAACTCTTTCACTTTTCTTCTCGTACGAATTCAGTTCCTGCTATACAGCCTCGCGATCCATGGGATGTTCGTCTCCTTTATCTCGTTTCTTTTAGAGTTGACTAGACCGTTTTCCACAGTTCCCTGCTACTCGACCTCGCCGCAGGTCGCAACTCAGTTTGATCATGTCGGTCTTCAGTTTCAGTAAACTCACGATGCATGACTGAGTCCATATCTAGTTCGAATAAGCTCTCCGCCCCGCCGCTCGAATAGAATCACGCAGTTCTTGCGCCAGGGCCTTCCCTTTCGTAGATCTGGACCCCAATCCGAACCACCTGTTGTTGAAGTTGCACCCGGGCAGAAATTCACTGTAACACAAATGTTCTTATTTCTCGTTGCCTTGTTGTTGATTGTATCCTACAGCGTCTTGCTGCTGCTAAATTACCAGAATACAAGAAAGTCGATGATACCCGGCACCCCTCTAGACAGCAGACTACCGCACCGGCGCAGGGTGACCCCACTGTAACATGGTCAGACTGCCGCCCGCATAACCGTTACACCAAAAGGTGAAATACTGAAAGCTTAGCTTTCAGCATCAGCGACAGTATATGTACTGATTATGGGAACTCAGGTAAGCCAGCGTGCTTACACCCACGTCTGATTCATCTGACATTGATTCTCTCCCAGATGTTCATTGAGTCAAGGTTCTCCTCTGCTATTACTCGTGCTGGCCTCATGGCAGACTGAAGAAGCCTCCTCGATGGCGCTTGGAGCATGTTGACTCACCTCGCTAGTATCGCACGCCTAGTACGGGTTATCATTACAGTTTGAATTTCCTACAATTGATGGTTTCACATCGTTACACGGATTCTTATGATGCACGACATTTTGTAAGTATCATTTTTCTGTGTAACGTCTGAAGTTATAGAGCAATGATGATCCACGGCAATTTTCTCGCAATGGTTTGCCCCTAGCTAAGAGCTACTAGTGACTATGGAATTCATTGTTTGCAAATTTTCTATCAATTCTGCCAATTTCCTTTTTTTTTCGCGCTTGACCTGCTTCTGGGAAGATTTACAGGCGGCGTGGTTCTTGTGATAGCTTCCTGGGCCTTGACGTGATTCTTGGAAGACCGTCAGGCTCAAAGTTTATTGATGGATCAAAGAGCGACATGCAATGACTTTCTGTTTCGCAGAAACTTTGTCGTGTTAGACAAAAAAGGGCAAAGATAGGAGTGAAGCGGCAAATACACTTCGATCATACCAGAAAGTGTATAAGCTGCCTGCGGGATTATGCTAGGCCAGGGATCGTCGATGATGATCATTGCGATTAGATTAGCAAAGTCAGGTATAGAATCATTCTTACACCAGGAGGTGATAGAGCTTTTGTAGTTGCATACAAATTGAGGATAAGCACCAGATAGAGGATGGTCAAAATATGGTCGATGAAACGTTGGCAAGACGAGGTGTGTTCTGGATCAGCAAAATGTGTAAGTTGCGGGGAACATGCAGCACCGATCGGATCTACGAAACTTCCCGGGGCCCGTGGGAAACGGAAAGGAAATGCGCTGTAAGTCAACCCTAAGTCCAATTTCCACGTATGAACGTATGAACCTAACGCTGCTAACGCGGGAACCTTGGCAATTAACATGCCGCACGTGAGCCGAAGGACAAGATGAAGCCACGGAGCAGGGGCGCATTAAGGGGTATCATGTTCCGCAGCAGGGACGACCTGCCAAGCGCAATGTGCATTAATGCCTCACATTTAAGAATTTCTCCTCTTCCTAACCTCTTGGTAACATCAAACCCTCATCTGAACCTCCAGCATTTGATGATCAGCTCCGAGTCTAGGAGGCAAAGTGCTCTCGACTGAGTTGGGAATCTCAAAAACTACCACTATCAACAGCAGGCCTGCAGCATACGAGGAGGTCTCACCGCCACTCCTTCAGACGCATCTAAATAATCCGTTCCAAAGAAGCTGGCTACTTGCCAATTTCGCTCGCAAAAACACAGGTCATGACATCCACATCGACGCAGCCTCCAGCTTTGGCCAGTATGAGTCTGACGCCGCTAGTGACATTGAAGGGTCATGAACTGGCCGTTTCATCCATGTCCTACTTCCCAGACGGCAAGCAGATCGTCAGCGGATCTCGGGACAAGACCGCTCGAAGGTGGGATTTGCAGGAAGGTAAAGAGATTGTGGAGGCGCGGAACGTTTGTGAAGAGGGTGTGTATGCGGTGGCAGTATCGAGGGATGGTCGATATGTTACCACTGGTGGTGGAGAGATTGACACCGGGGAGCTTGAAGCCCGTGAAGTTGAGACGGGGATCGTGAAAAAATTTCGGGGCCACTCGGAGAGGGTTGCCTGTATTGATATCTCCAGAGATAGCACGCTGGTGGCGAGCGGATCATGGGATGCTACAGCGCGAATATGGTAGTTTGGACACTTGTAAACTTGTGGCTGGTCCATTCGCGATCGTTGATTGGCCGGGCGCAGTTTTATTTTCACCAGACTCGGAGAAGCTCGCAGTGAAGTCAGATGTGGGGACTTGCCTTGAAATCTGGGATATTCACACAGAGACTTTGGACATCAAAGCAGGGAAATCTGGCAGCAATTCGAGCATGACATTTGCGCCAGTGTCCTGGACCAACAAAAATAAAACCATCATAGCAGCATGCAACTTCACAGACGATGACGAAGCTACAACGATCAATGAGTTTGACGCGTTGACGCTAGAGATTGTCGGAGCTCCCTTCGAAGGCCATATCAAATGTGTCACCGATCTAGCACTTTCATCAGGCGGTGCTCTCCTCGCCAGCGCCTCCAAAGATCATAGCATCAAACTGTGGGCCTTCGAGTCCCGCCAGCTCCTCGCCTCTTTTCACGTTCAGAATGTCGAGTTCCTCATGCCCTCACCTGACTCACGCCACCTGGTTTACACAACTGCTGGTCGCGACATCTATATATGTAGCACTCCACCCGCTGTGCTTACTGCGCTGGAAGCACAGTCCACCCTCCAAAAAGTGTGTCTTTGTGCAAGTTTATGTTCTGTACACTGACCTTCTCTTGAAGTCTAATAAAACTTTTGAACGTTTACTTCACGTATGTGTCACGTACATTTTGAGCGATCTATTAATTCTTATGAAACGTTGCAGTCCGATGCAACCCGTCGCGCTGCTGCAGTGCGTCGTAATCCGGGGACGTCGCCTGCCATATCCTTTACCCCCAGGCAGCAAAGACCCCTACCTACTACAGACCAGCAGCAACCAATTTACCTTCGCCTTCGCAAACTTTTTCATCTCTCTTCTCGCACAAATGCAGTTCCCCCTGTTCGGAACAATCAACCTCGTGGTCCCCTAGATGTAGGTCGTTTATGTCAGTTCTTTCATAGCTAACTCAACAATGGTACCACAGTTCCCTGCTACGTTACCCCTACCACCCAATCCATCTCTTTCTCGGCAGGCCGCAACTCAGTTTGACGACGTTAGTCTTCAATTTTAGTCAACCCACAATGTACAATTGACTCGGTGTATTTCCAGTTCGAAATAAGTTCTCCACCTTACTCCTCGAACGGAGTCACACAATTCATACATCAGCGCCTTCCTTTTCTCGTACCCAGACATAGCCGTGGGCCACCGGTCGTTGAAGTCGCAGCCGGGCGGAAAGTCACTGTAATGTAGACCTTCTCACACCTCATTCCCTTTTTGCTCATTAGTGCCTTACAGCGTCTTGCTGCTGCCAAATTTCCCGAATACAGGAAAGTTGATGATACACGACATCCTTCTAGCCAGCAGCCTGGTGTGCCGCAGGAAGTTGAATCGTCTGACATTGATTCGCTCCCAGACGTGCACTGGTTGAAGGCGTTTCTTTGCTATTATTCATGCTTGTCTCAGGGCAGACTGAGGATGCCACCACGATGGCGCCTGGAGCGTGTTGACATACCCCGCCAGGATGGCGCGACAAGTAGTAGCCGTGGTGGCAGTTAGCTTAATGTGCGCCCATACAATACCCTTGGATGCTTTCAATCTTCTATTCCGGTACGGCCACTGCCGACCACTCTTCGTCGCCGTATCGCACACGAACTGGCCCCATGTCCTCTCCGACACTCGTGATAGTCTCTGAGAGGTCCGATACATTCAATACAATTGTCAACTGGTATTTAGTGTGTAATGCACCAAGGTGTTTATAGTATCTTCTTTGAAAGCCTGAAGTATACAGTACGTAATGTATACTTTGGTAGTTTGAATAGTATAGAAATCACGGGGGTGTGGCAAAGGTGGCAAAATGCAAATTTACTCACTTCTCGATGGCAGTTAAGTTGTTTGTAATTGTGTGGTAAAAGCTTCTAGATCAAACAAAAACAAATAAGTCCTTGTTTCAACTTGAAGGCAGACAAGTCCTGGCCTTCAAGTTACCCTGACTTACAAGGTTTCACAATGCCCGGAGAACCATCGCGGTCGACTCTAATAGATGTGTAGGTTTCTGTCCTTTGGTTCGCCATGTCACTTTTTTTCTCTGACTGTTGTTCTGTGCAGAACGAACCAGCAACTACATTCCTTCCTCTCTGGCAGACTCGAGGGCTCGTCCCCGGACCAACTGTGCGACACCATATCTACGCGTTCTTCGCAACTTCGTAATTTTGCCAATCCGTACGGAAAGCCGACGCCGGCGTCACGAAAAGCAGTCGAGGCCGGCTCAGTCACGCTCGCGGATGGTGTTTTGTTGCAAGTAGATGAAGTCGAGAGGGAGTTCACGCTTGCAATTAGTGCTCGGTTTGGGATTGATGAAATTCAGTCGTTTATTCTCCTTCGATCGTTCCTATACAATGAAGGTCTCTCAAGCAATGGAGGTTCGACCGATAAAGGTGTTGTGGACGAGCTCATCACAGCGATCACGCCATTCTACTACTCCGAACGCCTCTTCGTATTGCGCGCTCTCATTCCACTGTTTCGTGCCCACGAGAACACTGGCGACTCAATACATGCCGTTGCCACGAAATGTCTTCCCAAAATCCTACAAGACGGTCATCAATTCGCACTCGACCTCATAACAGAATACCTTCACAAAACTGAAATGGACATCCCGGATGTTCTGCATGCCGACGCGCGCATTGCCTCTCGTTGGGCTAAACAGAACATGAAGGAGCAACTTGTGATGCTGGAGGTCCTCTTTTGGACAGTCTGGGGGTATGTTCCTTGTGATGGACCTTTGGTTGTTCGAATATTTGAAGCTGCTTACAACACGAACCTTGGATCCTCGCAGAAAAACTCGACGCTCTTGCTAGATGATGAAGGAAATCAGCTGCAGCACGACTGTGCAGCATTGTGGATACTCGTCACTGTAGAGGTGCTTGAGTTGGAGAGAGTGGCGGAGGATGGAGGAATAGAGATATCGGCAACTCCTTCCGACAAAACGTTCTATCCCTCTTCACCAGAGTCGCTCAGACGGATTCATGAGATCGTGACATCCAACTTGTCTAGCCAGCACGCATGCACACACCTAGCATGGGCCTTCGTTCTGTCTCGGTTGACCTTCAAAGCTGGTCCGTTGAAAGAAATTCCAGAATCGTATCGCGGGTTCTTGGACTCCCTGCATCCACATCACAATCGCTCTAAGGAAAGGGAGCCGTCGCATGTACTTATGGCACGGGCAGCTTTCAGTCCAGAAGCAGCCCTTTTCAAGCTCTTGTTGACTCTCCTTACAACCTCTCCGTTATTTGTTACCTCTGTTGCTTGGAAGACAGGGTCGACTGTAACAGACCCAAATGCTATTGCTTTCCGCTCTGTGCTCAAAGGTGACAACATTCTTTCGCGTGTGACAGCACACTGAAGATCGTTCTTCCTTAGGCTTTGTCATTGCAATGGTTGAACTGGTTCCTGTTGAACTCATCCCCGACTTTGACTCTTTGGTTGAAGTATGGATTGCGCTGTTTGGGCGCAGCGAGCCTCAATCTATAGCAGGGATATGCCGACAATTCTGGCAGTCGGATTGGCGGCAGGGCCTTGCACGTCGCGCCATATTTGATGTTGCACGAACACGCTTCCCAATTCACTTCCGGCCGCTTGTCCGCCTGCTTCGAGCAATGACTGCGTCTGGATTCATTGATACTGATCCACTATCCACTGCGGCATCGTCCAACCAACCTCCTGCTGACGAAAGTGACGATGGTGACCGTGAGATTTGTAGTCGGCATGTATTTTACTACATGGATAAGTTGCCTACCTTCTCGCTGGTCATCCCGCTGGCATCTTGCACTGGCCCTAATGCTGTCTATGAGAAAGCACAAGCCGCCGGTCCATCCCTTGCGTACACAAACCTACGTGCTATTCGCCTTCCTGGGAGCTCGGTGATGCCTGCGCGCTCGAAGGGTCGGCTGTTGAGTGGGGACGGTGGGGATCACATTGCAGTGTGTTGGCAACATGAGCATAGCGGATGGAAGGTAGTTTTGGACGTGCTCACTGAGTACGTGACTCGGCGGAGGATGTATACGGGCACCGCGGACCTATACCAGGACGTTGCGTTCGGCCGTACAGGCCCTGGATCTGTTCCTTTGACGTTAAGGCTTGAAGACGTCGGGATGGAGATTGATGAGGGGGGCGATGAAGCACTCGCGACCGATGCTCTTGACCTCATTCGCAGCGTCATCCAAGACAACGAGGCGCTGGCGGAAGAGCTATTGGAGTCTCTCGAGAGCAGCGGTGATCCTAACAACTCCTCGGACAATCAGCCGCCTGATCTCGTCCATCTCACGACGATGATCCTGGAAGAAGCACTCAGTCGCTCACAAGCTCGAAGTTTTTCACGAACTCAGCTGATTACATCTGCGATGAGCGTTCTATCAGCACTGTTGTCCCTGCCAAAATACTCTCTGCGCGTATGGCTCTATATCCGTTCAACCAGCGCGCTGTTTGGCCCTAGTCGGACGTCAGGTTTCGCGGCAGTTGCTCTTGCAGCAGAGCGGATCTCTGGTCACTATACAATGACTCTCGCATTGCTCAATCTTGTCCAACAACTTCTCCATGAAGCATTTGCATCCGTTCTCACAATTCCACCTGACAATCAACGCCTTAAACAGGTGAAAGAGGAAGTTCTCCTCCGAGCAGCCGTGTTCGTCCATGGGGAGATATGGGTAGAGCACCTGAGTTGGAAGTATGCCCAGCTCGGCGACAGGTTTGAGATTGGACGACGAGTGTCTTCGTTTTATGGCTATGTTCTCAAGCAATCTCCTCCTGCTTTGAGCGATCGTCCCTTTCCTGCCCTGAGCCAAGCTGTCGCCGACGCCCTCCTTCATAAGGCTACAACGTCAACTATCAACCCACTTGTATCATCGATAGCAGTTGCCCCCCATATCCTCGGCACCCTCTACGCTTCGCGACGCTATGGCGACGCCAGACGTCTGATCTACCTCCTGGAGTCACACCTCAGTCTCACTAGGCTAACCCTCAGTTATAAGCAGTCCATTCCCAATTCCTCGAAACCGTGTCTTCTCGAGCAAGCTCTGTGCGCACGGGTAGCGGGAGGCGCTGGGTTCACGGATTCTACGAGATCCAGAATAGACCCCGTCGATGTCCTGGCCAATTATGTCAAAGGGCGGGATATTGGGACAGCTGTTCCGCTGGAGTCGATCAGAGTTCTCTATGCTCTGTGTGCATCCTTGTCTGTGACTCAGCCCTCGCCTGCGACAATCATTGGTCATCTCTCAAATCCAGAAGCCACTGTCGCATCATTCGTGCGAATCGTACAACACCCGTACGAAGATCTCGCCCTGCGCAACGCTGTTTGGAACTTCATAGCCCTTGCCGTTGATAAGGAACCAGCGTTAGCCAACCTCTTCGTTACAGGACAATTCCGGGTTCCGAATAACAAAAGCAAGAACAAGGAGAACGCTAAATCGCAAGGAGATGGTGATTCGAAGAAGCACATGAGCGCACTCGAGGTTGCCAACGAGACCCTTGGTCGCTGGAAAGACTTGTGGGAAGCCAATCCTCAACTCTTAGCATCAGTGTTTCGCTTCATTGATGTCGTGTGGCAACACGGGCTTGAACACAAAAATCTCATTGATGCTACTCGTGGTAATGACGAGTTTTGGACCAACGTGGTTGCTGTTGTTAAAGAGGAGCTCGGTCCCGACCCTGACTACGAGGCAGAGACATTCATCATATTGGACGACGAGCGTCGATCAAGCCTCCATGAAGCGGTGTCTATTCAGTCGTATCGCAACATGGTGAAGTCATACGCTGTGCGTGTCATTGGACAGGACATTTTCCTTCAGCCGCAGCCTGGACCCTCTGAACCCGCGAAGAAGCCCTTGAGTTACAGCAAGCTAGCTCCGTCATTCAAGTCCGAAGATCAACTCAATGAATTGATACTGGAGGCAGAGAGCACTTCATATGACCCCGGTCTTTCTGACAAAGTCGCCGCGCAGCTTCAGCAGGACTTCCCAGGTCTCTCCCTTACTCACCTACAATCACAGGATCTCAGTGACGAGCGGGAGTTTGGCGATGACTTTACGTTCTCCATAGCACTTCTGCGCAGTCGTCTGCAACAGTGTGCATCGGGTGATGATAGGGCAAATGCAGTGGAGGAAGTGGAAAGGAGGATCGCGTCTTTGAATCTCAATCTCTCCCTCACTTATGCTCAGACAGCTTTGACGGAGTCGTGGCAGTTTCTTTTGCACCAAGTATTGCCATTTGTACGACCAGTGCCAGAGATCCGGTCGAACCTCATATCACTCTCCGCCACGATATCCAGAGACCTGGCCTTGGAGAAAAGGTCGGGAGACATGATGGCGAAACTCCATGGCACGCGACTAAACCTGTTGTTATCAATCCTTGAAGTGGTCTGGTTTTCTGATTCGGATACTGACAAGCACATCACGTCCTTCATGAACCTCGTGGATAACATGCACAAAGTCCTGTTAAATGAGGCGCAACCTCCCTCTCAGTCATTCTTGGGACATATGTCCGTGCCCTTCCATCAAATCCTGCTTCAGGTCATCTATTTCTGTGTTCGCCAGTGCCGCAATCTTGCCAGGCGACCTAAAGTTCTTACCGCTAGCAGGCGCCTTGCCGTTTCTGGTTTGGTGGACTCAACGCTTCCCCTAGTAATTGACGCTCTCCGTCTTACCTTCGACTCAGCACGCACACGGCTTGATCTCGATCTCGATCGAGATATGGAGCTACTGGTTGCAGTCTTCGAGCAATGCACACGTCCTGATATCAACGTCTCATCTTTAACGTGGCTGACTCGATGCCAAGAGACAGATGTCATCAAATCCAGCTTGGAGTTACTCACTCGGACAGACGTGATCGGCCTCACAGATCTGCCCTTGCTTCGCACACGCAGGCAACCTTTGTACGCGCCCCACATCCTCCTATTCCACATGGCTGTAGTAAGCATACCATCCGGTGCTGAAAGATTCGCCAGTGAAGGCATCATTTCGGCATATAGTAACAACGGGATTAGCCTTGCGGCAAGCTCAGGGCAGATCGATGTTGTGTTACCTGAGCTTCCTGGAGAGAGGAGCCCAGCACACAAGACATACTGCTCGATGATGGCTATAGTTTCTGCCGTTGTCTCTGCTCTCAGGCGGCAACACCACTTCTTCGACGCAGAGGCCTGTGGATTCGTACAGCTGTATGGCAAGCAGATTATCCGGGCATTGAGTTGGAGTGTCGGTGATCCGATTACACTGCCACTATTGGAGGAGATGGAACAGGTCGTTGGCCTCTTTTACGCGCTTGCGGAGAGTGCTCCTCCTACTACCTCCCCAAACCCAGCAGTCGTGAAGGTCCTCCGTGTGTTCACAACCCACGCGCTCATGCTCCTTCAGCAACTCAACTACGCGTTGACACACCCTAATCACATCGCTAGTCTCTTGGAACCGGTGACTGGGGAAGAGCGTGCACTGCTGGAAAAGGAGCCTACCGCTGCATCCTCCCTGCTATCAGTGGACATGGCCGACCTGCAGAAACATCCGTTGACTGCGCGTCTTGTTCATCGGTTATTTAGGCTGTCAAGCTCCGTGGTGTCTACGCTGGTCAGCATCAGCCGAGCGTATGACGTCCTTCTTGGTGAACAAGAAGAGTGGCCCGTTCAAGAAGCTGTGATCGTTCCTGTGCGTAGCTTCGCGTTCTGAAGCAGAACTTTGTTTACCGTTTTCCTGCAGCATTCCAAGGTGGTACCGGGGGAACCAGCGTCTTTGGGGACCTTGCTTGAACTCGCAAATTGCACTCTTGATGTCCTACGACACCTCGTCGATCGCCCAGCAGGTCAAGCAATCGCCCCCCCTGCGTCCCTCAAAGAAACGCCGCTTGATGTGCAGGAAGGCATGCTCACTGCCCGAAAGACATTGGAGGCATTGCTCGTGTATGCAGCAACGCAACTTGCAATGTGGCTCTCGAAGCCAGAATTTGACGCTGCTGAAATGGACTCGGAGGATCACGTTTCACAGACCATTGACATACGAGAAAGCTCAAAAAGACCATCTAGGGCACTCACAGACCGAATTAGAAGGGGAATGCCGGGAGAGATGGCGACTGATCTGGAGAAGTTGCTGAAGCAAGCGAAGCCTATTCTACAAAAGAGTGTCGATGAGAAACGAAATGTCAAGGGGGACCTCACGCAAGTGCTGCTTAGGTTTATGAGCGAGTGGGTAATGACCACACCGTCATAGATGGGTTAGGTACTATGTAGATGTATCAAAAGTAACATTATATGTTCCACGTTGCCAATTTGTCCTGGAGGTGAATTAATTAATTACTGCGTTAAAACATCTACGCCAGTCTCAGTGATGAGAATCATATGCTCTGCTTGAGCGCTTCGTGCACAATTCTGCTCAAGGTAACCGTTAAAAAAATATTCGGGCTTATAGCAGACCAATCACACCTCCGTCGATGCAGTCCAACCGTCTGGAAAAATCCAGACGCTAGGATTAGAACCTTGAATGAGAGAGGGCTGAAAGAAACAAATGTTAGCAGTAGGTCACGACATGCACTGAGCTGTTTGCCTCTATGGTAAAGCAGTGTCCAGGAAGCATTACGCCAGGTTCTTCATTTACTGCAAAGCAAATCTCAAAAACATCCTTAACATAGGAACAAAACGTGGACTTGCGAGTGTGGTATATCCAAGGGGGTCGGTGAAAAACGGTCCCTATGCCGTGCCCGGCGAAGGCAGGACAGACAGAATGACAGGTATTTCGAACGATTTCATGTATAGCCCTTCCAATGCCATTGAATGGTCTACCAGGTCCACAAGCGTTGATACCAGCCTCGAGCGCAGTATTTGTCATTTGCACAAGGTCTCGGCCAGGTTCGTCCTGTCGTGCAAGTAAATCACGAGGAATGTAATTGTTCTGTAAAATGTTTCTTACAACATCTCCGACGAGGAAAGTAGAAGAGGTATCACCGTGATAGCCATCGAGGAAGATGGTTACATCAATGTTAACTATATCCCCGTCCTCGAGAGGTCGACTGTCATCTTGTTGAGTCTTAAAAGACAGTTCATACAAAACGCGCTCACTCATCTGGTATGCCATGCGAAACAACATTATTGACACTGGTGCAACATGAACGGGGAAAGCCCTTGTATAGTAGTGGTGAAGGATATGCCTCATGCGCAATTATAAAGTTGTGTATTGCAGCATCTATCGAATTGGTGGTCACACCCGGCTACCGACGAATTATCTTGCATCTGCATGGTGAAAGTCGATGAATCTCACCTGTACAAGCGAGCCAGCATACTGGCGCACATTCTTAGCAAGTGTCGCAGCCGCTCGCACGCGCTTCTCGTCTATGCTACCCAGATTTATTCTTCCGTCTCCTTCATATTGCTGTTCATGGTCTATTGAGGGGTCATTCTGCACGGCGTATTTTGGTCGAACAATATGACTTGGAACTGGACGTCGGATGATATGGGAGACGCCCCATACGAACGGCTCCTCAGGTAAGATGACATTGTACGTTCCAAAATCCTCGGCTTCCTGCGATTCATCAGAGTCGAATGCGGGTGATGTTGTTACATATCTTTTCAAATAGCTGCGACAGACGACTGCAGAGGTATTGCGCAGACGAGGAGAACGAAGAGGGGGAAGCAACTTGTTCATGATCATACACACTGGCATGAGCGAACCAACCGTGACAAATTGAAGAAGGCTGGCGGGCCGGACTCAGCCGCTATGTTGCTCAACCGCATGTCTCAGTGGTTATGCTGGAACAACTCCTTAAGTGAATGACTTAGAGTCTAGACACATCTTCAACAACACTGGCAAGTAGAATCCCAAAGCCCCGATTTATGTTGTATGTCTTTGACCGTGACAGGCTCAGGAAGTTGCAACTCAAGCGCCCCTTGGACCTGAACCAAGTGGCACTCCGACTAGGACCCCGGAACCCACGCGCCCAACGCGCGTCAACAAAGCGTCCAACACACCGCAAAACCCTTTTTACTACTATACATACATATAATAATGGCACCGGCACCTGCCCCAGCGGGCAATAGAGGAAACGGATCGCGAAACCTGAGAGATATGATGGCACCAAGCACCACCAATAACACCTCCGAGACCTCCCGACCTCCAACCCCAGCACCAGCAACAGCGATACCAACACAAAGCAGACGCACGCCACCCAAATTGACAACTCCGGAGATCATAGCTCTGAACAATGAAGTTATCAATGCGACGACGGGCAAAGCTTACTTGGAACGTATTGCCCTCGCTATCAGTGGGAAACCATACACAATAGATGCTATATCCGAAATACTCCTACACACAACTCAGCTAACCAGCATATCCCTCCCAGCACAAACAGCAATTCATGCAGTGGCTTTTGTTCTGAAGGAAGTCGTAACAGACGAAACCACTGAAATCATAGCAAGACATGTCACAGCTGCGATATCTCCCCACATAGCTAAGCTACAAGATACTGAAGAAAAACTAATGAAATTATCCACAGATATAAACGCAACATTGGCCTCCCAAAGCCTGCAACTAGAGAAAATCCAAATGACAGTAGACACCCTCTCAAAGCAAGCAACTGAATCCGCAAACTCCAAACCATCATATGCAGCTGCAGTCATGACAAGCCAAGGCCAACAACCGGAAACAGAGACTCAAGCCCATCGACTGCAACTCATTGCGCGTGAAGCAATCAAGGAAAGGCAAATCATGATAGGTTTCACATCTAACAGCCCACTTGCAGCAGGCAACTCATCCCACGCACAACTCATTGAACGCGTCAAAACAGCCCTCAAGAACCTAGCCACAAACGACGAATCACCGAAACTGGACATGTGAGCGGTCACACAATTCAAGCAAGGTAGTATGATAATTGAAATGACAACTAAAGAAGCAGCAACTTTCATCCACAGCAACCCTGGAACCAAAGACGAACTAGTGCGCAACCTCGACCCAGATGCGACATTCAAAGAACGCTCCTACCCACTGATTGTCCCATTCACACCAGTCAGCTACAACCCAACTGATGTTGAAAGCACACGGCAGCTGGAGAGCGAAAATGGATGGAACAATGGAACGATCCTATCAACACACTGGGTTAAACTGGCAGAGAAACGGTCAAGTTCTCAAAAAGTCGCGCACCTAATGATCACTTTCACAGAACCTCAAACTGCAAACCTAGCAATACACGATGGCATCACAATAGATCACCTTCTCCTTTGGCCAAAGAAGAACAGACACAAGCCACTTCGCTGCGCGAAATGCCAACACTTTGGTCATATAGCTAGGGAATGCATAGCCCACGGAGACACCTGCGCAAATTGTGGAAACAACCATTGAACATCAGACTGCCCGACCAAAGACAAGTTTTTCTGCACAGCCTGCAACACAGATGACCATGCTAGCTGGAGCTGCGACTGCCCTTCTTTTATTCAAAAATGCGAAGATACTGACAAAAGATACCCAGATAACACGCTACCATACTTTCCTACAGATGAAGAATGGACCCATGCGACAACTCCGTCCAAGCCACCACCGTACAAGAAAATGCCGCCAACAACCTTCCCGAATAATGAACTACACCAACAACAACTCGACGACTATTCAACAAGGAATGAAGGCAATCGAGATAACAGTGACAGAGCGCCAACCAGAAGAGCAGCACCAACCAGAGGCACCAGACTACCATCAAGAGGATTCACACCCAGCTGAACGACCACATGCCAAAGATCCGAATCCCCCACATCCCAACTCAATCTGTCAGACATAATACAGTTCAGTCAACGAGACTATGACGCATGGAAATGATGAACACACTGAACAACTCGACGACTCGACTACGAATCTGGCAGCAAAACCTCAACACCTCCTCAGATGCTCAACACTGCATCCTCAGTGGACCAAGCACAGCTCGCGACTGGGATATCATAGCCATCCAAGAACCCACCATAGACACAAAAGGTAATACAAGAGCCACCCCTGACTGGCACATTGTATACCCAACGCACCGCTACACACAAGCAAAGCGCTTGCGTACTGTAACACTAGTACATAAACATATTAACACCAACAGCTGGAGACAACTTCCTTTTCCCTCAGCTGACGTAGTAATAATTCAATTCACAGGATCCTTCGGCAAACTAACTATCTTTAATATCTACAACGACAGCGACAAGCAAGATACTCCCCCAACCCTCCATCGGTACCTCGATAGTAACATCCGCACGATACGGCCCATGCACGATGATCATGTTCTATGGCTAGGAGATTTCAACTGTCACCATGCGCTATGGGAAGAAGAACGGAACTGACACCTCTGCGAGCCTCGACAAGCACAAGCAAATGCACAGGCCTGGATTGAACTCATGGCGGACTACGGAATGTGCCAAGCCCTTGTCAAGGACAAACCGACACTGCAATCAACTCGCACAGGCAACTGGACCCGACCGGACAACGTCTTCTGCACCGAACACACCCTTGAAGCCTTCACAATATGCGACACAGCCCCAAGACTACGCCCCCCCAAAATGGACCACATCCCCATCCTCAGTACACTCGACCTGGATATCCCTCAAGTTACAATGACAACCAACTACAACTATCAAGACGTGGACTGGGAGAAATTCAACTCGCAACTCAACTCGCAACTGACAACAATACCAGAGCCAAGACCGCTAGTCGACCTTGAAGAATTCCAACTCGCAGCAAAACACCTCACAAAAGTCCTTCAAGATGTAGTTGACGAAACCGTACCGAAATCCAAACCGAATCCTCACACAAAGCGGTGGTGGTCCAAGGAACTGTCCCAAATGCTAGACCGCAAACATGAGCTAAGTGACCTATCCTATAAATTCAGAGCGCTACCAAATCACCCATCACATGAGGAACACCACAAATTCAGAAACCAAGTCTCAGAAGCTATCTACAAGGCCAAGAAAGAACACTGGACTCAATTTCTCGAAGAAACCACTCAATGCGAACTCTGGATAGCAAACAAATACGTCACCACCCCCAGCACCGACGGCGGAAAAACTCGAATACCAGTCCTACAATCCAAGAACGCAGATGGCACAACCATGGAGGCCATATCTAACGATGAGAAGAGCACGCTCCTAGCCAAGACATTCTTCCCCCCACCTCCGGCGGACAACTTCATTCCAGAGGAATTCGAGTACCCAGAACCCATCACTCCATTTGAATGCATCACAGAAGAACACGTCGAACGAGCAATCAAGAACACAAGCCCATTCAAAGCCCCAGGACCAGACGGGATCTGCAACATAGTCTTCAAACGAAATGCCAACACACTCGTACCATACTTAATGCGAATCTTCAACGCAGTTTTCATGCTCCAAACGTACTATGAACCATGGCACGACTTCACAACCATAGTACTACGAAAACCAGGCAAAGCCAACTATAGCGTACCCAAGGCATACCGTCCCATAGCATTGATCAACACCATGTGTAAGCTACTGACAGCCATAGTTACCCAACAAGTCACCAACATCCTCGAAAAGCACCAACTTTTGCCAGCAAACCATTTCGGAGGACGACCAGGACGTTCAACTACCGACTCAGTACACCTACTCGAGGCAACAATCAAGGATGCATGGCGAACGAAACGAGTAGCATCAGTACTATTCCTAGATATTGAAGGAGCATTCCCGAATGCAGTCACCAGCCGCCTTATTCACAACATGCGACGTCGATGACTACCAATGGAACTCATCTCATTCACAGAACGAATGCTCACAGGACGATGGACCCAACTACAATTTGACGACTTCACATCAGAATGGTTTCCAGTAACAAACGGGATAGGCCAGGGCGACCCGCTATCGATGATATGCTACTTAATATACAACTCCGACCTAGTTGAAGTAGCACGAGGACGAATAGGTAACTGAAGGGAAGAAATTGCACTAGCCTTTGTGGACGACACAGCTTACATCGCCACAGCCGAAACATTCGAGGAGACGCATGAAATCCTGCGAGACATGTTTGAACGAAAAAATGGAGGCTATCAGTGGTCAAGAGAACATAACTCCAAGTTCAAAACAACAAAGTTTGCACTCATGGACTTCACGCGCGGCAAAACGAAGGAACAAAGTCCCATCATCCTCAACGGAGTTACGATCCAACTAGCGCACCATACCCGCTTCCTAGGAATCATTGTGGATCAAGAACTCACCTGGAAAGAGCATGCAGCATATGTGATAGTGAAAGGAACTGAATATGTCCTACAGATCCGACGACTCTCGAGAACCACCATGGGAATCCCAACCAAACTAATGCGTCAACTCTACCTAACAGTGGCAGTCCCAAAATTCGCATACGGTGCAGACATATGGTTCAAACTGATATTCAGACGAGGATCCAATGTGAATGTCACCCAAAGAGGCTCCAAAGGAATAGCGAAAAGACTCACATCCATACAACGCATAGCAGCGCTAAGTATAACTGGTGCCATGAGAACCTCGCCAACAGACGTGCTCAAAGCCCACGCAAATCTCCTACCAATACCACTACTCCTACAGAAGATTTGTCACCGAGCCACCGTCCGCCTAGCCACCCTCCCCCAATCCCATCTGCTATACAGCAAACTCCAATGGATAGCAGGACACAACGTTCAGACTCACTGTTCATCATTGCACAACCTACTCCACACCTTCTACATCTTCCCAAACGACGTCGAAATGATCAACTCATCAAACCAAACGAGAGCGTCAGAAGAACCAGCATACAAGACACAGATAGCGAAGGACAAGAAGGCCGCAAAACAAGAGCATGAACAACTCAAGGACATCATCCGCATATACTCAGACGGATCAGGATACAAGGAAGGGATTGGAGCCGCAGCAATACTGATACGAGAAGGACAGGAACTGCGAATCTTACACTACCACCTAGGATCAGATGCAGAACATACAGTATACGAAGCCGAAACACTGGGCCTAACGCTAGCAGCTCACCTCTTAGCCACAGAACGAAATGTGACATACCCAGCATCAATCCTAATCGACAACCAAGCAGCCATAGTATGCAGAACCAAAGCAAACAAGGACAGCAGCAACTTCATTCCGGAACAGTTCAGCAACATGATCAAATCGATTTCGAAACGACAGGACGAACAAGGAGACTTCGATCTCACCATCCATTGGGTACCCAGACACGAGAACATACCAGGCAATGAGCTAGCAGACCGTGAAGCCAAGAAAGCTGCAGAAGATCCCGAAAACAGCAGCCCAAAACGTCAGCTACCCAAATATCTACGAGATAAGCCACTCCTATGCAATGCACCTGCGCTATGAGCCGCCCAGAAGATAAAGGTAAAAGAACTCTGGAAAACCCTATGGACAAAGTCACCACGCTACACTCGAACTCGCGATATCGACCCATCAATGCCCTCCGCCAAATATCTCAAACTCACCAACGGCTTACCCAAATGACACGCCAGCATGTACATCCAGCTCCGTACTCAACACATCCCCCTGAATCATCACCTCCATCGAATCAACAAATCCGACACCCCGCACTGCCCAATATGTCCCAACATGAACGAAACGGTTCACCACTATATCTTCGAATGCCCCCAATACCGAAAGGAACACCATATCTTCGCAAACACCGCACGTCGAGACACACTGTCAATAGCCCACATCTTAACATCCGACAAAATCACCCCACACCTCATCCGATACATCAATAGCACTGGAAGATTCAAGCCAATATTTGGTGAGAATTAACATATGTAAAAGAACATAACACACCACAGTAAAAATGTCACAGGGAAACATACCCAAACCACACATACCAACCCGAACCATACACTCTCCCATGAAAGGATCAACACTCCAACAAAGCTGTCACTGACGGGAACCACAGAAGACACGATTACAGAGGAACCACATAGCAAAATCGAAGAACGAACCAGACAAGACAACAAAGCTACAACCCTATAACCAACCTCCCCTACTAACACATCTTCCTCCCGCAGCTTTCCTTTCGTGCCCGCTCACCTCGGTGACAGAGTACATGTCTGCACCATAAATGAAAAGCATCCAAACCCCCCAAAGATGAAAGATAGCTAATGACAAGACAATGTCCAACATAGGGTCTACGACCCCAAAGGACTAAATCTGAAGCAAAAAAAAAAAAAAAAAAAGTTGCAACTCGAGCTTTTCATTCTGGGACTCCTTCAACTCCCTGACATTCTCGTCAACGCGGTACCTTGCGTCAAGTCGTCATCGGCTCTGCACACATAGCCACCACTCTCTTCCGAATGTCGCCTGAAAATTCACCCCAACAAGTGATGGGATATCGAATAATGAAGGTGATGATCATGGTGCTTAGAAAACAGAGGAATATTGCTACCGTTACCATACAAGGTAAGTGCGGCCTTTGTTCCAGTTGGTAGTGGAGACTCATAAGCCATGGGATATGTGTGCGGTAATTGAGCTACCGAGTTCGACAAAATTTGGACATTTTCCTTCTGACAATGCTGTTCGGGCAGGTTACGTTCCTAATTTCTCTGCCAGTGCATCATGAGGTACGATCTCTTCTTAACGCCCGTGGTCTGAGATATCCACAGGAGGAACTGCCTGCCCAATTGCTAGGTCTGTAAAAGGATCACACGAAGCTGTACAAGTTGCCGACAAGGACGACCACGGCTGTGTTCACTCGCCTACCCCTTTTCTGCCAAATCAGATTGAGGCCTTAAGGATCATAGACCCTATGTTGGACATGTTCTGTCATATACATGTTTTTCTGCTGTGTTCGCCTACCACTTCAGCCTGAGTGGACCACATCGAGGCTTGCGGTGACCACTTAATTGGGATTAATAATGAAGAGAAGGATTAGCGAAGCATCTTGCTCTCAGATGCGCACTGCATACCAAAGGCTCCAAGTTGGCGTCAAAGCGAAGCTGTAGCAAGTATTGGCGCATGTTGCTGGGAAGTAGATACTTGAGACGGCTAACTGAAGAAAGCCGATTGGCAATGATTTCATGTCACTACAAAGAAACCACACACTGAAGCTCGAGGTGCCTCCTAATAGCAGCCAACACGGCAGGTTGTGGTTGCCTCATGATCTTGAAGTTCATAATACACATCAGTGCTGCAAAAGAGACATCCTGAAGGTCGAAAACGTGATTATATACTGTGTAGGTCTACTCTTTCCAGGGGTAATCAAATTTCGGCTGGTCCTTACGTCTCCACAATTTCTTCCTAGAGATGTTCTTTCATCAAGCCATAGCAGGATTGTTTAGAAATTTACTGACTTCTTTTTCGTGGGGACGTGCTCTGCAAACACTTCAACGCAATACTTAGCCTTGAACTCACGAATAAAACGCGGATCCCTGCATTAGGATTGAATGACTGAGGCAAAACACCCGTAATGACACTCACCAAAGCTCGCTCGCTATTCCAAGATCTTTGCAGCATCGCATAAGAGCATTACTCTTGCAGCCTTCAGTTGCCGTAGGAATATTGGATGGATCAAAGTATTCTTGTTCACCGCGGGCAACTGCTACCAAGCTGCAGGAGAGCAGATTCAGACATTGTTATGCAAGACAAGGAGACACACACCGGCCCTGGCAGACAAGCGCATACTCCCTGCTGACAACTTTAGGCCCGACGTTTGTCTCACTGCGAGGGGCGAGTCCCCATCCGCCTGGTCCAAATGCCTTGTTGAGGACGCGACGATACTTGATTTCTGGAAGGTAAATCAAGCCATCTATGAATGATGTTCAGGAATATAAATCGCAAACTATGCACTCGAAAGGTACCTGGCTTCATCTCTATATCCATGTCATCCACAGGAGCCAACAGAATATTAGCGATATCCTTTGAGAAGGCTTGGGTAGAGAGTCCATGGTAACTTGTTGACCAATCAGTAGACCCAACGTCGCCAGCTGCTGTAAAATCGCCAGGGAAAGGCGAAGACAAAGATGCAGAAGAAGGCACGGTCTCAAGCGGAACACTTCTATTCATTGCTTCAGAAACATCTATCTCTTCTGATGTATTGGGTAGGTTCTCTGTTATGTCTGGGTTGCCAGCACCTGCTACGCTCGTACTAGCAGTTGCCTTCACTACTTTGGGTGGGCTGGAGGATAGAGTTGACGTTTTTGGTGTCCATGTCCGCGTAGATGCAGCGTACGTTCTCGAAGACAAAAAAGGCCGTGCTAAGGAAGGTTGCCGAGTCGCCTTTATTCCCAGTAAAATAAGTCGATGCGTGTTGGTCAAAGCCGACATTATTTAGCTAAAACCAACCTCTGCACGGAACTTTTTATGACAGGAGCCAACAGTGTCACGGGATTTTAAATTTCAAACTTCGCACAAGCAAAGTGCCGACGGCTGCTCGTTGTAGGCATCAGCGAGCACGACAGATACTGCGATGAGTACAGCCGTCCTCAACACTGTCGGCCCGTCCTCACTCTCGCGCGTTGCATCAACGTCCATCTTCCAGCTTATCCCAGCGCCCACCATCCAGCGCGTCATTCGCAAGACCAGTTTCAAGCGCGTCCTTGCGACCCCAATCACGCGTTTCTCGACCAAGTTCGCGTATCTCACGCCCGGCCACCAGGCAATCCACGCGACTTGCGCCTTTGTGCCAGAAGCTAATCACACAAGTCACTGGACTCACTTTAGAGAACGATGAGGAGGACTTTCGTATTGCCTTGGATTTCGTTTCTAGGAACCTAGAGCATGCTACGGCAACGAAGGGAGGTCCGAGCTCTGATATGGCTACTATGGACAGACGTTTTCACGGGTACATATAATTGTCTTATATGAAAGTGTTGTTCAGCCAATGCATGTTCCTTCAGTTTCCTCGAAAAATCCCGTATACAGTCCAACGATACCCTTGCGGAAGCTTTGGAGATATCGTACCGGAAAGTGAAAGATAGTGCGAAGAAACTCACCAATATCGACGGTGACATCAAAGTAGAGTCCCTCGTTCTTGTGTGTAAGTGCAATACTGAAAGGTTCCTTCGCAGCTCGCGCATCTTCCAGATCACCTGCAACTGCTTGTGAGATCATATTTATGTTATGCGGTCGAGAAGCCAACAGCTTGATAGGCACTTCTGTCTGCTGCACCAGCGGAATCCACTCTTAAGCACGCAGATGCATATATTGAAGCGATCAGAAATCCGCCAGAGCCACCACCTTCTCTCACCTGGAAGGACATCCTGGCCGAGGAGCCCTTCGAAGGACAACACTGGGAGGGTGTTTATGATTTGCCCTCAGGAAGCACGGTAGAAGGTTGGGAAAATACGAGCGATGGTAGCACTCCTTCACTTTCACCCTGGGATGATGACTCGGACGATTTGGATGATAATGATTCGCTTCCTTGCACTGAAGATGCTCCCTCGTCTCCTAGTCCTGTGGAACGAGTCTCATCTTATGGGCAGCCAAATTTGAGTCTTTCATACCAACATCGTAGGGTTGTGGAGGAACTGCAAGCTCGACAGTACTGGAGAGAAGAATGGCGAACAGATGCCGATTTATCTCGGCCATTTAATCTGGGTGATGCATCAACGCTTGGTAGCTTGCTTGTATTCTGGGGTTTTCATCGCTAATGACTTTATAGGCCCTTCGTTGAGCCGAGCTCTTGGTGAAAGAACAACTCTTTTGATTGATGGGCCTGAACGCGAGGTCAGATTTTGCGACGTTAGAACAAGTGATAATAATTGACCGCTCTTATAGAAATACATCAACGAGCATGACGCTGTTCGTGAGGTGCTCATGTGCCTCCAAGGACGCAAAAACCTCATGATCACCAGCAACCCGAGATTTCCGTCGCTCATGGTAGGTACCTGCAGCGTACAAATTTACACTCCCTTTCTCATCTTATACAGCGGCCATCACCAAGTGCTCCCCGTCTCGCTCATTTGACATTAGCATCTCAAACTTCTATCCTCTCGTCCTTTGCGCAACTTGCTAGCACCGTGTCTCACATCAGAAAATTCACCTCGACGGTTTTTTCCAATGTTTTTTCAACCTCTGACCCACCTCTGAGCTCAATGCACCTTCTATCTCACAACACGCGCTCGCAAACCATCGAAGCTTTCGCGGATGCAGTCGATTCTCAGCTACAAAAATTCGACCGCTGGTGCGCCGACAAAGAAGAACGGATATGTTGCGCTCACGCTGGCCTTGGCAACCGGCTGGTCGTCAGTCTACTGGGTCTCGAAAAAGACGTCAGAGATGCATTTTCAGTAACCTTCGACCTCCTTTTGGCTATTCTGCGAGAGCTGATGGGCTATGTCATGCAATCGGATAATACGTCCGACGAAGAGGTCTGGTTATTGGCATCCCTGTCTAGTCGCGTGCCACCAGCGGCTGTTACTGCCCATCTACTAGACACATGTCTGCGTTCTGTGGAGGAGCAGTCTTCACTAGGAAACAACATCGCCGCTGAAGCTCTCATTGAAGTGTTCGTCAGGTCCGCACAGCCTGTTTGGGCGATGGTGGGCCGTTGGGTCGGTGATGGGATGCCAGTGCGGGACACGTGGGAAGCTTCTGATAATCAGACCCTAGATGAAGAGTTCTTCATCGAGGATCACGAGCTCCCACTTATGGACCCTGATTTCTGGGCAGATGGATATGTTCTTCGGACTTGGAGTGACTTTGAAGCGCCCACAGGAGATATGAAGGCACTTTCCGTCCCGGTATTTCTGGAACGTATAGCTGATCGTATACTCGAGACCGGAAAAGCAGTTGGCCTGCTGCGGGTCTTAGGGATCCCTTTGCTGGATGGTGCAGATAGCGATGTTCACTGGCCATCACTCGCAACGCTGATAGGACAGCACAAACGGGATGCTTCAGATCCAGAGGGCCTTGCTCACCTTATCTTTGACAAGATCGCTCCTTATTACACTTCCTCGGGATCTCAACTGACCCAGGTGCTAACCGAGGACTGCGATCTTTCACGGCACATCGCGGCCATCGAAGGGCTATACCTGATGACCAGAGGAGACATCATCGGCCATTTCGCCGATGTCCTTTTTGCAAAGGCAAGTGTTTTATCTATCCCAGTATGCAGGTGCTAATGCAGATCACCAGATGAACAGCCAGCAACACTGGCAAGACTTCCACTTCCTGAACAGTGCATTTAGGGACGTTGTAGATGCCAATAACGCCACAAAGTACATCGAGACTTCCCTTGTTCGCCTCTCCTATCGAGGAAGCAAAGCCACCGTCATTGCACAGACGGTGAAAGCTCTTGATGGTCTACTTGTCGAATACGCGGTGCCTTTTCTATTGGCGTATATTTTCACGCCGCGTGTGTTCTCGATCTACGGATCGATCTTCGCGTTTCTTCTGCAAATACGGAGAGCGAAAAATGTTTTGGAGCGCATCCTTGTGCGGGGCGAGATAAGGAGTGGACGGCATATGAAGCATGAGTTGAAGGTATTTTATGCGATGAGGGGCAAGTTATCGTGGTTCATCAAGTGCGTCCATTTAGTGTTGCGACGGCTATTCGCTGACTCTACTGCTTGCAAGCACGCTGTTGAACTTCCTGACAACTCACGTAAGCTTCCTGGCTGTCGAAACAATGCGGCTCTGACCATCTATCAAGGTCCTGTACTCTCAGTTAGCGATATTCCACGAGAATTTCAAGCGGGCAGAGTCCCTTGATGAGATGATCAAGATACATAACGACCAGTAAGGCTGTTCGCACCTGCTCTACAATAATTTTACTCACATGTGCCATTAAAGCTTGGATACAATCCAACGCGGTTGTCTGCTTCATCCCGAAGTGTGTCCATTTTTATTTGCGTCTTGTTCGTCGCGCTCACGACTGTTCAAGACTTCTGCCCTCCATCGTGCTGTCTTGTCAGCACTTGACATGTGTCTGCATTTCAGCAATATTTTCGTCTCGTTTTCAGGTGACAACACCCATGATATCTCACAGCTCTCCATCGTTATGAAACGTCACCGAAGTCGTCGCCAGAGACGGATTCGTCGAGACGTCATTGGTTTCTCTACCCCGGAGATCATCTCAGATGATGAAAGTGACGATGATGATAACCATGACGAGACAGTGGGCAATGCACCTGAGCCTTCGTTCTCTCTGGCTGCCTCGGTGACGAGCTACGAGGGTGATCTCCCAGATCACCTGGATAAACTGTCATCGGAACTGGATGATGTTGTGCGTTTTGTTCGCAGGGGGAGTGAGGCCTGGGCGGGAAGTATGTCCAGAGCTGCGCCCGCTTTCGGGGCTCTCGCATTTGCACTGGAAGACTGGGATTCGTAGTTCAATATACAATACTCATCAATTACTAACGCTATATACATAGATAGTATAGTGTAATTTCGTGGGTTACCGAGCTGATAACAAAATCCAAGCTTCACATAAGATATGATATCTCGCCACTTTGTAATTCAAAACTTCCTAATACATGACCGCAGCACCACCCTTGGTATCCACGCGACGATTGATGCCACCGAGGAGAATTTTAATTAGCATCTCAGCATTCAGTTGGCCGATATAGGGTGTTGTGTCGACAATATCCTGACGGGTTTTTAGTAAATAATATCTTAATATGTAAGACTGTGACATACTCGTATTTGATGTGTTTGTATCAAGTTATCATCCAACTCTACAAGGAACTGGGTTGCGCGTCTCGAATTCCCTATCTGAACGAACTGTATCCCAACCTGCGCAAAAACATTGTCGGTAACTAGTGCAGTAAAGAAGTAATGTGTAGTCACCTGTGCAAGTGGCCACTTATCAGCATCGAGTCGCTTAGCAAAAGAGACGATCACACTCTCGGGATCGTCCGCTACGTGAACAGGTCAGAGGACTTAACTATTAGCCGTTGTGTGGACTCACTTGGTGCCCCATCAGTGATAATAATCACATTCACGGGCTTGATTTGCTTGCGCGCATAATAGTCACCAGCATCCTCCTGTCTTTTAGCAGCGTCCAAGCTATGGAAATAATCGCCGAGGATTACATCGAGACGATGCCCAATAGGGGTAGGGCCGCAAGGCTGGAGGTTGGCGAATTGTTCATGGATAGTTTTAGAGTCCTACAAAGCACGATTAGTACTAATTTGTGATGTACAAATAAGGTACCTACTGTAACTCCTGTCATGCTTCCGTAATGGTTCAAAAAGTGAATGTCAACACCATTGGCATCATATTGACCCGCAACATCAGCGAGTGTTGCGAGAGCCTGTTTTGCCTGGACATGGCAATTTCAATACCGTCATCAGGTAACATAAGCAAACGACATACCTCCTTCCACAACGAACCAGCCATTGACGAGGAATCGTCCATGATAATAATTGTATCATAATGGCGCAGCGTCTCGAGCGCATCTTCCAATGATTCCGCACGCATAGGTTGGCGGAGATACGCTGCTCGGGCTGCTCGAGAAGCTGGTCGTGAAATCGTAAATTAAAAATGTGGCGAGACTTTGGAGGAATCAAATACCTTCAGCGTCGTTTCCAGAAGACCAGGCAGGTTCTGATGTGGCAGAGGTAGTATATGGTGGGGGGGCCGATTGGTAGCTGTCACTAGTGTGACCAGCAAGGGGTGATTTGCTATTGTGTACGTGATCAACACTGAAGTCCCCAAATTGCCCCCTAGTAGACCGTGATCGTGACTTGGATGGCCCGTTTCCCATGATAGTAGTTTGTCTTTGGGTGTGTATGAAAGCGAGAGGGGATTTATGGGAAGAGTGTCACGAGATTAGTAGTTTTAGTTTGCGTGGGAGCAATCAAAGGAGGTGATAGAAACCAAAATCAGGAAAAATTGTGCCACTTTATAGCATTTGGACTGTGGACGAATGGAGAATTTGTGTTCGCGGTGGCAGGTATACCTACCATGGCAAGCTTTGGTTTGTGACTGTACAGTGCCAGGTCATTGTCAATATTAATGTTATGGACAGTGGCAAGTGACCAAGCATTCCCGATAGAAGGTCATGTGATTTGAACCATGCTGTGCAATGCGGCAGTACCTGCCATCTTGGACGGGACCTGTCTCAGACACTGCCTTTGCATCTAGTATCGCACATTGAAATCTACCGTATCAATATCATATGCTTCTGCTGTATACTATCGATTCTCGAATATGCAAGTTGGAAGCCATCGTTTGTCCTGCACAGGCTGCACCGCGCCTTGTTGTCCTCACAGCTTCACGTTCTAACTTCAGCATAACATCCTGATGAACAGTTACTAGTATAGGAACATCACGCATACAACAAGACAGCTGTGTTCTTGAATATTATCTAGGATACTGGTGCAGAACGATCCGCTACTCTGGGAAATGCATTGGCACTAGCCAACACGACCATCTTCTTCTCATGCGAGATATAACCTCTCATATATCCCTGGTAGATCATAGTCGCAACATAGCATTCAGCTTCCTCCATCGAAACGTCGATCCCCTTTAATCGTAACGAGCAGTGGAACATAGAGACAGGTATCCGCGTGTTTTGGTCGGTTGCCACCCAGCTTAATGAAGGTAATTAGTGCATATCCCACGTCATTGCTCGCCAGTGATCTACGTACACGCGTCTAAACAGACCCCTGATACATAGTTCTCTAGCTCGTTCCAGTGTCAACCACAGGTTGAGCTCGAGCAGGCGCCGTTCCCACTTGTCCAGTGCTGCATCATACGCAGATATATCACCAGCACGTATAGCAGCGATGAATGGCGTGAACAACTCGTCAAGCACGGGGAACCTGTCCATCAGATCTCTGGTTGGGAGGTGCCCACGAAGAACACGCAGCGGGAGTAAGTACATCAGTATCCGTCTAATACCCGGGCGTCAATTTGTAAGCACCGGCCGATGAATAACATTGCTTACTCTTGATTACTATGTGCCGGGATATAGCATTGGTAAAAAGCCAGTGTTAGTTCCTGTTCGGACTACAACACCTGAGCCCGAATGACGTCGCAACATGATTAGGCCCGTACTTTATTATAATCTTCATTCAGAAAACTTAGCATGCCCAGGTAGTAGCGGTAGGTGACCTTACAAATCGTGACATCAGGGTCCTCAAAAATGAGTACTATATGAACGTACTTGATGTGAGCGTGGATACTCTGAGAGAGGTGGTATATCAGGATTAGCATTGAGCGCTCTGAGGATATTTTTCGACAAAGATATTCGTTTGACCTAGAAATTTTCAGAGGGCAATGCAAGCGCCAAATGAACGAAGAGAACGGACTCGGAAGTAGCATTTTAACACGAGTCCGACAACGTAGTAGACTCCCCATTTACGAGATTCACTCGGTGGCGAAGTTCTAGCGAGGTATTAGGTACCTGTCAAAAATATGGGATCAAATTAACAGGTACAGCACCTGTCTGTCATGCAGTTGCTGAACGCCTTGACAACAACGCCAGCAGCGCTCTCCATACACTCGCTTTTCTGATTATTGTATTTTGCGTAGTTGTCGGCCTACAGCATTCAATAAGAGTTCAAGAAGTAGATACGCGACGTCTCACGTCAAAGGCAAGATCTCGCAGGTCTCTCAACATCGAGAACAGCGCAGGAAGTGTCCATCCAGTATTGTTGATGAAGTAACGGAAGAACTGGCTGTGGATGAGTGAGCTAAGGAGGTGTCTAGCAGTACAAAGATACACACGAAACAAGCTGCGACTGCTCATTGAATGCCTCCCCAGCGCGTTTGCGGGCGATGTGTGTGGTGACCATAACATATCTGACAGCGATGTCGTCCCATGGGCTCTCAATACATCCACCGTAGCGCGACATGAGAGCTTCGCGCTGGAAATTTGCTCTGAACGTCGACAGTGTTCCGAAAGGGTCAAAGACGCACTGTAGGATTACGAAACTCCTTGACGAGATCCTTCCCGTGAGGACTGGTTGGGCGTAGAAGGTAGGCCAAGTTAGGTCCATTTTCTGACTGTATTGTCTCGCCGAGTGTCATTATGAAGGTCGAGAAGGTCATCGCCATGTTTTAGGTTTGATAATATACGCAGGACTGGCCAAGATGACTATAAGCAAATCCTGGAACTGTTTTTGATTTAATGCTAGGCTTATTTAATTTCAGCGGTCAAAGTGAAAGATGTAACGATTAGGAACTTACCTCGAGCAGCAGATTTGAGGTCTTCTCTTAGACTCGTTGTTGGGATTCTTCTCTTTTGACGTTGAAGTTAACGTTACAGTGTTAATGATCACGTGATAGATAACTCCTAAGTATAACTTGAAGTTGTCATAAGTGATATCCTGAACGTCGACAAACTTGTTTCAACACTCGAGTATCATGGCTCTTCAACCTTCCCTTCGACCGACTATTATCGCGGGTGCTTACGATTCCCCGCACACCCTTGAGATCTTCCGTGAGTCACCAAATTGGTCAAGTGCCTTGTAGTTAATTAACGAGGGGTCCAGTGGACTACGTTTGCCCATTCAGGTTGACATCCACAGACACCGATCTGAAGAGCTGCTTCACTAATCCTGTTAATCGTACAGCGCAAAGTTATCGCTTGCTATCGATAGCATTTTGAAGCCTCTGGTGGACGTGGGAGGTCCATATTATGGCAAAGTAAAAGTCATCATGAGGCTCCAAGTTCAGCCTTGGCATGCAACTTCGACCTATACTCATGAAGCTGGACTTGCTGTAAGCGCTTTAAACCGATACACTCCAGATGATTGTAATGGTGATTTGATCTAGGTTGTGCGTGCTGCTCCAGAGAAATTCTGGACATTCTCCCTCGAAGTAAGCATCACTTGTAATCACTGAAGTTGAGGTAACTTCCACTAAACTAAATCAACTTGTAACGCAGCTTTTCAAGCAACAGGCCGGATTCTTCGATGGTCCATCTTCCAACTTGACTCCTCTGCAGATTCGTGAGAAATTGGCCAGCATCGCTGCCCAGGTAATCACAGAGGAGCAGGTGGCGATGTTCAAGGATCTTCTGAAGTTGAAGCCTACTCCGAATGGCGGAGTTGGAGTTACAGATGATCTTAAATATACTAGTGTGTTTTCACGTTTTTGTGGTGGGTTGGTGTCTCATACCTTTCATCGTGCAGTCAAGTTCGCCAGACAGAATGGTGTACATGTTTCTCCCACCGCTCTCTGGGACGGTTTGATTGCCAATCAAGTCTCTAGCTCTTGGGGAGAAAAGGAGTGGACCGAATTTCTCGCGAAGAACGTTGTTGTCTAGGTGTGAGGAATTGCATTTTTGGGGCCACACTAAGAAGTTTGATATGATAACTACAAAATCAATGTTGTATTCCGCTGAGAATAAAACGCATTCGCGATGGTCAATCAGTCTAATAAGTCTTCATATTTGTGTGTCCAATAGACTCCACCTGCGAAAAAGTTGTATTCACCTTTCATTCAATGTCATAACACCCCTATTGCAGGATGCGTTGATCCTCTACCAGTGCGTACACGGTTACCTTTTAAGTAAGTACATTCTCGAGCAGGTATGCGGTATATATGCATGAATCACAATCCACGTGCCGCGATTTAGCTTCTAGTCTAAGAGAAGCAAGCACGCCGACAGTGCGAATGCGCATGGACCAGAAAACAGTACTAATCTACAGATGGTATGTGGGCGTGAGATCCAAGGAACATTGGACAGTGACTCACATTGAACGCGACGAATCCGAAGACAATGCCCAGGTTGCGCCAATGATCACTGTCTTTAATATCGACCTTCGAGTGCATGTACTGATCAGCGGTCTTGTATGGACAGTGCTGACAGCCCTCTGCAGCTTCGGGATCCATGAGGTAGCCGCCTGTGAATTCTATGAAGGAGCCCATGTACTTACTGCACGTCAAACCCTCCGGGGAGTTGACGTGGACTAGTTCCGTGTAAGACTAGCTAATAGCTTCGACTAGAATTCTGGAATGGCGGTCTTGACGATTATTACCCCTGTGCAAGCACCACTCGTAGTCTTCGGATTGTCTTTGTGGATGCTCCTGTTGACCATAGCTTTATTTCCACAAGTTCAAGAGATCGAGACTGTTGCGCGGCCGTCTACAACTAGTGTTTAGAACAAGGCACTCAAAACACGAGAGCATCTTGTTCAAAGTTGGTCGAGTACGGCAGTCACACAGTCACGTCCATGGATGCGCCGTGCGGTTTGGTATCAGTTAATAATACGTGACTAGTTGACAGTATGTGAGTCAGTAGCGACCCAGCTACACGCATTAGTAGGACACGTTGCCTCCACGAACCGGCCAACCTGGTTCGGACTTCAGCAACGGTTTGGTATTCGCGAGAATCATACCAAATCATCATTGGATTCAATCCCTGTCAGGTATCCACAACTGTCACAGAAAGGACCGAGTGCTGCAAGGTGTATTTTCAGCTTCGCATAACCAGAAGTTCCACTAAGATAAAGACAATTGCAAGCGAAGTTCAAACACTGTTTTGTCGCTGTTTGCTAGTATTTGGAGCCCAAACCCAAATTATACAAGTTTTCCCGGCCACTGATCTCAGTCAACACAAATTCGAGTTGGGTTTCTAGTCATCCACAGTCGATCTAACACATTTGTCTCCAAAACATCACTATCAAGTACCCTGGTGGTCCGAAAGTCGTTCATACCTGCCCCCTCACCACCTTGTCCAAGCTCTCTGCAAAGTATCTTATGTTGTGCGTGTTCAGCCCAGCCATCGAAATCCGTCCGTTGGCCGTCAAGTAAATGTGGAAGGTGTCTATCAGTGCTTGTGACTGAGACGGGTTGATTCCAGTGAAGCTGTCGCCCGTTATCAGTACGATGCTCATTCTTAGGATGGTATGTTTCACGCCATCCAAACCACATCGTGACGCCAATGCGCGACCAATCGCACAAACTCACCTGAACATGCCAATCTGGTTGATGATATGAACCCAACTGCCCGGCGTTTTCAGCTCCTCCGTCAGGAGTCGATAAAGCTCATTGCGCATGAATATAATTCGCTCAGCCATGGTCTTGATGTCACGGTTCCAGTCGGCAAAGAGGGCACTGTCGTTGAGAATAAGTGAGACCTATTCCCCACCCCTCAGCAGGTGAGCGCAGTCTATATCGAAATCGACTCACTAAGCGTGCACCGTAAGATGGTGGGTTGCTTATTTCACTGCGCTGTAAAACCGACAGCTGACTCTTAACACGGTCTGCAGCTTCCTTCGTAGGGGGGACGATGTGTAGCGCACCGATCCGCTCGCCGTACAGACCTGCGTTCTTGGCGAAGCTCTGGTCCAATCAGCTATGCTGCAGTAGTGCAATGAATGACGCACTGACCTGACACACAAGCATCGGCACACCCTTCTCCACGAAGTATCTAACTGCCCACGCATCGTTGTTGAGGTCACCACTTGCAAAGCCCTGGTAGGCGCAGTCGAAGAATGCGTAATGGTTTTTAGCGATAATGACTTCAGCGATCTGTTTCCATTGGTCACGAGTAGGGTCGACTCCTGTGGGATTGTGGGCGCAAGCGTGTAGTAAAAACACCGAGCGTGGCGCAGCACTTTGTAGGGTTCCAATGAAACCATCAAAGTCTAGGCCAATGGTGGTTGGGTCATAGTAAGGATAATCTATAGGTTGGATTCCAACATTCTTGAAAATGGCATGGTGGTTAGCTGCAGGAATGCCTGGTTAAACTTCTGTTGCACGCATTCCTACAAAAAACTCACCCCAGGTGGGATTGCTCAAGTAAATCTGCTTGGGGGCATCCCAATGATAAAACCTGCTTAGAAACAAGGCTCCCAAGTGGTTTGCGCCAGTTCCGGAGATGGTCTGCACGCTAACAGCACGCCCTTCTGCAATAGCAGGTGAATCGGCGCCAAGAATGAGCTTTACCGCACCAGCAGTAAACTCTGGTAAACCCGTGATTGGGAGGTATTCGTGATCGAGATTAGGATCATTCAGAAGAATTTGTGTGGCCTATAGTGGCACAGGAATTGAGTCTAGAGCGTGGTTAAGATGTAAAGAGGACGCACCTTCTTGATAACAGGAAGGACCCAAGGTTTATTGTCATCATCTCTATATGCTCCAACACCAAGATTAACCTTCTGAGGAAACGTGTCTGCCTTATACGCCGCGGTCAATTTGAAAATGCTATCGGCGACTTTCAGTGAAGAATGGAAATATATCGTGACTTGTACGCACCTGTCGGGTGGAGCAAGAGGAACATCCTCCCATGTTTCTGATTCATGAAAGGATTGAATGCCGAGCACAGTGACACAATTATGACCAGTGCTTACCCGACGACATCGTGGGCTGTGCGGTACCTGCGAGGTGATTATATACTTGTCTTATCCTGTTTGACATGTTGGTTAGCTCCGACTCGGATAAGCGATGTTGTAAGAGTCATAGATCATCACGATGGTGCGAGTCGTGCGATATACGGCGTGAAACATGCCATGCATGTGATTATACGATCAAGGTAAGATCGCCCGTCCCTTCCCGTCCCTTCCCGTCCCTTGTCCATCACTTAACATCCAACAACCCGGCAGCGACGACAACTGAACACGAAGATCCAAGTTACTCACTGGTATCTGATTTGAAGCTTCAAGGCTTGATCAAGGTGAGATCAGGGTGGCGATAACAAGACAATGTCACGGTATAAGTACTAGTAGCGCCAGCCTCATCTTGTCTCATCTAATACGGTATAGCTTCAACGTTTTATCCCCGATGGAATCAAGAATAACTTTTTCCGGCACTTAATTAGGCCTCGTTGCCCAATTCCAGGTTCTCAAACGTGCAGATGAATTTTATCAGGACGTGAGTCACTGTTAATGGTATAGCCGTTGACATAATACACTGGCAAGCTGGACCCGAACAGTTCAAGTTATCGAACTCTATATCTCTTCGTGTCTGGAATGTGGATCATTGACGCGATATGGGGCCACGCTATCAACGCGTACGCCCGCTTGGTGATAAAACCGCTAGGCTATTAGTACCCTCCTTTCTCCCCCGCTCTGGCTCCGGGAGCAGCTTAATACAGAGCCAATCGAGAATCTCTTTGGAAAATCCGAATTAGTTTTCGGTCGAGTGGTATTTCGGCTCCCGGTAATGTTAATACTCAACGTCCGCAGGGGTATGTATCATCCTCAGTGTTGCTCGTAGTACCCAATCTCGCTCACATGTACTCTAGACTTTGATCTAGTTCCTACTAGAGGGTTTCAAACACCCCTGACATGTACATCGTGTGGGATGTTCCCTGTAGTCGCAGATATTTGTCACACGCATTATCCATACCTTCGATGGCAAGTCGAGTGACCGACGTCCATGTACCTTTAACATGTACTTGTATCGCCCAACGAGTTTGAAATCCAACACGTCTCTTAACACTCAATTCAAGATAACTATGAAGGCACATACACTCGTTGAGTAAGTCAAAGGTAAGTATACATTGTGATAGCGTCAGACACTAGATTCGAAAGCAAAAAGCAAAGCATGACGGGATAAACATTAAAAACTTCCTCCCAAGATCGTCTACTTCGCATTCTCCCTGGACATGAAATAGCTTGGGAAGATGCCCATCAGCTCTTCGAGGTACCAGTAATTCCCGGAAAGCTCATCCAGAGGGCCTTTGCCTTTTTTTCCGCGTTTTGCGTTAGACTTCTTCGGCACTTCATTATCTGCTTCCACCTCCTCGCGCACGATCTGCACCCATAGCCCCCCAAGCCCCATCCCGAGGCTCAGCGTATCGAGTACTGCGGGCTCTATGACCAGGACTATATCATCTTCATACGGATTGTGCGGCTTGCCGGAACCGCTGCCTTCAACCTCGCCGTCGGGCATGACCACTACACCGCGGGAGGTCTTGCGAATGGATGGCTTCGGAATATCGTTCTCCTCCCTCCCCCACGGGCCCATGACAACGCGCGCGAACCTCCGCTCTAACTCATCCTCCACCATTTCCGCTGCGTTAGCCTTGATCTTTGCCTTATCCTTCGGGGGTAGGTGGATCGCTTTGATGCGGCGCGTGGAGGACTCCACGATCCCTGTGCTGTGCGTCAGTGGGAAAGAGGTGGGACCCAGGAGAGACGTGAGCGAGGGCGGCGGGGAAAGCCAAGAGGGCTCAGTCACTTCGGGTGCAAATGAGAGTGGGGCGGAGTCCGCACCCCATTCGTCATTGTCATCCGCAGGGCCCCATTTACCGCCATCGCCAATGGCACCCCAGGTGTCAGAACCTACGGAACCCCAGCCTTCGGTGTCGCCCGTGGCACCCCACCCGCCGGCAATGGTGTCTGTTGTATCTGCAGACAAGATGTCGGGTGGTGCGGTGGTAATAGGGGCGGCGGTGTTGGCATTAGCGACGGGGGCAGTGGTGCGTATGTTAGTAACCTGGATCTCCATGTCAACATTGTCTTCGATGGCATCTTTGAGTGCCGTTTCCTCCGTATCTGGGAGAACAATCTCCATTTCTGCACCATGCTGATCGATTACAGTGATAGTCGCATCGACTGAAAATGGAATATTAACATCGATAAGCCATCACGTACGAATAGCTGATAATACCTGGAGCAGGCGGATCGTCTGCCCTTTGGTGATCGTCAAAGGACCATTCAATCCCGCCTTTCCGGCCAAAGCACTCCTTGCAGCCATCGCTGAACACATCGGGTAACGCCTGCCCAATCTTGTATGTCAAGGGCAGCTCCTTCTTCGCGAGTTCCACAATATCAAGGGCACTGCGGATGCCACGTTCATGAGAGGCTTTTGGGAGAACGCGGTTCCGCAGGACAAAGTTCAAAAAGAAGCTGATGAGGTGTGGTGCGTTAACGAGGTTCCTCTCCGACCTATGCAATACTCCAATGAAAAGCACGTCGAGAATTATTATTGAGAGACAGACCAGATAAGGCCTTGTTCACGCATGTGAGACGATAGGAAAATTGTCACCGATTTCTCCGGGTCGTTCAAGAACACGATCAGCTTCTCCTCGCGTTGTTCCTCCAGATCAGATTTGCGTGCCTGCAAAGTACCTTCGTCGTCATCATGATCGTCCAATTCAGCAGAGTAAGTTGAGCCAGCGGGATCCCTTGAGGGAGGAACTGATCCAGAGGTGTCCTCCTCGTTGATCTGGATATTAGAAGGACCGTCGTCATCATCGTCGTCATCGTCATCTGCCTCTCCGTCTTTGCTCGGTTTACGATAGACATTTGGATTGACAAGGAGTCCGACGTACAGACGAAACTATGAGAAACCGTGAGGTTGGTGCAAGCGCAAAGATGAAAATAATTACTTGGTCCCAGAGCTGGCTGACCCCAGATGTGATCGGCGGCCAAGTGCGATTGACTCGAAAGTCGTTCGCGGCATGAAAGAGGCGATCCACATGAGACATATTTCTAGCAGGCTGATCAGCAACAATTCACCGTATCGTGAATCTCACGATGGGATAATAAACGACCTACGAATCGAACTTGCCCTTCGTGACACGCAGATCTTCACCTTCCTCCCACTCTTCGTACCACGGGACCTTCCTTGCAGGCGTACCTTCTACAGCGGCAGTCTTCTTCTTGCGTTTCCTCTTGCGCGTGTTGCTCTTGCACTCGTCAGTTGAATGCTTTACGCGCAACTCAACGGTGGGTATCCCTAGGCCATCGCGCTCCATATCTTCCTCGTTCGGGCTGCCAACAACTTCAGCGAATAGCTGTATCCCGCGCGCCCTAAAATCCTTGAAAGGGATGAGTGTCACGCCTGGTGGAGGTTTCGGGAAAGGCGGAAAGTTAATGAACGGCAATTCCTGGGTCGCTGTCGTTTCCGACGCAGAGGGCTCAGCAATCTTTGGAGGCATTTTGATGAACGTTGTGGTAGACAATCAAGATGGGATCGATAACTAGGATATAAGACCTTTTCGGTGCTCGTTCAGATATAGCCTGCCGAAGCATCCGAACCCTGGTGAGTATATCCTCCATAACAAATTGAAAAACATGCTCTTTCCAAATCTAGACCACGCTACTGAGTCATTGCTTGTTACTTACATCGACAATGGTACAGTGAAGTGTTGTACAGTGCGATTCTATAATGGAATTCGTAAAAAAACATAAGACTAAGCCATACAACAGTCCGCTAACACCACAATGGATCCTACCGCACCTCCTTCGGCGGTATCCATTCTGGTATATTCCCCCATTCAAATTTATCTGCCGCGAAGGCGGCCTTTACATCTACTGGTAATATGTCCATGTAGTTTCGCGGCAAAAGTGCAGCATATCTGTCAGGTTTGGTCTGAACTTTAGATCGTGAAAACACAGGTGCTGATGCAGATGGCTTCGAAGCATCGGTTGGGGTTGTTGCCATTGGAGTTGCGAAAGCAGTAGCAACCACAGGAGCAGGAACGCCAAAGGATGGAACTCCGGCGCCTGTGCTACCGAACGCAGACGTCGTTGGCGCTGCTCCGAAGACGGACTGGGATGTTGTGGAGGACCCGCCGATTGGGCTTGGTGCAGATGGTGTAGAGCCAAAGGCACTTTGTGAGGGTGTCGCGGAATTAAAGGCACTTTGTACCTGTGCTGGTGCAGCAAATGCACCTTGCGTTGGGGCAGGGGCGGGGGTTCCAAATGACGGCTGTCCAAACGCCAATGCTTGCGTTGGTGCTGACGCAAACCCAGATGACTGAGGTGCAAAGGCAGAAAACCCGCCACTGGTCCCAGTGCTAGCACCGGTGCTCCCAAATGCCGACGATGGAGCCCCAAATGCGCCTGTGGAAGGTGCCGAAGAGCCAAATGCACCTGACCCAGGTTTAATTAATGATGATTGTCCGAAAGCCGAGATTGGCTGAGCGGTTAAACCGAATGCAGAGGGCTGCCCAAAAGCAGAACTTGGCTGCTGCCCAAATGCTGATGTCGTCTGAACAGGCTGCTCGAACGCAGAACTTGGCTGTTGCGGCTGCCCAAATGCAGACGCTGACTGTTGTGGTTGCGCGAACGCAGATGTTGGTTGTTGTGGCTGCCCAAACGTTGACGTAGTCTGTGCTGGTTGTCCAAACGCAGACGTCGTTTGTGCAGGTTGTCCAAATGCAGATGTCGCTGCGGACGTGCCAAACCCTGTCTGACCAAACGCAGGCTGACCAAATGCAGATTTTCCAAAGGCACTGGAAGTTGCGCCAGACACCGATGGTTGAGGGCCAGAACCAAATGCTGGCCCGCTACCAAACGCTGAACGCCCGCTGAAAGCAGAAACAGGACCGAGTGCACTCGGCCCAGGTGAAGCTACTTCCTTGCTCAATTTGAAAGCAGCGTCATACAACTGTGGAACGTTGCTCCTGGCGCTGTTGTACGCCTGGTCTGAGGCAGCTATCTTGTCTGACTCATATTTCATCTATAGATAGCTTGATCAGCCAAGAAAGAAAGATATTCTTCCCTATTCAGCTACGCACATATTCGTTGATAGTCCCTGCCTTCAGCGCAGTCACTGCCTTCACGCGAAGTTCCTCAAGCGACTCATCCAGTCCAGCGATAACCACTGGTTCATATTTCGCAGCGCCATAGGATGATAGTGGCCATAAAGGCTTATCTTGAAGAGCGGTGACGTCTCTTGCCATTGATTCAATGCTACAAAGCATGGTGTTAACAGATTGGACCGTATGTCGATCTTCCTGCGTCATACATCCCGAATAACTTACGTATATGGAACTACCATGTCTCTCGAATTATTATTGGTCCAACTTTGATCTAATCATTGTATGTGAGAACATGAAAGAAAAGCCCGGGGAAAGTCGAGACAACGTACTCCCAAAACCACCCTGTTGTGCTCTGTCCGCTGGATGCTCGTTGCGACATCTATCGCCGTACTTGCACGCGCCACGTAGATAGTACGTGCAAACTGTCTGACATCACGACTGTTAATGCTGCCTCAAGTTCTCAGAGTGGTAGCGCACCATGGGATACGGATTGGTCGGAACGAAGCAGGGGAATTGCAACCAAATCGAGCTTGTTTGTGCAATCCGTATGTTTACAGATTATGTAATGGCCTTAGAATTCAATAAGGACAAACAACAGTTGTGACTGCTGGTAACTCTACCAGATAGTATGAAAGAGCATCGCAACGTTGATCTTATCTCTTAAACACAGCGGCAGTTTGGAAGAAAGAGTGCTGATCCAAATGGTAGGTCATATTGCAGGGCTCTCTCGAAGCATACTGTATAATTACAATTCGAAACAACGTCCCGTCGTACAATGATGCGCGATATGGTAGTTGCTGAGGGAATTTCACTAGCACTTGACATAATTCGATGGACCGAAGTATGTACAGTTATCTAACCCCCAACAATACTTCATGGAACAAAACATTACAGAACCAAGCCCTTTTGTCGGGAATCACGTTTGGATTTGAATTCGTACCATAGGTAAAACATAATCTCAGGTGACGCAGCCCATTTCAGTGGGGTTTGAGTTTCTGCTCACGGCAGTGTGATTGATGCCATGTGATATGATCACTGGATGGATCTTACAATTGTTAGGCGTTGGGATCGATGGAACCAGTAAGACACGCCGACACAGTTCGATTGTTCTTTGAGACGCTGTGAGTAAAAAGTTTATTTAAATATTGGTGCGCCTACAGAGCACAACGGTACCACCATATCAATCCCACCACCCCCACGTCCTACCCAAAACAAACACAGCTCCAAGACCCGTCAACCAAGAGACACTAAGTACGGCCGTCGATTCAGCTTTGCGTGCATCCACATTTCCGTGTTCATTTGTGACCGCAGTCTCGTAGTAGCCAGTAGAGGTCCGACTGTACGGTGCAGGTTTTTCCGCCAACTGCAGTGGCTCCAGAAGAATACCAGGATTCCCAGAGATGAATAGCAAAACTGCAGCTGCGATATATGGATGCCCGATTGCTGGAAGCGTTTAAGCCGTTCAAGAAATGTTGTCAACAAGAGGCGAATGACCTACACCAGGTGTTGACTCCTGTCAGAGTATGCGAAACACAAGAGAGGGCAATACTCAAACTAGAATCCGAAGTACTCAAAAAATTTCTAGCAGTGCCCCGTAATTCGTTAGTGTCCGAGAGAACAACGCCAGATTTTTTGGAAGAGCCCCAGATTATAGCGCCCCATAATTTAGAAGGGCCCCAGAGAATGATCCTCCACAAGCTGAAAGCGCCCGAGGGAATGACACCCAACAATTTGGAGGCGCCCGAGAGAATATTGTCCCGCAATTTGGAAGCGCCCGAGAGAATAGTCCCCCATACTCTGATCCAGTGGAAGCCGAATAGGTCTAGGTTTCCGTTAGATCATCTGCGAAGAAATCAGATCCCTGTTGACGTACATGATTTCATCTTTATGAGCCGCCGCACCATCTCCTGGTATTGCTGAAACATTGGCATATCAGAGCTCCAGTAGCGATACATGGAAACCTGATGACTAGAAAATGTGCATCAAATCCATCAGTCAAGGCATAATAATCGAGAGGTGAATAACATACACCAATTGTTTAGCCTCTGTCAGAGCATTAGACGTATGAGAGAGGATATCGCCCGATACTTTCGGCCAGTTTATGTTTGGCAGGTGTATATCTTTCTTAGACACAGCTTGATTGCTGAAAAGAGTGTGAACTACATTAACAAGAGGCATGCATAGGACTCAAGAGGCGAAGAACCTTAGTTGTTTGACCTCCGCTAGAGCATCAGACGCGCGGGAGAGAACAGCACCCGACAGTTTCGACCACTCAGGCAAGTTTACATCGGGCGGGGACATAGCCTGATTGCTGAAACACGTTGAGCTACCATCAGCAAAGGCCATGCCAACGCATACTCATAGGGCCAATAACCTCATTTGTTTGACCTCTGCCAGAGCATGAGAAGCACCGGAAAGAACGGTACCCGACAATTTCGACCAGTCGAGCAGGTCTACATCTTCCTTGGGCATGATTGAGCCTGTATGCGTGAAAGGTTAATACCACAAGCTTTCTGCGATTATCAACACTACGAGACCTGGACCATCAATTGTTGTACTCCCACGAAACCAAATCCAAACTTGTCAGACTCACTCTTTTCACAGAGTTATATGACATTCTAATTTGCTGCATACGTTGAGGCATACGCCATATACATAGCTTACATGCAGCTCGAGGGCGACAACAAGCGGGAAGAGGTTCACCAATTCAGAGTCAGCAGCCCGCGTAAGAGCACGACCGACTCCGCGCATATAGTTAGCTAAGCGCTCATTACAAATTTACTCTCTCGTCGACTCAACACTTCCGGCACTCAACAGTACGGCGGGTCATGCACAATCCTACGAGGAAGCGTACATTTTACTGAGTACACGTCGCTTAGTTTTATCGATATGGTTCCATGCTATTTCATGTTCCTGTCACTGACTTCCACTCCCTCCAGATCAACATACACATTATCAACATTGTCCAGCAACCCCATCAATTCCACCACCCCCACGTCCTGCCCAAGACAAACACAGCCCCAATAGCCGACAGCCAGGAGACACCAATCGCAAGCATCGACCCTACTTCAAGATTTCTATTCTCGTCATCGTCATCGTTCGCTGATCTCAGCACTTCCAAGTCATCGTAATATTCAGTGGCCCCGTATGACTGGAGTCTCGCAAAGGTAGAGTCTTGTGGCACGTAGTCACCATATATTTGGGACTGGTACTGAGATGCCAATGAATCTGTCATATTCACGTTTAGGGTCACGAGACACCTGTAGTTGATTGGTTGGGATGTACCTTTCGCTACGCCACGTCCCCTGAAACCGAAAATATACAAGGTGAACCTCCCCAGGAGCTTGAAGGGCCAGAGGATCAACCGAAGCGGGAGGAGACAGATATAAAGTGTTGTTTTTCCTGTGAGCCATAGTGGCGTAAGTAAGATGTCAGGATTGGAAGATATGCATATCAAAGCTCCAGCTGCGACGTATGGATGCCTGATTGCTGGAGAATGTTTAGTATAAACAACGTCGTGAAGAAGAAACAAATAACATACACCAGTTATTGACCTCTGTCAGAGCATAAATTGAAGAGGCGAGAATAGTGTCCCGCAATTTGGGCCAGTCAATGTCGGGCAGGTCTAGTAGAACTTGTTGGGACATGGCTGTGTGCGTGTACGTTTAAAGGACAAGGCCCCAACTGGACAAATTTGTTTATAAAGGCAGCAATAGATAGTAAGCGCCGAGTGTCCTGGCTAACTTAGCGCCTAAAGTTTTGCCCCATGGATCACGTTTCCATGAATCAACCCCGCGTTGTCATTCTCTGGACAAGGGTCATGTATATACGTAGTATCATTGGCTCTTCGACCCGGTCACTCCTAGTTTCCTGGTTCGGATGTTCGTCGCGTAAGTAACACGGTCTGGCAGGCGTTGTGAGAGCTACTGATGGGAATATAGATAAACGTTCTTCAAAATGACTGGTTAGTTTGAGGCGTTCACTCACTCTCGTAATGGGCGTAGCTTCTTCATAGAACGCTATGTGGCATAGGAGCTTACGATGGCACACATATATACCTAGCAGGCAAGTGAGGATTTTCTTGCCCATCACAGCATTTATCCGAACAATTTCGGTGGCGCACGATCTGGTGTACGAAGACCTTCAGAACGTTATTACGCCGAGCGAAGGAGCACGAGTGCCTGATTCTTAGAAAATTAAGTCCATCAGCAAAAGGTGTAAACAAGAACCGAATCACCTGTAAACACCCGTCTAGGCCCTGTGACTGTCAGAGTACGAGAAAACAGCGCCTGACAATTTCTATTAGACCTAGATATCCCTGGGATGTGGCTGCAGGCTTGTATGGAGGATCGAAAGCACAGCCCTAGCACTCCTCTGTACTTTAAGCATCAGTCACGAGCAACTGGCACCAGTGTCCATCAAGTTCCCATAAAATTAACCCAAAATTCGTCATTCTTTTGAGAATAATTACAGGCATACCTCAACAAGATGGTCTCATTTGATACAATACGATACCAGTCGGCTCATTGGAGCCACCACCCCCACTCCCGGCCCAAGACAATGGCAACTCCAACATACGACAACAAGGAAATAAGCGTCGATGGGACTATCCACATGGTGGCCCCAACTGATTGAAGATGCGCAAATCCAGAGCCTCGTGGCACAGTACCACCGTAGTAGTTGGACTGATATTGGGATGCAAATGAACCTGAAGGCGTGTTTAGTTAACAAGTGGAAACCGTTGTTTTTGTGTACCTTGCGCTACTCCTTGACTCCTGAAGCCAAAACACCAGACAATGAGCTGTACCGGGAGAAGACACAAGAACACCGCAATTGTTCCCGTTAGCTGCAATAATGTCAAGAAGACTCCAATATTTGCGATTGCAGAGATGAATATCAGGGCTCCGGCCGCCGCGTATGGGTGTATGATCGCTGTAAAATATGTATCAGTATCATGTCATATATCGTGATCAAGAGCTGGATGACACTTACACCAGTCATTGGCTTCTGTCAAAGCGAACAAAATACTGGATAGAATAGTGCCCCACAATTCGACCCTAGAAAGTATGCATCAAGCGCTCCCATCAATAAAGACATAAGATGGAGTAGCAAAAGCCATACAACAGACGTCCGGCCTGTCCCAGAGCATTGAGAATGTCGGCCCATACTTTGGACCAGTCTATGTCTTTCTGGGACGCAGCCTCATTGCTATGTATCGAACCGCGTCAGCGAGGGCGCAATAATTAAGAGGTGGATAACATACGCGCGTTGTTTGGCCTCTGTCAGAGCATAAGACGCTTGGGAGAAAACACTGCCTGCTAACTTTGACCAGTCGGACATTATGATAATTGGAGGCATGAATGGCAATACGTGGTACCACAGGCTTTGTGATAGTATGGACGAAACGACCGGTGTGGGTTATAACCAACCGACTCAAACGTGCACCAATTCAGCTCCCACGAATCCAACCTGTCCTCAGTCGTTTGACAAACCGCATCTGTCGGAAGCATCTGCCACCTTAAAGTTTGCTGTGTGCCTCGAGGTCACACAGGTTTACCCATATATAATACAGCATGCATGCAACTCGAGGTCGAGAAGCCAGAAGCTTGGCCAAAAGCAGGAATGAGCTAAATATTTATATCAGATTGGCAGCCGCATGTCACATTCGAAGACATCTTCTGGAAAGTCAAATTAGCTAGTCAAGCCTCCATATGGCCTCGATCGCAGGGGTAAGGAGAATGTGAGTATTAGGTAAATGAGGATCGAATCAATTCAGAGTCAGCATCCTATGGGCCATGCAAGGACCGCGACGTACTCCGCGTGTTACGATCTCTATGTTGGCCGGTCACAAATTCACACTAGTACTGTTACGAAGCCCTCGCCAAGCGCGACCACTCCCGACCCAAGATAATCACAGCTCCAGTATATGACAACAATGAGATAAGCGTCGGGGTGGCTGTCGGCATAGCCCCATATGATTGGAGTTTCGCAAACCCAGAGCCTCGTGGCACATTACCACCGTAGCAATGGGACTGATATTGGGATGCAAACGAACCTGTTATGGCGTGTTTAGTTAGCAAATGGAAAGCGACGTGTTTGTCACCTTTTTCTACTCCTCGACTCCTGAAGCCAAAACACCAGATAATCAACCGCGCCGGGAGAAAACACAAGAACATTGTAGTTGTTCCCGTGAGCTGCAGTAGTGTCAGAAGCATCGCAGGATTTTCAAACGCAGAGATGAGTAGCAAGGCTCCAGCTGATTGATATGGATGCCTGATTGCTGAAAAGTATTTATCAATCCAATAAAATCGTGATTAAGAGCTGAACGACACCTACACAAGTTATTGACCTCTGTCAAAGCGAACATACCGCTGGAGACAATACTGCCCCACAATTTGGTCCAGTAGTTACGTAACATGGCTAGATTTCCGTTAGATCGTCTGCGGCAAACTTAGATCCGTTTTAATTTACTAGAAATTACATCAACCAAGGGGCGTAGTTTCTCTTGTAATTGCTGGGACACAATCGCCACAGCAGAGCGCCAGTTGCGGTACATGAATACTTGATTGCTAGAGTGCATAAAGCCCATCAACGGAGGCATGATAATCAAGCAGCGAATAGCATACACCAATTGTCTTGCTGTTGCCAGCGCACTAGAAGCATGAGAGAGAATGTTGCCCAATACTTTAGACCAGTTAATGTGTGTCAGGTCCAGATCTTTTTGTGACACGGTCTGATCACTGAGATGGGCGTATCGAGCTACATCAGCAAGGGCATAGAAATCAAGGAACGGAATGCATACACCAGTTGTTTGGCATCTGTCAGAGCATCAGACGCACGGGACATAACATTGGCTGACAATTTGGGCCAGTCAACGTTTTGTAGGTCTATATCTCTCTGAGACGCGGCCTGATTGCTGCATGTTGAACCGCGTCAGCAAAGGTGTAGTGATTACGAGGCAGAGAACATACACCAGTTGTCTGGCCTCTGTCAGAGCACCAGACGTACGGGAGAGAACATTGCTCGATACTTTAGACCAGTCGATGTTTTTAGGGTCTAGATCTTCCTGAGAAATGGCTTGACTGCTGAGATATGTGTACACATTGTATCGCATCAGCAAAAGGCTAAGAATCAAGGAGCGAATAACCCACACTCGTTGTTTAGCCTCTGTCAAAGCATCAGACGCTTGGGATAAAACACTGCTCGCCAATTTCGACCAGTCGGACATGGTTGTAGGTGTGAAAGGTCGACTTGAACACCAGAGGTTTCGTGATAGGCCGCGTGCGCACGAACGACTGTGAGCGCTCATCGGCTCGGACGTCCATCAATCGAGCTCCCACGAAATCCAACCCAAGCGTGTTGTTAATCATTTGACTTGAAGCCATCTTCAACATGTGGAACCCGAAATTTTGCTGCATACATCGGATGCCACACAATCACCAGCATCATATTGTGAGGTCGAGAAGCTGGAAATTTGGCCACGAGTATAAATGAACCATCAGTCCCATCCTGTCGGCGATGGATATCATGTAGTACACGTCACGGAAGATATGGCATCTGGAAAGTCAAGCCGTCAAGCCTCTATGTGATTCTATACCACATGACTAGCTGGGAAGTTGAGCATGGCGCGGACTAATTTAGAGTCAGCAGTCCGCGTCGCACTAAGGGTCCCGGCAGACTCCGCGCAGCTTCCGCGAGTCGCGTGTTACAGACTCTAATTCCGAGCCACGATCACATACTCGTGCTAGTATTGTTTTCAACACGACAATGCTAAGCTTAAGCAGTATGACGGGGCTATGCAAGTCGACAGCGAATTCACGGGATCACGCGTCGTTCTACTGAGTAGACGAATATGCCTCATACTTATAATGATAAGTTGCATCAATTAATGAGTATAGCATCACAAGTATTCCATGTTGCTGACACTGACTCAACTCCCTCTATCGAACACCCACAATACCGCCCACAGCATCAATACCACCATCCCCAAGCCCCCACGAACCAACCCAGAACCCTGTCATTCATTTGACCATGGTGGCATGCATACCTCAACAAGATGATCCCATTTCAATAGCTTCCATTCGATACAAAACGATACCAGTCCCCTGATTGGATCCACCACTCCCGGCCCAAGATAATCACAGCTCCAGTATATGACAACAATGAGACAAGCGCCGAGATAACTGTCGGCATGGTGGCCCCATATGATTGGAGTTCCGCGAATCTAGAACCTCGTGGCACATTACCGCCGTAGCGACGGGACTGATATTGCGATGCAAATGAACCTATTATGGTATGTTCAGTTAGCAAGTAGAATGCGCTTGTGGTTGTGTACCTTTTTCTACTCCCTGACTCCTGAAGCCAAAACACCAGTTAATCAACCGCACCGGGAGAAAACACAAGAGCATTGTAGTCATTCCTGTCAGCTGCAATAATGCCAAAAGCATCGGAAGATCTTCAAACGCAGAGATGAATACCAAGGCTCCAGCTGATGTATATGGATGCACGATTGCTGAGAAGTAGTTATCAATCCAACAGCATCGCGGTCAAGAGCTGAGTGATACCTACACCACTTATTGACCTCCGTCAAAGCGAACAAAACGCTGGAGAGAATACTGCCCCACAATCTGGCCCGGCAGTTGTGTAATATGCCTAGATCTCCGTTAGATTGTCTGCGGTGAAGTTAGACACGTCTTAATTTACTGGAAAATACATCGAGCAAGGGGCGTAGTTTCTTCTGTAATTGCTGTGATATAATTGCCATAGCAGAGCGCCAGTTGTGGTATATGAATACCTGAGTGCTAGAATGCATATAGCCCATCAACGAAGGTACGATAATCAAGCAGCGAATAACATACACCAGTTGTCTTGCTGTCGCCAGCACACTAGAAGCATGAGAGAGAATGTTGCCCAATACTTTAGACCAGTCAATGCTTGTCAGGTACAGATATTTCTGTGACACGATCTGATCGCTGAGATGGGCGTATCGAGCTACATCAGCAAGGGCATAGAAATCAAGGAACGGAATACATACACCAGTTGTTTGGCATCTGTCAGAGCATCGGACGCACGGGACATAATATTGGCTGACAATTTGGACCAGTCAACATTTTGTAGGTCTGTATATCTCTGAGATGCGACTTGATTGCTGCGTGTTGAACCGCGTCAGTAAAGGTGCAGTAATTACGAGCCAGAGAACACACACGAGCTGTCTGGCCTCTGTCAGAGCATCAGACGCACGGGAGAGAACATTGCTCGACACTTTAGACCAACCAACATTTTGTAGGTCCATATATCTCTGAGATGCGGCTTGATTGCTGCGTGTTGAACCGCGTCAGCAAAGGTGTAGTAATTACGAGGCAGAGAACATACACGAACTGTCTGGCCTCTGTCAGGGCATCGGACGCACGGGACATGACATTGGCTGACAATTTGGACCAGTCAACGTTCTGTAGGCCTATATCGCTCTGAGATGCGGCTTGATTGCTTCGTGTTGAACTGCATCAGCAAAGGTGTAGTAATTACAAGGCAGAGAACATACATGAGCTGTCTGGCCTCTGTCAGAGCATCGGACGCACGGGACATAATATTGGCTGACAATTTGGACCAGTCAACGTTTTGTAGGTCTATATCCCTCTGAGACGCGGCTTGATTGCTGCATGTTGATCCACGTCAACAAAGGTGTGGTAATTACGAGGCAGAGAACATACACCAGTTGTCTGGCCTCTGTCAGAGCATCAGACGCACGGGAGAGAACATTACCTGATACTTTAGACCATTCGATGTTCTGTGAGTCTAGATTTTCCTGAGCAATGACTCCATTGCTGGGTATTTGTATACATTGTACCGCATCAGCAAAAGGCTAGGATTCAAGGAGCAAATAGCCCACACTCGTTGTTTAGCCTCTGTCAAAGCATCGGACGCTTGGGAGAAAACACTGCTAGCCAATTCCGACCAATCGGACATTGCTGTAGGTGTGAAATGTCAACTAGAATACCAGAGGTTTTGTGATAAACACGACTGTAAGCGCTCATCGGCTCAGACGATCAATCCAGCTCCCACGAAATCCAACCCAAACCTATCGTTAATCGTCTGATAAGCCATGCGGTACCGGAATTTTTGCTGCGTGCGCCGATGTCATAGTCACCGGCATGTATATTGTATACTGGCAGCTCGAGGTCGAGAAGCTGGAAGCTTGGCCACGAGCACAAATGAACCAACAGTCCCATCCTATCGGCAGCTGGGTATTATGTGGTTCACGTTACGGAAGCCTTGAATGTATCTGGAAAGACTCTCTGGTGCAGGTCCGCGATTGACGTAAGCTTACTAAGGACCGCGGCAGACTCCGCGCAGCTTCCGCGACAGTCTCTAACTCCAAGTCACGATCACACACCCATATGTAGACGAATACTTATGAGTTGCACTAATGAGTATGGTATTCCATATTGCTGACACTAGTACTGACTCAACTCCCTCCATCGAACACCCACAATACCGCCCATAGCATCAATACCACCATCCCCACGCCCTACCCAAGACAAACCAAACTCCAATACTCGTTATGAAAGACACAGGAGCCGCAAACATCGATCCTGTTTCATCTCCCTCCTCATGGTCATCAGTAGCCCCATGCGTCACAGCCTGGAATTTTGAAAAGGTAGACTGCGGTGGTACATAGCCACCATAACGACGGGATTGGTATCGGGCTGCGTATGAACCTTTCATGGCGTGATGAGACAAGTCCTGTAGTCACTACTGCTGTGATTGAAGGCACACCTTTTGCTACACCCTCTCTCCTAAAACCGAAAATATACAGGATAAACCTAGTCAAGAGTTTGAATGGCCAAAGGATCAATCGAAATGGGAAGAAGCATGTATAACGCGCAAGCCGCAGTGGTGTCAGAAGGAGCTCGGGATTTCCAGAGATGCACGATAGAGCTCCAGTTGCGATATATGGATGTCTGATTGCTAGCGAAGAGTGCATAGTTTTTTTTTCAACGATGAGTCATGTGCATGAACAGTGAAGAAGTGAAAACTTACACCAATTGTTGAGCTCTGTCACAGCATCGCAAATGAGACAGGTACTTGCGTCCCACAATATCGACGAGTCGAAGTCAGCCAGGTCTAGGTCTTGCTGGGACATGGCTGTATGCAGTCAAAACCATCCACAAAATTAAAGAAGTTCGGTTTTGTAGGCACCAGGGCATGATAACTTTAAATAAGCGCCGGGCGCCAATGCCATCAAGTTTGTATGACACCAACTGCGTTATTCGCTTGACATATCATGCTACTACCCCCCAACGTAGATTTTACTTATACATCAAGGCTACACATTCGCTCATGCAGTTCAGTTAATGATGACACAACATCTACCTGTCAAAAATTGGAAGCTTGGGTGCCAAAATGCAGACGTACGTTAGATCTGACAGCTAGAAAGTCAGTTCCACGACGGGGACGACGGGGAAGATAAAATACACGAGTATGAACAAAGACAACAATCGACGCCTTGGAAGTTTTGTTGGTAGGTGGGAATGCGTAAAAGGCGTCCGCGTCATGTGGCATCTGCATCGGTAGTGCTGGCGAGTTGAGATCATGTTTCTGTGTCACAGACCACTGAAACATGTCGCAACTCGCAAGCGCCAAATGCCAGGTGTGGGTAACTGCCTGGACATATTTGTATGCGCACTGATCGAGAATATCCATGTGATGTGACACTCATGAGAACGCCAGGGATGGGCAACATAACATACCAGCAGGGGAAGGCTCTGATAACGCTCAGTCAACATGTTCCCAAATCTCACCCAGCTGGGATGGCGTAGCGACGTGGCAAGGCAAAGGGTTACATTGATGCGTTTGTAGATCGTCGCACTACAAGCAATGTGCCTAGAGAAGCGGGGGCTCTGAACAATATTACCGGAAGGTGTGAGCCGAAGGGGGCTGCTTTCGACGCTTCCAAGGGTACAAGCTCTGCTAGCCAGGCAGAGATGGTGGACTGCACGATAGGGCGTCCGCGTAGCACGCAATGGTGTATACATCGAGCGCTGGTGAGCTAGGCTGTGAGGAGTATTGCCGCACAACTTCACACCAGCGTCAGAACGCACAACCAGCCTGATATTTTAAAGTACCAAAATTTTAGTGGGCATCGACAGGCAGAGTGACATCAAATCAGAAAAATACCACTTGAGCGCACAGAAGGAGTGAAAGAGAGCCATTGAATAGGGCGCACCGTGATCATGGGTAGACGAGATATTGACTGACCCCATAGTAACGCTATGACAACAGATCTCGCCCGTCTGTAGGCCTTGGACGTTAAACTTCATCTGGGCACAAAGACAAGAGGGAAAGAACTTTGCATTGGGGTATTTATAAGCCGGTGTATGAACAGGGAAGCCATTCTGGTCTCGATTCAACCTTTCATGATGAAAGCTGAAGGACGGATATAAGAAGTCGACGAGATGCTTGCACCACAAAGAAATTCTTCCAAGACGCTCCCAACTTAGCACAGAACGATGTGATCACAGTGCAGGTACAGGATCCGGCTTCGTGCAAGGAACATTAATAGAGTGCTTCAGCATTGTGCAAATGAGCAAGCAGAGACACGGTATGTTCAACGTCGCGAAACTCACAACTTGGAAGGGATCAAAAGATAGCTTTAATTGTGCTTGTCGTTGTTTGGCACACACTGGCATAAGTCTCCCGGATTACGACTATGTCAAACGTCATTCTACGATATTCAAGATCTCGATTTGCCATGCTGCAGCTCTAGCTTGTACTCGGGTCTTCTGTATGATGCAATCGCAGCCCTTGGATACGGGGCATATCCTGTCTCCAGGACGGACAGAATCTGATGACTTCGCTCTGGCCCGGGATGACGCACACAAACGAACGCGAATAGAAGCCAACTTTGTTCTATACATATTGACGACTGAGCACATTAATCTGCAGAAATCATACCACCTTTGACATCCAGATGCTGACGTTCGTCGTTCCTCCATCATTTCTTTGATCTTGATTGTAATGGTGGTGATGCGCGTCGCATCTTGCTTACCATGTTCTTGTACCCATCCTCCTCAATCCATGCCCAACTTCCGCAACAATCTTGCATCTCTGCTGGCTCCCAAACTCGCCATCTATCACATACAAAAATATGTGTATCCCCTTACACGTTCATTCCCTTTGCGGTATGTGCGTAGATTTGCCTCAGCACTGTAAGTTTTTTCTTCCGAGGTCCCTCGTCCGTCCTGCTCTCCATTGGAAATGCATACCTCATCGAGGTTATCGGATGAAGTTTCACTCCAACACCTCAGAACTCCAACAAGGACGAATATCAAGGCAGAAATCAGTTGTGCAAGGCCTTAGTAAACCTTACGATGTGGGACAGGCAGAGTACAGGAAGAAGATCATCGGACATCAATATCTCGCATGGAATACAAGTTAGAATACACATATGATGATCGGACTTATCTCAGACTGAAACGTCAAGACAGACGCGCGAGACGATGTCCAGAAATGATTTCAAGAGAAAGTAAAGAGATTCGGAAACATAGGATAAACATATTCAAGTAGGCCAGTATACTATGGCACAAGCACCGAGGGCTATTTGTGATACGACTACCGTCAAGGTACAAATGAAAACTACTCGAGGATCTCTATGTTTCAAACCATATATGTAAGTAACTATCCACTGCGAGCGCACCATCTCCCTAGAAAGCGTAGAGCGCGTTTCGATCTTACTTGAGAGCTGAGTGAAGTGCAGTTGATGATCATACATGGGGAGACATTACTGAAATACTCACCAGTGAACCAAGCACGTAAGCCGGCCTTCATATCATCATCAGTCTTATCCATGATTGACAGATAAGATTCGACTGGCCGCTCCAATACTACCTGCTCGAAAGAGTGCATGACACTGTTGTCGGTTCGCGGTATTCCACAAGGACTTGAGGTCCCAGTCAAAGAGCTGCGGAAAATACAGCAGTTGAGCACAAATTATTTTGTTTCGACTGATGTCGTATCTGCGTACCGCGACAAATTCGTCATACATCAAATGAATTGGCGATTTGTAAAAGAAAGTGCTAGCATTGACGGCGGCAGTGAAGTGTTCAACAGCTTCGTTGTAGCGCGCACCATTAAAGGCAATGTTTCCAAGTTGGACGCGTAGGTTGGCCTGGTGTACGAAGGATAAAGACATCAATGATAGCACATGAACCTGATGTGATAGAACGCATGGTACTCACTTCCACAACACGACAAGCAACAAGATCGACATTGGGACACTGCGGCTAGCTCTCCAACTGCGAAGCATCGCCTCTTGATATTCATTTGCATTGAATAACGTAATGGCCTAAAAACTGCGATGAAGCACTGGAGCATGTTAGAAAGATATCGCCTGCCTTAACCAAGAAAAGGAAGTGATTGGTCTTTAAATCTCCCTTTGTAAACAGGGATGCGAGATCAAATGATATTCTTGCGGCCTAGAACCTGCTTTTTTCCGCAGAAGGCAATGCCCTTCGAGATGTGGCCTGCCAACGATGGCCGAATGGTGACAGACTAGGCCATCATCAAAGTTAGCTTTTGTAGGGAGGTCATGATGGGTGAGTCAGTCTCACCTGAATTGCATCTTTAAGCGCTTGGTCCCAGTCACGCTTTCGCACCATAAGAAATGCGCGATTGGCATACGCGGTGTGATCGTTGGGGTGAGCCTCAATATCTAGATTTAGCACCTTTTCAGCGGTAGGCCAGTCTCCGACTATGCACGCATTGCGGACAGTCGAGTTCATAGCGAGGACCTGCGTAAATCATGTTCGCATTGCTGTTATATGAATCAAAGGTGAGAACGTGCCTTGAAATCAGAGTAGGCTTGAGTCTTGGATAAAAAAGACGTTTAGATGATGAATAGGCGGGAAACTGAAAACAAAATTACCTGGTGCGTCGCCTGCTCTTTCATGAGGCCATCCCTTGTACCATCCTCTGGTAAAGCCGCGTCCTCGGGTGTTGGCCACTCTGAGATCTTTTTATCCACACCTCCACTGAGGATGCGCTTGTCATCCGCAGAGAACGTGACGCAGTTCACCTCCTTCGGAGTGCTTGAATATGGCAATGTTTCGTTGATCTGAGAGTCGCCAGAGACGGACACGATTGTCATGAGATGCGGAGGCAAGGAGAGTGCCGCTAGAGTTCACAGAAATGGCGTTGATATTCTTGGAATGGCCCCCCCAGGATCACCGACCTGCTGCCAGGTCGATGTATCCCACTCTCGTATGGTGGGATCAGGCCCACTGCCCCCGAGAGAAGCCGTGAGCCATCGGGCGTCCACGCGATTGAGTAGTTGAATCCTCCACTAGTCCTTGTCCTCAACTGACTGGGGAATGGAGATGTGGGATTGTGATTGTAGCTGTAACTGTGCATGCTACGGTAATTCTGGTAAATTTGGACATCGTGGTCTGTTGCAATCGCAAGAAGTGTTTCATGATAGCCATGCGGCGAATACCGAACGCAGCGGACATTTCCACCGCAACTGAGTGTACATTGCACCTGCCACGTTGATGTCCGCCATGGCTTCGTGGTGGTGTCAGATGATCCACTGGCCAGCGCCATGGAATCAGGAGAAAAGTCAAGCGAAAATATCCAGCCGTCGTGAGCCTTGATTGCTTCATTGAATGGTTCCCCGGTTTTTCCATGCCAGGTGATGAGCTCTCCGCTCTCATCACCGCTTGCTATCCATCTCCCATCTGACGATACCGCCAATGCCCGCACCCGACTGCGATGCCCCTTCATCTTCTTCAACACTACACCTGTTTTTAAGTCCCAGAGACGAAGCATCCCGTCATACGATCCTGTGACCATGCGTTCGTCGTGGAGGGCTGCGACCGCGACCACGCGATCCCCGTGATCTTCGAATGTTCGAATGGGTGTGATGTTTGGAATGAGGGCCGTCATTTTAGTGGAGCTGCAGCGCAGCTGAGGTGGATCTGGTGTGCGTGGGGATGGCGTCTTACTCGAAGTTACAGAGGTGCGTGTGATGGGGCATTTTAAACCTGCTTTTTAGTTTACCCTCTCACTAGACGCCCAAGATACGAGGCTTTTCATCATAAGTACCTTGCTTGATGATCTAAACGGATCAACTCATTCGTCCAAGTCGTGTCGCCGCAACCTTCCACATCAGTCAACGAGCCTGATCGTGGTTGTTTCAGGGGTCCACGCGGCAGATAGGAAGACGACATAAACGGTTCACCTGATTCACCTAATTGGCCATGCCCTCGAATTTTCACCAAGCCGACATCCAAAGATGTACCATTCCACCCGGCAACACGTTAAACCTGCTCCCTGGAACGTTCATAGCGGAGATCCTACGGTTGCGAGGCCTCCTTTAATCTCCTCTGGTTGTCAGCATTATGTGTATGTGATTTGCCATTAGCATCGAAGACAGTCGACAAAATCAATCGTTTCAAACTCGATCATCGAATAGGCATTTGCTATTCATCCAAAGTCAGCTATTAGTAGCTGAACCTTGGACTATTTTGGATTCGAGGTTTTGCAGCGGCAACTCGAAGACTTGTTGTTTCTCGGATTTCCGGTGGTTGAGGATGGCGATTAGTATGGCGATGACCCTGTAAGCCTGGTGGCTTACGTACACCTACACATATCAAGTAGGCCAGTGTATCATGACACGAGCACCAAGGGCTATTCGAGCGATACAACTACCGTCAAGGTGCAAATGGAAATTATTCGAGGATCTCTGTGTTTCAAACCATATAAGTAACCGTTTGCTGCGAACAAACTATCTCCATAAAAAGTGTAGAGCGCATTTCGATCTTACTTGAGAGCTGAATGAAGTTCAGTTGATGACTATAGACAGAGAGACACTACTGAAATACTTACCAGTGAGCCCAGTACGTAAACCGGCCTTCATATCATCATCAGTCTTATCCATGATAGACTGATACGATCTGATGGCTGCTCCAAAACTACCTGCTCGAAATAGTGCATAACACTGTTGCTGGTTCGCAGTGTACCACAAGGACTTGAGGTCCCAGCCGAAGAGCTGCAGAAAACATGCGGTTGAACATAAAAGAATTTTCGGTTGTATGATATCAGCGTACCGCGACAAATTCGTCGTACATCAAATGAATAGGCAATTTGTAAAAGAAAATGCTAGCATTGACGGCGGCAGTGAAGTGTTCAACAGCTTCATTATGGCGCGCGCCATTCAAGGCAATAGTTCCCAGTTGGATGCGTAGGTAGGCCTGGTGTACGAAGGTTAAGAGAAATCAATGACAGCACATGAACCTAGTGTGATCGAGCATATGGTACTCACTTCCACGATACGACAAGCAACAAGATCGACATTGGGACACGTAGCTAGCTCTCCGATGCGGAGTATTGCCTCTTGATGTTCATCTGCGTTGAATAACGCAATAGCCTAAAAACCGCAATGAAACACAGAGTATGTTAGAAAAATATTACGTGCCTTGATCAAGAAAAGGAAGTGATCGGTTTTTAAATCTCCATTTGTGAACATGGATGCGACATCAAATGATATCCTCGCGGCCAGAACCTGCTTTTTTCCGCAAAGGGCAATGCCCTTGGAGATATGGCCTGCCAACGATGGCTGAATGGTGACGGACTATCCCATCATCAAAGTTAACTTTTGCAAGGAGGTCGATCAGTCTCACCTGAAATGCATCTTGAAGCGCTTGATCCCAGTCACATTTTCGTGCCATAACAAATGCGCGATCTGCATAGGCGGTGTGATCGTTGGGGTGAGCCTCGATATCTAGATTTAGCACCTTTTCAGCGGTAGGCCAGTCCCCGACTATGCACGCATTGCGGACAGTCGAGTTCATAGCGAGGACCTGCGTAAATCATGTTCGCATTGTGTTATAAGAATCAAAGGTGAGAACGTGCCTTGAAATCAGAGTAGGCTTGAGTCTTGGGATAAAAAAGACGCTTAGATGATGAACAGGCGGGAAACTGAAAACAAAATTACCTGGTGCGTCACCTGCTCTTTCATGAGGCCATCCCTTGGACCATCCTCTGGTAAAGCTGCGTCCTCGGGTATTGGCCACTCTGAGATCTTTTTATCCACACCTCCACTGAGGATGCGCTTGTCATCTGCAGAGAACGTGACACAGTTCACCTCCTCAGAGTGCTTGAATGTGGCAATATTTCGTCGATCTGAGAGTCGCCAGAGGCGGACACGGTTGTCATGAGATGCGGAGGCAAGGAGAGTGCCGCTAGAGTTGAGACAAATGGCGTGGATATTCTTGGAATGGCCCCCCCAGGAATCACCGACCTGTTGCCAGGTCGATGTATCCCACTCTCGTATGGTGGGATCAATCCCGTGACCCCCCGAGAGAAGCCGTGAGCCACCGGGCGTCCACACAAGTGAGTAGTAGAATCGTCCACTAATCCTTGTCCTCAACTGGTTGGGGAATGGAGATTTGGGATTGTAATTGCGATTGTAATTGTACGTGTTACAGTAATTCTGGTAAATTTGAACATCGTGGTCCGTTGCAATCGCAAGAAGTGTTTCATGATAGCCATGCGGCGAATACCGAACGCAGCGGACATTTCCACCGCAATTGAGTGAATGTTGCACCTGCCATGATGACTCTATGCTCCGTAGCTTCACGGTGGTGTCGGATGATCCACTGGCCAGCGCCTGGGAACCCTGTGAAAAGTCAAGCGAAAATATCCAGCCGTCGTGGGCTTCATTGCTTAGTGGTTGCCGGTAGTCTGGTTCCCAAGTTGGTCCACGCCAGACAATGAGCTTTCCGCTCTCATCACCGCTTGCTATCCGATACCCATCTGGTGAAACAGCCAATGCCCGCACCCGACTGCGATGCCCCTCCATCTTCTTCAACACTACACCTGTCTTCAAGTCCCAGAGACGAAGCATCCCGTCATACGATCCCGTGACCATACGTTCAAGTCTATCATATGTGCAGAAAGCCGCGACTGCGACCACGCGATCCCCGTGATCTTCGAATGTTCGAATGGGTGTGGTGCTTGGAATGAGGGCCGTCATTTTAGTGGAGCTGCAGCGCACTTGAGGTGGTCTTGGTGCGTGTAGGGATGGCGTCTTACTCGAAGTTGCAGAGGTGCGTGCGATGGAGCATTTAAACCTACTTTTTAGTTTATCCTCTCACTAGACGCCCAAGACACGAGGCTTTCACCATAAGTACCTTGCTTGATGATCTAAACGGATGAGCTCATTCGTCCAAGTTGTGTCGCCGCAACTTTCCACATTAGTTAACGAGCCTGATCGTGGTTGTTTCAGGGGTCTACGCGGCAGATAGTTCACCTGACTGACCTAATTGGCCATACCCTCGAATTTTAATTGAATCGTCACCCAAAGACGTAGCATTCCACCCGGTGACATGTTGGGCTTCTATTCCCTGGAACGTTCGTAGTGAAGATCCTATGGTCACGGGCTTTCCTGATAATCTCCTCTGGTTGTCAGCATCATGGATATGCGTGATTGTCATTAGCATTGAAGATAATCGACAATCAATCGTTTCAAACTCTGATTAACGATCATCGAATAGATATTTACTATTCATCCCAAGTCAGTTATAGTTGCACGTTGGATTGTTTCGGCGTTCTGGATTTGACAGTGCTCGAGGCTACATTTGCACATAAAAGCTCTGTAGCTCAGTGAGCAATACCGATGATGTGCTTATCGCACATGACGGTGTGGTGACGTGATGTTTGGCGAGAATGTCACTATTTCAAATACAACGACCTTGTTATATATGCGACCGTTTTATTGAGCAGTATTAATGAACATACATCCACATTGAGCAAAACGAGTGTCTCAATTTTGACCAGTTCAAAACGATCAATATTCGACGTGAGATACTCGAGGATCATCTGAATCATGTATTCATCTTGTGATGGAATTTAGCAATTGTGCTCAGTATTGCACTGGAAGATACACGGTGTAAAATCGATGTATCTGAAATATCCAAGGACGGAACTGTTAATCCTGCGGAAGAAATTCGTGCGACTCCCACGTACGGTGTAGGATTGATGTATATATTTAAGCGTAAAATCATCAGCGTGGAAGACATAGTAGTGGATTGGTCCATAGAGTCAACTGCAACCAAGAGTACTATCGAGGCTGTCATTTATTGTGCCATCTTGGCGAGGTAGGAGCGATATCAAACAGAGAAATACCATTTAAACGCGTAGGAGTGAAATAGAGCCGTTGAATAGGACGCGCCGGATCATGGATAGAGAGGACATTGACGCCATGTTGAAGACAACACTCGCTTGTCTGGCCTTGGACATTAAACTTCGTCTGGGTACAAAGACAAGAGGGAAGATCTTTGCATTAGGGTATTCGAGTGACAGTGATAAACAAAGAGCGAAGTATGTGTTTGGCTGTCGGGTATGGAATGCCGCCGTGAGATGATTGAATCACATAGGCGACGCGTTCTAGAGACTGTTTTCAGTAACTGAATTTGATTGATGATTTAGGAGGCATTCGCTTTGCGGTCATGACGGTACTCACAAGCATTGATGTCATCAGTGCGCTTGGCAGCTTGAGCATATAACTCATCAAGAACCTGTTCGGCAAGAGCGTCGACGTTGTCTGAGCGTTTCGATGAACCGGTCACGCCATCGAGGGCATTTTTGACCGCTACAGTGTCAAGTCAGAATCTGGCGGTGAAAGAAATGGCACATATCGTACCGGTGGCAATTTGGGAGACAGTGTAAGTGCCACGCTTGGATAGCGTGAGGTCATCGGCATGGAAGTTGTCGAGAACCCTTTCCACAATTGCGTAGACACCGGCATCACGTTTGTCAGCCTTTGACCGAGTTGCCGCGTTGGTCTTCTTCAAATTGTTCGCTTCGCTGACGACAACTACAATATAATAATCAGATTGGGAAATACGAATTGATGACGATAACGACGCACTTGCTTCGATTTCTTCATACGAGTAACGTTTCTCCTCACCGCGTTTGGACCTGGCGCTGAGAGCGTTGGCTCTGGCCTTGTTCACAACATCCCTGATCTCTGAGAGATTGTTCAATATGTGAACTAATAACCGAGAAGAAATACTTACGAGCAGTAGCTCTGGCAACATTGCAGTCATCGCGCTTCAAGACAGTGATTGTACCGTTGTTAAGCACGTTGTAGATGACTATTCGGTTCCGATCAGGTTATAAACCCCGACTTAAGACGAGCGACTTACTACCGTCGATGTCAATGACACTGCATCCGTCATCTCGCCGCGAGAGTTCAAACAATTTGACGACCTCGTCGAAGGCTGAAATGTCATTCTGATCAACATTGCCATCAGGTCATGAATATATTTCATGCTTACAGGGGGAATCATTTTCAACTGCTTCAGCACGAGTTCCCACATTGACCGTGAGATCGTTGGCAACGTCCTCAACAACTACAGCGAGAACACAATTAAGAGGCGAAACGCATCATGGAGATGGGACTTACCGGCAGTAACGTCAGCCACACTGCCAGGAATGGGGGAAGCAAATACAGAGGCGAAAGCAGCGAAGGCAGCAAAAAGTGCGAAAGATTTGGGCAACATGGTGGCAGTGGGGGGAGGGACGATTGAAGGAAGTAGGGGGAGCGTGCGCGGAGATACAAGCCTAGAGCAAAAAGCTAAGGTCTTCCATGGCCTGCATTTTATACCGCAAGACGAGCTTGCCGAAATTTACTCTCAGGGATCCCGAGTAATATGCCTCAGTTTGTACATACCTGCGGGACCCTGCTGCGACTCGGAACCCCGAACGGCCATTTGTCAGTAAAACGAACCAAAGAAAATTAAGAGCAAGTTCTTAGTGTTTTCGTTATGCCGTGTCTCTCGCTTATTCAAACGTAACTCTACGTAAACACAGGGTCAATTTGCTTGATCGGCTTTAGTGCATTTATCGACAGAAGAGTCTCGGATATACAAATCGCGTAATATGTGAACATTGGGCTCGGAACTGAAGCCCGACCCGGCGAAATCAGAGTGAGATTGTGCGAGCGCAATCGCAGGATGTTTGAGCAGGATTCTCCGTATGGGAATGACCGAAGTATGTAGTATGTAGAAGCTCAGGTGGAGCGCGTACATAGGGGTCAGACAAATTGCTTCCGATGCAGGATCGTCCTTACATACGTCAGAAATCATCAATCGTGGAGGATGTAGCAGTGGATCGGTCCACGCAACGCCAACTGCAACCATGAGCACCACTATTGCTACTAGTGTGTATCATGCTATCCTGACCGGGTATATCAACACACTCCAAGCGCCACCGGGGAGGCATCCTCAGTCTGCCATGAGACCGGCATAAATAGTAGCGCAGGCACGCCTCAACTCAATGCCCGTCTGAGAGTGAATCTATGTCAGACGACTCGGCATCCTGGGGCACTTCCGCATGTCAAGACGGACGTCGGGTGTCGTCGACTTTCTTGTATTCTCATAATTTAGCAGCAGCTAGCCGCTGTAGCTGTAGGGCACCCATCAGCGAAAAACACTGAGGTAAGGAAATGTACGTTACAGTGACCTTTCGACTTCAACGACTGGCGGTACATAGCTATGTCTTGCACGAGCAACGAAATGTGCTGTCGTAGGGACTGCGTGACTGGAGTGCTCGAGGTGCGAGGCGATGAACTCGATTCGAACTGTATACGCATTCAGTCATGCATTGCGAGCTTACTAAAATCGAAGACTGACATGATCAAACCGAGATTCAGCCTGTCCCGAGAGAGAGGGTGGTGGGGGTAATGTAGCAGGGACCTGTAGTTTCATCATCGAGTCAACAGAAAAAGAACCGGAATAGTTGAAACACCCACATCTTGTAGATTACGAGATTGGACGAGGGGAACTGCAATGACGGTGATGGATAAGTTGTGTAATGAGTAAAACAACGAGGCACGTACATTGGGTAGATCACCTGTAAGGAAATGCGTACACTAGTAAGGATGTCAGGAGGAGTGTTGCATAGTACAACGATCGTGGAATAACTTTCGTGTAGACTAGTTGGCGTGCGTCAGGTGAAAGGAGGGACTCAGCACGTCAAAGGAAGCGAAAAGCTGGCGAGATTTGACAGCCCAGAGCAGTTAGCTTGATGGTGTAGACTCCTGAACGTTTGAACTGCCAGACTGGTGATGACGCCGGAGAGGCGACCTATCTGATACTAGTCCCGCATCAAATCGATAGATCTAGATCGTCTTGGCACCGTCATCCGCGTAACGTTTTTATTTTTGTTCGTCCAGAACACTGCAGGCACTCCATGAGTCTGATGAGAATCGAGCTGTGCCCACACAATCAACGGTCTCGAAGGGTCCAGCCACAAGCTTGCCTGCCTGAGTGCCCAGGTTCCATATCCCCGCTGTATCTCCTGCCCCGCTCGCTAGTAACTTACCGTCCACAGAGATATCATTGCGGCTGATCTCTTTTGAGTGGCCATAAAATGTTTTAACAATCTTGATTTCAAGTTCTTTGGTGCACGGAAGGTTTCATGAGCTGAAGGAAGGGGAAAAAGAACTTCGCATGGTGTTGGTGAAGAAGGGACATATAAACAGCCGTGGCAGACTCGCCGATATGCTCATCATCATGGTCAGGCTATTTCGAATTGCAGCCAGCCTCAGGCTAGTAATATCCAATCTCCTATCTGAATCCGCAACAGGGATGAACTGACAGTTGACTTCGGTAGGGAAAGCGTCGCAGCGACTCGGAGTCGCGCATCTTCAACTTTGCTATAAACATCAAGCCAACAATCAGCACATGAATCCATCAATGCTGTCAACCGCTTTGGAGATATGTCTCGATGTTGCACGACAACTCGATTCGTTGGCGAGGCAGCTACCTCCGTTTTATATACGATCATCATAATCATGCTGAGCACATTCTGCAGAAATCATGCCACCTTTGGCACGTTCTTCCGTCATTCTTTGATGCCAAGTTCATGGCGGTGGTGCGCATCTCGCCTAGTGACCATGTTCTTTTTCTCATCCTCTCAATTCATGCCCAACTTCCGCACCATCGTGCACCTCTGTTGGCTCCTAAACACGATATCCATCTCATATAAATATAAATATATTCCCTCAGACGTTCATCCCTTACATGGCGTGCGTGTAGACTCGCTTCAACACTGTTGATTTTTTCTTCCGAGGTTCCTCGCCCATTTTATTCTCCACTGGAGATGCGGAACTCGTTGTGGTTATCGGATAAAGTTTCACTCCGACACCGTCGAACTCATTTTTGAGTTATCAGGTCAGAGATCAGTTATGCAAGGCTTTGATAAGGCTTAGGACCAGGTTATCACTGGGGCGGGCAGGGTGCAGGAAGATCAATATCTTGTATGAAATATTTACGACGAGTTAGATTACACATATGATACTCGCGCTTAGCTCAGCCCGAAACACCAAGACATATGCGGGAGGCGATGTTCAGAAGTAGTTTCAACCCAAAGCAAAGAGACTCGGAAACATAGGACAAACATGTTCAAGTGGGCCACTATCATGACACGACCGCCGAGCAATACAGCTACCGTCAAGGTACAAATCAAAGCTACAAGAAGATCTTTACGTTGCAAACTATGCGAGTAACCGCTCGCTGCGAGCGCACCACCTCCATGGGAAGCGTAGAGCGCGTTTCGATCTTATTTGAGAGCTGAGTGAAGTGCAGTTGACGATTATAAATGCAGGGACGGGGAGACATTACTGAAATACTTACCAGTGAACCCAGCACGAAAGCCGGCCTTCATATCCTCATCAGTCTTATCCATGATGGTCCGATAAGATTCGATGGCTGCTTTTAAACTACCTGCTCGAAAGAGTGCATAACACTGTTGCTGGTTCGCGGTGTGCCACAAGGACTTGAGGTCCCAGCCAAAGAGCTGCAGAAAACACGAAGTTGAGCACGAAACAATTTTCGGTGGCGCCACATCAGCGTACCGCGACAAATTCGTCATACAGCAGATGAATCGGCGATTTGTAAAAGAAAGCACTAGCATTGACGGCGGCAGTGAAGTGTTCAACAGCGTCATTATGGTGCGCACCATCCAAGGCTATGTTTCCCAGTTGGATGCGTAGGTAGGCCTGGTGTACGACAGAGCAAAATGAATCAATGACATCATATGAACCTGGTGTGATGGAGCACACGGTACTCACTTCCACAATACGACAAGTAACAGGATCGACATTGGGACTCGCGGCTAGCTCTCCGATGCGAAGCATTGCCTCTTGATGTTGTCCTGCATTGAATAACGCAATGGCCTAAAAATCGCAATGAAGGACGGAATATGTTAGAAAAATATCACCTGCCTTGATCAAGAAAAGGAGGTGATCGGTCTTCAAATCTCCCTTCGTGAACATGGATGCAACATCGAATGATATCCTCGCGGCCAGAACCTGCTTCTTTCCGCAGAGGGAAATACCCTCAGAGATATGGCCTGCCAACGATGGCTGAATGCTGACGGACTATGTCATCATTGAAGTTAACTTTCGTAAGGAGGTCATGATGGGTCGGTAAGTCTCACCTGGACTGCATCTTGAAGCGCTTGGTCCCAGTTGCGTTTTCGTGCCATAACAAATGCGCGAGTGGCATAGGCGGTGTGATCATTGGCGTCAGCGTCAATATCTAGATCTAGCACCTTTTCAGCAGTAGGCAAGTCCCCAGTTATGCACGCATTGCGGACTGCTAACTTCATAGCGACGACCTGTGCAAATCATGATCACATTGTGTTGTAAGAGTTAAGGGTAGGAACATGCCTTGAAATCAGAGTAGCCTTGAGCCTTGACATAAAAAAACGCTTAAATGATGAATGAGCGAGAAACTGAAACAAATTTACCTGGTGCGTTGCCTGGTCCTTCATGAGGCCACCACTTGGACCATCCTCTGGCCAGGCGTCCTCGGATGTTGGCCACTCTGAGATCTTTTTATCCGCACCTCCACTGAAGAGGTGCTTGTCATCCGCAGAAAATGTGACGCAGTTCACCTCCCCAGTGTGCTTGAATATAGCAATGGTTTGTCGATCTGAGACTCGCCAGAGGCGGACATGGTTATCATGAGATGCTGAGGCAAGGAGAGTGCCGCTAGAGTTCAGAAACATGGAATGGATATTCTTGAAATGGCCCTTCCAGGGTTCACCGACCTGCTTCCAGGTCGATGTATCCCACTCTCGTATGGTGGGATCAATCCCGTGACCCCCCGAGAGAAGCCGTGAGCCATCGGGCGTCCACGCAAGTGAGTAGTTGAATCCTCCAGTAATCGTTCTGAAGGACGAAACGCAGCGGAGTCGATTTGTGTCATTTTCACGGTCATTGTAAATTTGGACATCTTGGTCCGTTACAATCGCAAGAAGTGATTGATAATTCGTAGTATACGGCGAATACCGAACGCAGCGGACATTTCCACCGTAACTGCATGAATTTTGCACCAGCCACGTCAATGTGCACCATAGCTTCGTGGTGGTGTCAGATGATCCACTGGCCAGCGTTCCGGAATTGTGTGAAAAGTGAAGCGAAAATATCCAACCGTCGTGGGCTTTGATTGCTTGGTTGAGTGGTTCCCCAGTTCTTCCATGCCAGGCGATGAGTTCTCCGTTCTCATCACCACTTGCTATCCATTTTCCATCTGGTGAAACAGCCAACGCCCGTACCCGACTGCGATGCCCCTCCATCTTCTTCAACACTACGCCTGTTTTCAAGTCCCACAAACAAAGCGTCCGGTCATATGAGCCCGTGACCATGCGTTCGTCGCGGAACACCGCAACTGCGATCACGCGGTCCCCGTGATCTTCGAACGTTCGAATGGGTGTGGTACTTGGAATGAGTGTCGCCATTGAGTGGAGCTGCAGCACGGATGAGGTTGACTTGGTGTGTGTGGGGGGACGGCGTCTTGCTCGAAGTTGCAAAGGTGCGTGTGATGGGGCATTTTTAAACCTGCGTTATAGCATTAACCTCTCACTAGACGCCTAAACAATGATGCTATTATCATAAGTACCTTGCTTGATGATCTAACCGAGTGAGCTCATGCGTTCAAGTCGTGTCGCCGCAACTTTCCACATTAGTCAACGAGCCTGATCGTTGTCATTTCAGGGGTCCACGCGGCGGATAGGAAGGCAAGATATACAGCTCACCTGATTCACCTGATTGGCCATGTCCTCAAATTTTAATTGAGTCATCGCCCAAAGACGTAGTATTCCACCTGGTGACATGTTGGGCTTATGTTCCCTGGAACGTTCGGAGCGGAGATTCTACGGTTGCGAGGCATCCTTTGATTTACTCTGGTTATCAGCATCATGGCTATATGCGATTTGCCATTAGCGTTGAAGATAACAATCAATCGTTTCAAACTCTGATTAACGATCATCGAATAGTATCCCAAATCAGCTATAGTTGAACGTTTGATTATTCTGGATTCGGGGTGTTGAATCGGCAACTCGAAGACATGTTGTTTCCCGGTGGTTGTAGATGTCGATCAGTATGACGACGACCTACTAGATGGCCCCACCAGATTCTATTTCCACTCTAGCACATGCAATTCTACACGGAACCATTATGTATGTTGCATGTAGGTTTACTAACATAATACAAATTACATACCATATGTGACTCGTGCCATGGACAGTCGAGTTTGTGGTGTTCGACGCTGAAGCTCTGGAGATGTGGCCAGTACCGATGACGGGTTTTTCGAACATGGTTGGTATGAGCAAATTGGAAGGGACAAAATGGCCTTATCGAAGTTTGTTGACAAGTTGTTGATGTGATGTTTGTATTTCAATTATGCTATGTCAACCTTATGTGACCGTTTCATAGAGCAATGTTAATGAGACATTCAAATTACACACTGAACAAGACGAATGTCTCAATCTTGACCAGCGGGAAGTGAATTACACGGAAGGATCATTCAAATCAAGCAAGTTCATCTTGTGATGGGATGTGGCAAGTGCGCTGAGTATCGCAGATGGTGTAGAATTGATCTATAAGTATGAAATCATCTCTTACGGAGGATACAACAAACATGGATGAGTGCACACGAAGTTAACTGCGACCATGAGCACCATTACGTCCACTACTAGTATTTGTCGTGCTATCCCGACGGGGTATATCAACACGCTCCAAGCGCCATCGAGGAGGCTTCCTCAGTCTGCCATGGGACCAGCATGAATAGTAGCACAGGAACGCCTTGACCCAATGCACATCTGGGAGTGAATCGATGTCAGATGTGTCGACATCCTGCGGCACTCCCGCCTGCTGTCCAGACAGATGTCGGGTGTCATCGACTTTCCTATATTCTGGGAAATTGGCAGCGGCAAGCCGCTGTAAGGCACAAATCAGCAGAAAGCACTAAGAGGTAAAGAAATATACATTACAGTGAACTTCCGTCCCGGTGCAACTTCAACAACTGGTTGCACATGGCTATGTCTTGGCACGAGAAACGACAGGTGCTGTCGTAGAAACTGTGTGACTGGAGCATTCGAGGTGCGAGGTGGAGAACTTATTTCGAACTGTATACATAGTCAGTCATTGATTGCCAGTTTACTAAAGATCAAAGACTGACATGATCAAACTGAGGTGCGGCCTGTCCCGAGAGCGAGGATGGTAAGGGCAATGTAGCAGGGACCTGTGGTTCCATTGTCAAGTTAACAGAGAAAGAACCAGGATAATTGAAGCACCTACATCTAGTGGATTACGAAGTTGGACACTGGGAACTGCATTCGTGCGAGAAGTGAAGTGAAGGAGGTTGCTGAGGCGAAGGAAGATGGGTTGCTGCGTGTTTACAGTAGACAGAGGTCTTTGTGGACTAGGCAATACCAGTGGATTGCGAGGCAAGGCAGGAGGTCGACGAGTTGCGTCGGACTGCAATGGTGATGGATAAGTTGTGTCATGAGTAAAACAACGAGGCACGTACATTTAGTAGATCACCGAGGGTTGCCTTTTTACGTACCTGTAAGTAAGGAAGTGTTAGCGCACACACGAGAAATGTACGTGACAAATGCGTACACTAGCAAGGACGTCAGGAGGAGTGTCGCATACAATGACCGCAGAATAAGTCGTGTAAACTAGTTGACATGCGTCAGGTGAGAATATAAGGGTAAGGAGGTTCTGAACGTCGAAGGAAGCGAGGAGCTGGCGGGACTCGACAGCCCAGAGCTTGATGGTGTCGTCTCCGGCAGCGCTAGCAAGGACAACACCATCATGTGAAACTGCCAGACCGGTGATTAGTTTGGTGTGCCCTTCAAAGGGAGATCCGACAGTCTCCAGCGTCGACGCGTCAAACTCATAGATCGTGTTGGCGTGGTCATCCGTGAAGGTGAATGTAGCTATAATGTTTTTGTTTTTGTTTGTCCAGAACACGGGCACATTTGTGGTTCGTCCGAGTCTTCCACGGGACTCCCCTACTCTCACATCCAACTTTTGTGTTTCGACATCCCAGACCTCAAGGCGGCTCCCCGTCCACAAGTTCACCGCAACCTTCTTTGAGTCTGTTGAGAATCGAGCCGTGCCCACAAAATCAACGGTCTTGAATGGTCCAGCCACATGTTTGCCAGTGCCCAGGTTCCATATTCGTGCCACATCTCCTGCTCCGCTCGCTAGTAGCTTGCTGTCCGCAGAGATATCAATGCAGCTGATCTCCCTTGAGTGTCCTTGAAATGTTTTAACAATCCCGGTCTCAACCTCCCAGGCTTTCAGCTCTGCACAATCGTGATCTCCACCACCAGTGACAACCCATCGACCGTCCCTCGATACCGCCACCACACATACCTTGTTCTCGTAAACATGTCGCTCCTCCTCAATCTCCTTACCAGCCTTCAGGTCCCATTGTCGAGCGGTCTTGTCGGTAGATCCGCTGATCATGCGCTTGTCGTCTGAAAAGTAGCATATGGATGTGTATCCACCCTTCAAAGTCATTGCCGGTTTCAAAGTCGATTTCGTGAGGACGCTGGCCTTTGTTGATGTAGAAGCCATGTCTACGTCTCCACGAGCGAAACAGTTACTAAGTAGACGAGTGCGGAAGAAGTATTATCTGGGTGCGTTTGAAGGTGTGGTGCTCTCCTCGTTTGCTGTAGTTGGTTGTTCAGTTCATCTGCGCCAGAAATCCAGATGAGAGTTAATATTACCAAGAGGCTAATAATGATAAAGAGGTAAGAACTCCGCAATGTAGGCACAACTGTCGTGCTTGCAAGATGTGCTCTATTCCTCTATTCTTGACTCACAGCTTCTCGCAGGTTCTCACAGCCATGAATGGACTTTCTGTACCAGAACATCAATACTTACTATTTCTCACGTGCACACCAGGGTTGCTGTGCTCGGGTAGCGTATCTAGATGTTGGATGTGCTGTAGTATTCAACCTCTAGTATTGCTCTAGCATTCATCGCTCGCTCTCTGTTGCAGGTCAGTGTTAGGTGTCAGTGGACGCGGGAATGGTTCAACTCTCAACGTTAAGATAGGGAGAACGCGATGAAAAAAAAATTCATCGGGGCTCATGCCCAGATCTGGGAAACCAATCATGTTCGCCCTCCTATCTCCCCAAACCTCTGCCGGCTAGTGCTCCCATGTTTGGATCTTTTCGGTTACAATCATTTGACGCCTTCTTTGTTAAAGTTGTCTTCGCGTCTATCATTCAGGTTAATTCTCGCCGAGCCTCCCTTTTCTGTTATGCATGCCTCAGTGAGCCACTCCTGCATGGTGTCTTGAGTTCTCTGTTATTGGGTGTTTTAAAGTTTTGTGTTGACATCTCTGTCCAATGGGGCCTGGGTCTTGTAGCTCGCCAAAGCAATCAAAAGTAAATTCCGCCTCGGCATCGACATAAAATGGGAGTGCACGCAGACTACGTATATCAGGACAAAGTGGCTCGATCTGCCGCTTTCAATTGTTCCAGCCTCACTGAAACCTCATCGATGTACACTCCTTCAGGCGTTGGCTCTTCCAATGCAACCTGAAAGCTAAAGGTGGAGAGGTTACTGGGGCTTCGGAAGTTAACAGCGAGTTTGTAACTTGCCCCCCCCCCCACCTTCAAGGGGTTCTTGATATGATATATTAACTAGCTTTTAACATGTTTTTGATACACGCAAAAAATCGATTTTCCTAGTCTTTTCTCACTACTATAATGCAAAGGCCTACTGTACAGGCCTTCGCGAAGACATTGGAAATGTGCTATCCTGGTGCCCTGCTTGCCTCTTCCACCAGCTTCTCTCATAGCAAGTCCAACAATCAAGGAGAATCAAGAGGACTCGGAGGATCTTCATTACCAGCAGTACTCTTGGGCCGTATCATAAGACCTGTACGTCTCAGGTTACATCATTTTCCTGACCGTCGAACTCACTCTGGCCTTAGCTTGGGCACATTCTTCTGGCCTCCGGCCCCATTGACGTCTTTGTTTGAGGGTAAATCTTGACACTTTCTGTCGAGAATTTAGGTCATAGTTGGTGCATACACACATCGGGGATATGGTATCATGTATTTCTGAGATGACTATCGCAATGCATGAAGATGAATTTTTTTTCATGGACACATAAAAAGGAGGTTTCAGTGCAACGGATGGGCCTAGTTAAGATGGACCTCCGTGGCTCTACACTACAAAAATGATGTCAGCGGGTTTCGAACCAACTCCAAGAGAAACAGATTTCGACTCTGTTGTGCTAACCACTTGGCTAGGACTAGTTACGAGGAAACCATCCATGAGTTAATGTCAAAAAAAGGTCGGGGAAGTTGTGAACCTGCACGGTCCATCAGATTTTGATTGTGTTGTGGTAACCACCACTTAGCTAAAGCCAGTCTCCCCAACTAACTGATGCAGCCTTGTACAGATGGGTTGGAAGGTTGTCCGGCACCTCGTCATATGATCACTGTATGAAAAATTCACAACTAGTTTCATTACGCATAGTATGATGATGCCTGAAACATCAAGACAGATGCGTCCAAAAGTGGTTTCAAGTGAAAGTAAAAAGACTCGGACGCATAAGGTGAACATGTTCATGTAGGCTAGTATATTAGAACGCGAGCACCAAGGGCTATTTGAGCAATATAGCTACTGTCAAAGGGTACAAATGAAAACTACTCGAGGATCTCTGTGGTTCAAACCATATGAGTAATCGCTCGCTGCGAGCGCGCCATGTCCATGGGAAGCGTAGAGCAAGTTTCGATCTTACTCGAGAGCTGAGTGAAGTGTAGTTGATGATTGTAGACGGAAAGACGGAGAGAGATTACTGAATACTTACCAGCGAACCAAGCACGTAGGCCGGCCTTCAAATAATTATCAGTCCTATCCATGATGGACTGATACGATTCGATGGCTGCTCCAAAACTACCTGCTCGAAAAAGTGCATAACACTGTTGTTGGTTCGCAGTGTGCCACAAGGACTTGAGGTCCCAGCCAAAGAGCTGCGGAAAATACACAGTTGAGCACGAAACAATTTGGGTTACGTCACATCAGCGTACCACGACAAATTCGCCGTACATCAAATGAATTGGCAGTTTGTAAAAGAAAGTGCTAGCATTTACAGCAGCAGTGAAGTGTTCCACAGCTTCGTTGTAGCGTGCGCCATTCAAGGCAATGTTTCCCAATTGAACGCGTAGGTAGGCCTGGTATACGATGAGGTAAAGGAAATCAACGAGAGCACATGAACCTGGTGTGATCGAGCGCATGGTACTCACTTCCACGACACGACAAGCAACAGGATCGACATTGGGACAGGCAGCTAGCTCTCCGATACAAAGCATTGCCTCTTGATGTTCATCTGCACTGAATAACGCAATGGCCTAAAAACCGCAATGAAGCACGGAGTGTTTTAAGAAAATATCACCTGCCTTGATCGAGAAAAGGAAGTGATCAGTTTTTAAATCTCCGTTCGTGAACAAGGATGCGAGATCAAATGATATCCTTGCAGCCAGAACCTGCTTCTTTCCACAGAGGGCAATGCCCTTGGAGATATGACCTGCCAACGATGGCTGAATGCTAACGGACTATGCCATCATTAAAGTTAACTTTCATAAGGAGGTCATGATACGTCAGTCGGTCTCACCCGAATCGCATCTTGAAGCGCTCGGTTCCAGATGCATTTTCGTGCCTTAACAAATGCGCGATTGGCATAGGCGGTGTAATCGTTGGGGTGAGCCTCAATATCCAGATTTAGCACCTTTTCAGCGGTAGGCCAGTCCCTAACTATGCACGCATTGCGGACAGTCGAGTTCATGGCGAGGACCTGCGTAAATCATATTCATATTGTGTTATAAGAGTCAAAGGTGGGAACATGCCTTGAAGTCAGAGTAGGTTTGAGCCTTGGCATAAAAAAGACACTTAGATGATGAATGTGCAGGAAAACAAAAACAAATTTACCTGGTGCGTCGCCTGCTCCTTCATGAGGCCATCCTTTGGATGTTCCTCTGGGAAAGTGTCCTCGGATATTGGCCACTCTGAGATCTTTTTATCTACACCTCCACTGAGGATGTGCTTGTCATCCGCAGAGAACGTGACGCAGTTCACCTCCCCAGGGTGCTTGAATATGGCAATGTTTCGTCCTGAGAGTCGCCAGAGGCGGACACAGCTGTCATGAGATGCGGTGGCAAGGAGGGTGCCGCTAGAGTTCAGAGAAATGGTGTGGATATTCTTGGAATGGCCTTCCCAGGCATCACCGACCTGCTGCCAGGTCGATGTATTCCACTCTCGTAGGGTGGGATCAGCATGGTTGCCCCCAGAGAGAAGCCGTGAGCCATCGGGCGTCCATGCGAGTGAGTAGTCGAATCCTCCACCAATTGATGTCCTCAACCGAGTGGGGAATGGAGATGTGGGATTGTAATTGGAATTATAATGATATCTGTCATGGTGATTGTGGTAAATTTGGACATCGTGGTCCGTTGCAATCGCAAGAAATGTTTCATGATAGCCATGTGGTGAATACCGAACGCAGCGGACATTTCCCCCACAATTGAGCAAACATCGCTCCTGCCACAGTGACGTGCTCCATAGCTTTGTGGTGGTGTCGGATGACCCACTGGCCAGCGCCCCGGAGTCCGAAGAAAAGTCAAGCGAAAATATCCAGCCGCCATGGGCTTTGATTGATTGATTGTGTGGTTCCCCAGTTTGTCCATGCCAAGTGATGAGCTCTCCGCTCTCATCACCGCTTGCTATCCAATTCCCATCTGGTGAAACAGCCAATGACCGCACCCGACTGCGATGCCCCTCCATCTTCTTTAACACTACACCTGTATTCAAGTCCCAGAGACGAAGCATCCCGTCATACGACCCCGTGACCATGCGTTCGTTGTGGAGGGCTGCGACTGCAACTACGCGATCCCGTGATCTTCGAACGTTCGAATGGGTGTGAAGTTTGGAACGAGCGCCGTCATTTTAGTGGAGCTGCAGGACAGTTGAGGTGGACTTGGTGTGTGGGGGGATAGCGTCTTGCTCGAAGCTGCGAAGTTGCAGAGGTGCGTGTGATGGGGAGTTTCAAATCTACCTCGTAGTATTAACCTCTCACTAGATACCCAAAATATAAGGCTAATATCATAGGTATCTTGCTTGATGATCTAAACAAATGAACTCATCCGTCTAAGTCGTGTCGCCATAACTTTCTACATCAGTAAACAAGCCTGATTGCTCTAGTTGTTTCAGGGGTCTGTGCAGCAGATAGGAAGATGACATACACGGCTCTCCCAATTCACTTGATTGGCCATGCCCTCAAACTCTGATTAAGTTGTCGCCCAAGGACGTATTATTCCACCCGGTGACATATTGAGCTTCTGTTCCCCAGCTGGAACGTTCGTAGCGGAGATTCTACGTTTGCGAGGCTTCCTTTGATCACCCGATCACCCGATCACCTCTGGTTGGTTGTCAGCATCATCATGTGGGTTCATGTGTATGTGTGACTTACCATGAGCATCGAAGATAATCAATAATCAATCGTTTCAAACTCTGATTAACGATCATCGATCATCGAATAGGTATTTGCCATTCATTCAAAATCAG